TTTTTTTTTTTAGAATGCAGGTTTTGCTGCAGCTGGATCCCTCCGGGATAAGACTAAGAAGTGCGGAGAATAATCCAAGGTAGAGTATGTAACCACGGAGTAGTCACGCAGGGCCACAAGTGCTGGATGGGTACCACGAGGGTACAAGGTGTGTATATGCAGGTATGACGAGGTCGCCCCCCAAAAAGATAATTTTTTTGTTTGCCTGTGCGAAATCAATGAACGGGATGGAAAATCGAGCCAGAAGGCCAGCTCAGGCGCTTGGGAAGCTTAGAAACAAAATGCGAGTTACACCGGGGCCACACCTTACTTTCTTTTTTTCATCACACGGTTGGGGAGAATGCACCTAGTAGACGTTTCATGCAGGACCGATGGTTCTGGGACCACTTCGAGAGGGCGCAGGCGTTCAGGTGTCTCCGCAGTCCAGCAAGGAATGGAGCTCAAGGCTAGCCAATGAGTAAGATGATTGACTCTTATCGAGAATGAGATATCAAAAAGCAATCGGATATAATCAATTGGGTAGTATGAAAGTGATATTCAGAGTCACAGGATCGCACAATTCAAGATTGTGAGCTTCAACAGTTCAACCATGAGCTCATTCTCTCTATATTTCGAGAGAGCTGACGTCGTGAATCCTGATTGGACCAACATTTTCTCCAAGAGACACGATTTTTTTTCTGTCTTGCGAATTTTCTAGTGCTGTTCGGCTTTAATCAAAGCTAGCTAGCTAGGTCCAGCCTTGTAGACTTTCTGCGATTGAGATCCTGTTACAAATTGGAAGTTCGAAGCTTCGGTTCCTCAAGCTAGCGAGCTTGGGAAAATGGTGGTGGGAGACCTTGGACATATCGAATCGCCGGAATGGGTGAAGCGCCGAGGGGAAGAAGTTCGCTAGCTTGGGAGCTATGTTGGAGATGTCTCAGGTGGTACTTGTTACCTGGTATCTTCCGAGAAAAATATTTCTAGGATTGTTGGCGACAGCGCTCGTAGACACGACAAAATAGCTGTCGTCGATGCTCATCGCGAGACAAAAATATCTCGGGGTACCAAATACCTTGTCACTCGGTTCTCTCCTGGTAAGACAAAAAAAAAAAAGATTACTTGGTGGAACAGTGGGTAAAATAACCGTCAATTGCAACTGCAAGGCGAGCGGGCAGTTTTCGGCTGTTGAAACTTAAGTATCAAGACCTTTTCGTCGACGGATGCTACGGGAATCGGAAAACATCATTCTCGTCGATGACTGAACAATGACGAGAGAACAGACGAGATCCCGGGGTCGATAAGAGAATCGGAAACGTATGTTTGTACAGTACTGTTGCCTTGAAGGTATCGCCAGAGAAAAGCGGGATGAGGGAGCGTGCTGTCATGCACAATGCATGCTGCAATGCGTATGTATTGACAGCAAAGCGTCCTGGGACCCGTCGGTCTGGATCTGCTAGGGTGTGCTGTGGGAATGGAGAATGGACGAAATATCGTGGTCGACGATTATTGGACGCTAGCCGACTCTCCATGCGCTTTGGGGGTTGTTCGTCGGAGGATCTTTTGTCGGATAGATTCTGATATCCTGAATTCAATTGCAATTGCAATCGGACTCGTGAAGGCAATCCTATTTGAGACTCTTCGCTATCAAATTTAATTGCAATTTGGTAGAACTTGCATCAAATTATAGAAGCCGCCTAGAGTTTCGACATTTGTTAACATCTATCTGCCTCCCGTCAGCACCAACATTATGAGCCTAGACCTAGACCACATATACTATGGACCCAACATGTAAACACCTAGATAAGCCGCGAAACACAAAGTTGTGATGCTTTTCATAGATCTGCATGCTATTCAAGCCAGATATATATATATATATATATATATGGATGCCTTCCAATGCAATGGCGGCAGCGTTCAGCGGAATTAGTAAAACGGAGATGTTGTGCAGTGCCGGATATAGCTGTATCTGGGGCTTAGGCCCCATAGTAGAAACAATGCAATGTCCAAATAGCAGAGGTGGCGTTTTGGCCCATAAAGCGCGCTTCTTTCGTCGCATTCGTAACGGCCCTTTGAAGCCTTTGTCTTGTATACTAATCGATAAATCAGTTGTATGTCTCGTGACATCACTAGCCACCGCCACATCTTTCAGTGGCTCGCATGCTTGATACTAGCTTACAAGGCTGAAGCTAGCCGAAATGACAGTCGATGCAACTGCAACCGTAGGTAGGGGGGCCAAGCTATATTTGGGAGCTGTTGCATGGGGTTGCAATTGCAATTGCTTGGGAGTCGTCAGTTTCTGGGCCAAAACGCGTTCTCCTGGATATCCCTTCAGCCGTAGTCGTCCCTTTTTTTCGACCGCCCACTGATCCGCAGAAGGACTGTTTTCTATATCTTACCTTCATCCTGCGTATTCTATTCATTCTGATACCGGTTTGAAGTTAAAGTCAGATTCAAGCGCTGTCGAAGCTAAAAGGAGTTTGGGTCAGCGTCGGTTAGTTGGTTGGGGACGGATCATCGCACAGGCTGCTTGAAACGCCAACATCAAATCAAATTACTTAATTATCAGACCTTCATCCCACCACCATTGCATTGTCTCCTCTCTCCTTACCCTCGACATCATCATCGATCCCATTTACATGGCCACTTGACGTCGCTGGGATCCCTTTATAACCTTCCTGATTTACCTCCTACTTACGATCATCATCGTTATCATCCCACATCATACCATTCTGACCACCCACATCGATACCACAAGACCCTTCGGCGGGTACCAAATACTGTCACAATGTACAACCCAGCGACAGACCGTTCCCCTATTTCCCCTTCCTTCACCCCAAATCCGTTCGACAAATACAAATCAGCCCGTGAGGGCATGCTACCAGATGGAATAAACGGTATCGGAACTGGTTCCTGGCCTGATAGGTTTTCAGCGAGGAAAAAGGTCGGCGAAAGGAGAAGAATCGTTAGGGTTCTCGTTGTTGCCTTTTTGGTCGGGTTTTTATTATGGTTCTTTGTTACACCGTTGAATTGGACTTCTGGGCGGAATTCCGGCGAGCTCTATACACAGCCCGAGACTGGGACGAGGACGGAAGGAAAGGCGCAACATGACAGTGCGGATGTAGATACGCCGAGTCCGGTGGGAGAAGGGCAGACTATTCCACAGGATTCAAAGGTGCAGTTTGGAAAGGAGAAGGCTTCTTTCGTTATGTTGATTCGGTAGGTGACCTTTTTTTTCTTTCCATTAAACATTGATATGGGATCTTCTGTTTACTGATCACACCCGGAGTCGCTGGTGAACAGAAATCAGGAACTTCAAGATGCCCTTAAATCCATGAAACAGATCGAAGACCGATTCAACCATCGATTCCACTACCCATGGACTTTCCTCAACGATGTTCCATTCACCGAGGAGTTTATTCGAGAAACAACCAAGCGAGCATCCGGAAAGACAGAATACGGATTGATCCCCAAGGAACACTGGAGCGTCCCCGAGTCCATCGACCAGGATAAAATGAGAACTGCGATGAAAAAGATGGAACAAGACAGAGTCATCTATGGCGGTTCTCTTTCCTACAGACATATGTGCCGGTAAGCTCGAGACTCCAGATAAACCGCCAAGACTCGGGATTAAGTCAAGCTAATGAGGTGGATGTATAGGTTCAACTCCGGTTTCTTCTGGCGACAAGAACTCCTCGACAAGTACGAATGGTACTGGCGTGTCGAACCTGGTATTGGTTTCTACTGCGACGTCGACTACGACCCCTTCGAATTCTTGCGTCTCTCTGGCAAGAAATATGGTTTCACGATCACACTTCCCGAGTACAAATCTACCATCCCAACTCTCTGGTCCGAAACACTCGACTTTATGAAGAAGAACCCACAGTACCTCAACTCCAATTCCTCGCTTCAGTATTTGCTCGACGATAAGGATCATGGTAAATCGCTGAGCTCGGATCCACCACCAGAATATAACGGATGTCACTTTTGGTCGAACTTTGAAATTGCTAGCTTGGATCTGTGGAGAAGCGAAGCTTATCGTAGTTACTTCGATCATTTGGATCGTGCTGGAGGTTTCTTCTATGAAAGATGGGGTGATGCACCGGTTCATTCAATCGCCGCTGCTTTGTTTTTGGGAACCCAAGAAGTTCATCACTTCGCAGATATGGGGTAGGTTTTTTTTTCCTTTCATGGCTCATCTTATCAAATTTAGCGATAGCGCTAACTGAGTTTGATATAGATACATGCACGTCCCATGGAGCAGATGCCCACAACCAGATGAATTCCACAAGTATTCCAAGTGCGTTTGTCCATTTGAAAAGAAAGACAGCTTTGACTTAAACGGATGGAGTTGCCAGCCTAGGTGGTGGAAGATCGCAGGGAAGGAGTATGGTGCTTGAACGCTTTTGACAATTCCGTCTCCTTTTGTTTTTCTCATAGTTTGGGGTTCATTTTCGGCTTGCCTTGATTTGCTTGTTTACAGGAAACTCCTACTCTTCTCTGTACATCTTCAGCCTTGCTCTCTAATTTTTCGAGTCTGGGTTTGCTTTCTTAAAAACGGGATATGGATATAGGAACGGCGAGTTTTGGATAAAAGAAAAAGAAAAGAAGTTTTATTTTTCCTTACAAAAAATTACTTTTAATCACGTCGAGTTTCTTTTCTTTCAAATTTAGGACCTTCCGTATTCAAGGACAACGAAGTGCATATACACAAAAGAACACCCAACCCTACGTATCCGCATGCACCGATCCTATACTGGCATACCATGATTAGTTACACATCGTAGACTTGTCATGGTGACATTCCACTCGCAGGTCACAAATTTGAAGCCAGTTTTATAGAAACCATAAGGCTGTTGCTCGATCGTAGAATCGTCCTTATTTGGGTGTATACACTGAAATCCTCTGCGCGCTAGGCTATGTCGACTGAATATAACGTTGGGTCGAAATCTATTCCTTTATATGACTCGACCATGGAATGTTTACAAGAAATGATATGTCGTTATATATATAGTTTATGCTTCGTTGAATTCACACTGATGCACCACCTGAAGGACTAGTTGGACTGACAAACCCACTGTCACTCCATAGTGAGAACAATTCACTACTACCCTCTGCTGCGCTAGCCGCTTCAACGTCGATTGTTTTTTTCTCGCTACCTTGCACTTCAACCTTCACCTCATCATCATAATTCCCACTAACATACTTTTCATTTATCTGCAACGTCACTGTTCTCGTCTTTTTTGTGTTCGCGACCTCCACCCCCTTCAGCATAAAACTTAGCTCTTTCAGTTTTGAAACCTCAACCCATTGTCTCGTGCTCCTGGGTATGAGACTTATGACAAGCTCGACTTTGTTATCTTCAACTATGGTATACTGAACCCTGACATTTAACCTCAAGTTCGACAACATGACTGCGCCGATACCGTTATACGATGTCATAAGTATCGGGTTTTCATATTCATCTGACTCGAAACGGATATGAAAGGTCAAGCGCTGTAGGAGGAATGAGTGCGCCCCTGATTTATAGATAACGGAGAATATGAGGTCCCGTTTTTTGATATCTTTGTTGTATGGAATGTATAAAGATGGTGGCTTCTCGGAAGCTAGAGTGGTGACTGGGTATATTTTGTAGTCGTAGTAAGGTTTATGCGCAGGTTCTGTAAAGATGTAACCTTTTGGTAGTGGGAATGGAAGGAATAGTGGAGGTAGTTTTTCTATAAACTGCAATACCTGGTGATTTGGAGGTGGACAGTCTGTTGTAGGTAGACGTCGGGTTCTTGTTGATGATTGACCTTCCGCAGAAATCACATTTCTCCTTCTTTTAGGCAGCGCAGAAATAGTTTTTGGGGTAGGTACGTGGTAGGACAGAGAAAAACCAGGAGGAGGAGTAGATTTAGAATCGTCGATCGCGCCGCTTTGGCTAAGACTTGCCGGGGCAAGAAGAATCTCCAACCTCCAACATGGATCATTCAATTTTATCGCCATAGTTGCGGAAGTAGGATGATCCTCGCCATACCACGTGTTCTTCTCATCGTTCATGTGCTTCTTGAGCTGTGCGTTAAGATCCTTGGCCAGAGTTTCCACGTTTAAGAAGCGTAGGTCATCGGACTTGTCATTCGGATCAGAAGCTTTCGAGCTCCAAAGGAACATACGACCTTGCTGTTGTAAATCGGGCGAGTCTTTGGACGAATCTCGGTGCCAGGTTTCGGCTTCCAGGGACTCTCCCCGTTTGGGGTCTGTAGGGTCCAGGACCGTATATATCTTTTTATATAGTAAGGTAATGCTATCGTCCGCTATCTCCTTTGCCGCGGTAAAGAACTGCTGATGCGGTGGTTAAGTGAGCCGTAAGCTATCCCAGTTTTTACCGTCTGGCACTGCGCTACACAGTCCTAACATAATCCCGGTATCAAGTATTGTGTGCCGAATCAATATAATTTCGGTTGTAGGTTTGCCGTTTAAGTAAGTCTCAACTATGATATCTGAAAACTTGGCTAAATTTTGAGATCTAATCAAGAAGCCATACACTAGTACCTCGGTCTTCGTTGTTTCGAAGTATTTGTTGATGCAGCGCTTCATTACGTTTCGGACTTTATCTTCTTTGAGGTCGGTGTGATTTGCCAGTGATAAGCTACCATCAATGAGCACATTGATCCAGTTTCGATCAATATTGAAGCAGCGTATGCTTTCAATTTGAAGGTGCGCTGGATCTGTAATTAAAAAATGGCCTGGGACTTCTGCTAGGTATATTCGGTCTAATACCCATCGAAGAAGTATCATCCAATAAATCAGATGAGTTGGGATCATTTAACTCATCATAAGGTTCCAGAATATCATCAGAACCAGAAACGTAGCACGCGGCAGAGCAAAGCGCACTTTCTATACTTGCTTCCATATCGTTACTTGAATACGCAAGATTGAAATTGAAGCCAAGGTTAATATCTCGCGTCCATTTGCTCCGCCCTGTAACAAAGGTATGACGGTCGTTATCATTGGATAGGCTGAGAAGAGCCTCAAAAGAGTCAGATATGCTCTGGAGTATCCCAGATTTCGTCGTATGAGGTAGTCTTGCTCGTGCCAGTAGCTGCGACTGGCACTCATTTAGGTCACGATCGTAAATCTGTTTCCGAACTCTCGATAACGCTGTGGCAAAAGGCTGGTCCGCTAAGGCTAGGGTACGACCGAGCTGCCATGCACTGGAGTACGAGAGATCCATAATTCCGAAACCTCTATCAAGAATCTGTAAATGCTGGCCGCCCATAGACTCCTTAATCAAATTTGTAGTCGTAGCCTTTGTTGGAATAAGTGGCCCTCGTGTGAAAGCTACAGTCTCTTCGCCTATTTGGACACGATATCTCACTAATGAGTATCCATAGATGCATCATTTAATCGCTCAACCATCCGCTTCTCTACACCATCGGTAGCAGGAATTTTATCCGTCTCCAATGGCTTCATCATGGTTGTTGATCCCGCTAGCTTTTCAAAAGCATCCACAATGTTGAAGGAATTGAGCGGTAGATATGTATATTGCCAGCTATATAACGAAGTCATGGCGACTAGCTTATTGGCCTGAACCGGAAATTCGGGACTCTTCATTTCTTCGATACCTTCGAGAGAGACAAGGTGGACGACCATAGCCTCTAGTTTCTCGATCGTCAATGGTCTTGTTCGGTGTGAGACGACAATGCCGACTTCAGCGACCGGGAAATCCGTGTCGGCATCCGCCATATTTTTCATATTTAATTCGCAGGTGTGGGCGAGAAATCTATAGCGTTGAACATTTCCTTGAGTGGGTGTCGTCGTGCCGTCACTTGCGTGCTCACTAAAGAGACCGTTGAAGAAGTCAGGCTTGACGAATATAATGTCTCCTCTGACATCTTTTCCATCCACAGTCGGGTTATAAATTTTAGTGATCGGTGAAACGAAACCAGATGCCTCTACCTTCGCAATTGCTGCCAAGTCCTTGATTTTCATGTTTACTGCTGCTGTTGCATGTTGCGGATTGTTTTAATTCTGGGGTTCCTTGTAGCCTCGAGACCAGGCGCAAATGCGACAGTACCAATTCTTTAGCTTTGAAAGCTATGACAGCTAGACATGGGACCCTCGTGCCATCATAATTCTTGATACTGAGCTTTTGCGCCTCAGACGCCCAACTACCTGGTTACTAAGAGGATCCCTGACAAACAAACGAAGTTCCTTCACGGTCGAATAACCTCAACTGCCTCCTGATTTCTATCGCCACCTGCAGCATTTTGTGTGAGAATAATATATACTAAACAAGTGCTACTCAGCTCACCTATATCTCTCTTTCCTCTTCCCCAACATACACCTTTCTTTACTCCGAAGGTAAAAATCTTTATATACTAAATAAACACTTAAATAGTAACAGATATCTGTTTCTTTGAAAATTAAATAAATTGTATAAAATATAAAAACCAAACCTAAATATAATTTAAAGTTTTTAATAACTAATTGATTATATTATAATATTTGATGTATTTTTTAATTATTAGACGTTTTGGGATCATGATCATGACTCTTTATTCACTTGAGTGGAGAGAACAAGGTAGAAGCAGATAAAATTTGGGAGGAAACTCAATGCTTGAATCCCTCTTGCAATTGTTATTTGCAATATCCTAAACGAATATTTGTAATGAGTTACACAATTGCGCATGCGATACTTATAAACAAAACTTAATACATTCTCATATGAAGAGCAATGGCGGCTGGTAAACTGTAACAATGCAACCTCAAACTATCACACCACCTAATGCCGTACTTGTCAAAAGATAGCGCAAGAGATAAGATAATGTACCCATGCGATCTCCATAGCTGCGCGTAGCACTAATGTTTCTTATGCTTGCTGTCGATGTCTTGAATGAAATTATCATTATACTTAGCGCCTCGGCCAATGATAGTGTCGTCCTTTGTATTTTTTCCTGATTCGTGCTCTGTGACGTAGTTATATTGAGCCAGAATCTCCTTGCGCAGGTTTTCATTTGCCCAAACGTAATCCACCAACTGATCGTCCGTCACTATATTGTTTGGGATAGTTGGTACTTGTAATCTGTCGACGGTGAGCTGTATGTTTCGCTGGAAAGGAATCATCGTAATCGTGATCTCTGGTGTCTCCTTTTTGACAATACGGCAAACTAAAGCATTCATGCCTTGGAAGAGCGTCTCTCCACGTCTGGTATTGACCTGACAATTCTCAATGACGTTGGCGACAGCGTTCTGCATTCTGACTTTGCCTTTCGAAATTTCTTTTGGTTGATATATGTAGATCGATATAACTATGGCCAATTAAAACACATATTATATGTAAGTAAAGTTGAAACATTCAGCTTAGAGATTATTATTGTTATTATTATCAGACACCTACCTCTCGAGATCTCCCTATTTATTCAAATATGATACACTGGTATGTATTAAGTTTGTGTATGTGCCGTGGTGATTGACTGGATGTTTAGGTTCTCATGAAGGTGGAAATCACCCGTTTATATATTTTTCTTGGGCTCGCAGTGCCAACCCCAATTTTTCTCAGAATAGGAAGCAATCGAAAATGTAACACCTGGGCTGACTGAGGGGGGGATTGAATTATTGCTGAGAGCTCATGACACCAACCCCGATTTCAGGCGGATTCCCTGAATTCTAGATTCCTCAGCGGTGCGGTATTGAAGCAATAATATGCAAAGTTAGGTTCTATTATCCCGTTATGCGATTAGGCCACGATTGCAGTCTCGCTGAGTGGATACCTTAAACTGTACGTACAAAAAGTACCATATGGTGCAAGCAAGATTAGACCAACTTGCAAGGCTTTGTGGCAAGAAGTCTGAGCGTAGATTCAGCCGTCAAAACGCCTGAACGGCTGCATGTGCGCATGTGCATGCGCAAACAGGACGACATATCCTTTTTCATGCCAAAATACTGTGCACTTCGGGATGGCTGATACCTTGCACCTCGCCATGGGGTTTTTGGTTTGACCTGTGTGCAACGGTTTGGTTATTATGAATTTGCTCGAAAATGTCCCGCTCTGCAATAGGTGGGGGTCTGGGTAGCCTCGAATCCGGGGTCTGGGTACGAGACTACCTTTGTCCTTGCCATCGCGTACTGTGTAACTTATAGCTCGCACCTCGGGATAGCTGATAATTTGTGCTTCGTAAAAACTATACCGCATTTCGGGAAACCGGTATGGCGCGCTTCGGAATAGCTGACTCTCGCACTTCGGAATAGCGGACTAGCTCTCGCACTTCGGAATAAGTTTGTCCCGCTTTGGGACATTGTTACCGAGCTCTCTAATTTCTACAAAAGCCACCCTTTCGATACCCCACAATTAACTCGTAGTTGCAAACTGCCAGAACAATCAATTAGTCATTATAATTGAGTACATACTTTGACATATACTTCCGTGCATGTTATCATAGAATCGACCTTGTCTTGTGAACTAGACTGCATGGCTTTTGCGTTGTGTTGCAACTTGCAACCAGGCGGGAGCACGGGACATCTTGTAATACAACAGGCTTTGTCTACACCTCCCTCGAGTTAAAGAGATTTTTCGGCATAAGGCTAGCTTTCAACAAATTTATGAATATATTATATACCTACTTAAGTGCGAATGCTCCAAAGAAGAAGACAAAAGATCTCATGACAATCACAGCACCTGAAACAGACGCGGGGAGTGATAAAGCTACTCCCATGGCCCCGATACGGAAAAAAATCGGTTCGGTTGAAATTCTTGGACTTGGATTGAAATTTGATACAAAAGATAAAAATAATCTGTTATCTTTCTCAATAGATGCAACTGTAACACTTGGCCCTATCACTTTCGCGGTTAGAGACTTTAAATTGACATTCGATATAACCGGCCTTTCTTTGGATGACTTGAGCAAAGCCATTCCTAAGCCATCGATTGGAGGGCTGGCAGCATCATTCGACCGCCCGCCTTTGACACTCGCCGGGGCATTCGCACATCAGGAGGACGAGATTTCAGAATCGTTCCTTCGTGGTGCCATCGTGGGATACACGCCTTACAAGTTCGAAGCTGCAGGTTACTATGGAGAAACCAAAGCGGATAAGATGAAGTCATTCTTTGCCTATTGCAAACTGAATGGCCCGCTCATGACACTGGGCTACGCAAATATCAACGGTATCACTGGAGGATTCGGCTACAACAGCAATGTCAAATTCCCAACACCGGATGCTGTACTGGCGTTCCTTTTGATGAATGGTGATATGGTCACCAAACCTAGCATACCCGATACCTTAGATGGTCTCATGAATGGCGGATGGTTCATGATGCAAAGAGATTCCTTCTAGGTGGCAGCTAGTCTTACCGTTTTCGCTTTCCAGATACTTACCGTGGAAGCTGCTGCAGTGGTTCATTGGACACCGCAAATCAAGATTGGAATATTTGGTATCGCCACTGCCATAATGCCCAAGGAAGTAACTAGTGAGTCTGCTATTTTCGCAAAGGTTCAGCTGGGCATCGTTGCCACGCTTGATATCGGGAACGGTGTTCTAGCTGTCGAAGGTCAGCTTACGCCTTCTTCCTTTGTATTGGATAAAAATTGCCATCTGAGAGGAGGGTTTGCATTCTATACATGGTTCGAAGGAACGGATCCTGCAGCCTCCAACCAGGATGGTACTGATTTGGTTTTCACTATTGGAGGATACCATCCATCTTTCAAAAAGCCACCGAGGTATCCAAACCCCAAGGCTTGGAATATACTGGAACTTCAGCAATGCCATCAGCATCACTGGCGAGGCGTACTTCGCGATCACTCCCAAAGTCTGTATGGGAAGTGGGAGGTTGAATATTTTCCTGGTCCTTGGGCCACTAAACGCCTTTTTTGACGCCTTCGTGGACTTTTTGATCAACTACAAACCATTCAACTTCCGGGCTCAAGGCGGCCTTACTGTGGGTGTTAAGTATACACTCGATCTGTGGATCACAAGTATACATATCGACATCGAAATCGGTGCTCGTATCTATCTCTATGGGCCTCCAATCTATGGAACGGTCCATGTGGATTTCTGGGTTTTTGGTTTTGATGTTACATTCGGAGCGCAAAATGCATTGGTAAATAGCGGTGTGGACTTGGAGCAGTTATATGATTTCGTTCTCCAAAAGGATGCTGCTGGTGCAAGTATGGCTTCAGTATTTCATCACGACACGAACAAGGACAAGCTTGAATGGAAGGCAGACAAAGAAGAGCCTGTTCATGAAAATGATACAGATCTGCCCATCATATTCTCCTGCCAGAGTGGACTCATCCCATCCGCAAAGCAAGAGACGAAAGAGAAAGAGCCGTGGAGAGTAACCCCAATGGACTTCTCTTTCATGGTTTCTTGCAAGTTTAAACGTTTGCGATCCAAAATGGCTTGTTAAAGACGAACAAGCCAGGAATCACGACGGAAGTGGAGTCTATTCCATTCGCCAGTCCTGCTCAAGACAAAATATACGGAAAACCGATGAAGAAGCCATCCACTCTAGGTGCTATAGGTTCCGTATTAACGCTTACGATAACTCAACAGAAAGATACCATCGTAGAGCCCGGCCTTGAGGCGGACCCGCTTGTGCCCATATGGAAAAAATCAGAACCAGCGACGAAGCCCGTACCTTCTGCTCTGTGGGGTGAATGTAAGTATTCGTAGTCCAAGCTTGTCATTGAGATACTTTTCTAATTTTAATGTCTATCCCACAGATTTTGAATCTCAGGACCCTTCTAGTGGTGACGGTACTAAACAAATCGATGATCTTCTAAGCGGTTCCAAAGGGTCAATTAACCTCATGATGGACGTAACGGTGTCACAACCAGACACAGTTAAGCCCACCGAAGCTATCAAAGAGTTTGATATCCTCAAGACAATGAGCCAAACAGCTGCAGTCACACATTGGCCACCCAACCCCTCACAAAATGACAAATGATCACCAGAGGAGGGTGAAACTACGCTCAAGGATGTTTCGGACGCCTGGCTGTCGCCTAAACTGAAAGCACAAGAGTTGATCAATAAATGGGCGAGCTTAAATTGTTTCCAATGGGATTCGGGGGAAATGGCTAGTCTTGGAACTGCGCCTGAGCACTTAACAAAGAATATGAAGGATCATTACGTTGCAGCACCAAGGATTTCTGTAGCCAAAGATTCAGCCTGAAAGTACCTAGGATACGTATACACCACGATCATGATACCAAGGCTTCGGCTCTAGCTTCGGGTTGTATTTATCTTTCTTTACAGAACCACGACTGCTAACAATAATGATTACCTTATTTATTTTATATGTATACATATATTTCTATTCAAAACTTTTATAGAGTATAGTTTCAGTCATTTCCGCCTAACATCCTTTTTGTTCTAGACATTCTTTCTACTTACGCATATCTGACGGGGGTGGCCAGAGAGCTGTTTGGCTTCCAATCCCCCTTCTTTTCCTTTTCAATCCTCTCTGCTGCCTCTTCCAATTCCTTCTCCCCATGTCCTTCCTTTTCTCTAACCTCCTTCTCCATCTTTTCCTCCTGCTTCTTCAATTCCTCCGCCTTAATCTTCTCCTCCTCCACAATCTTCCAATCCACCAGCTCACTACCTCCAATATGACCCACAATATCGCCAACCAAGAACCTATACCTCAAATGACCCTCCACACTCTCACTCATATCCACACTCTCCACTCCATCCGGCCACTTCACATTCTGCAAACCCGCAACCCCCAACTGCACCGCCGACGTCCTATACAAAAACCCCAAAATATAATCCTTCCCACTAAAAACATTCACAACCCTCCCACTAACCACACTCCTAACCTTAACCCACCCATCACCAGTACTAGGAATCGCAGATCCAAGCATATACACATTCTCCACAAGCCCAAACGCCCTTCTTTCCGCCAACTCTACGAGTGTTGAATAAATAACTCGAGATCCCAGACTATATCCAACAAGAGTAACCGGTCTATTCCCCTGAACTCTATTAATCAATGCATCGGCTAGGATTTTCCCTGCCTTTTCTGCACGAGTTTTTACAATGTTGAAGGGGTTGTCTACTACCTGCGCGAGTTTTAGAAGGGCGATAGGCCATAACGCGGCCATTAGAGTTGCTAGGACCGTGCGTTTAATGATTTCGATTTTGAGGTACGCGAAACCGTAGGTTTTTAACATGGTTGTTAGGGCGTTTCCTAGATCCATTAGGGCTGTGGATTCCCAGCGGAGTGCGTAAACTTCTGTGTGGGAGGATAGGGAACGCCAGGGAGTTATGAAATGGGATGGGTCGGTTATCCAGCCAGAGATACCAATTGTGAGGGAGAGGCGAGAGGCGTCTTCTGCAGTAGGATCCGGGATGGTGTTATTTTTGTTGTTGTTGGCTTGAATTTCATCAAATGTGGTAGCTGGGTGTGATGGTGATGATGATGAAGGACGAGGAGGTAGAGGTGGTGACATTGATGATGATGAAGGGCGAGGGGGTAATGGCGGTCCTGGCTCTTCCTCCTCTTCCTTCCCATTCTCATGTTTACTCCCACTTAGATTCTCAATGGGATCAGGAACCCCCGGCTTGACTTTCAAGAACCCAAAATCCTCGACTTCCTGTGCATACCTCTTCATCATCTCCCCGGTCATTTTCCCACCATAAGCTCCAAATAATGCCCCAACTAACGCACCACTACCAGCCAATGCTCCCAAATATCCCGCTGCAGCTGTAGCGCCCAATCCAATGCCCGACATAACAGTTCCGATCCCCGCAGCGACTAATGGGGCCGCAAGTCCACCTGTTATTCCGATCACAGCTGCGCCAGCTACACCAGCTATTCCTATTTTGAGTCGTCGATTCCATTTGTTATTTGCCTTTTGACGCTCACGGGAAGAGTCTGCTGACATATCACCATTGTCACCGTTTTGGCCGGATTTTGCAGCTGTAACAAGGGTTTTTGCTATCGATTTTTCGAGGTTCACGACGGTAAGTGGAGGGAGGGATAGAGAGGTTGATAAGATTCTAAGTAGTGTTCTAGAACGGGCGTCATAGGTTTCAAGGCTTAGGATTAATAGTAGGATTGAATGGAGGATTAACGGTTTTGCGGGGTCGGGAAGGGAGGTTGTTAATCCCGTTGGAATGGCTGGGAAACGGGTGTTTTCTATGTTATTATCCAAAACATGCGGCTCTTCTCCCTTGAATTCTTCGAGTAATTGTGAGGTTGACGTGGAGGGTTGTCCGTCAGCAGTACTTCCAACAACATCTTGCATATGTGCTGCTGTTCCAACACGGGAGTCGAGATCCGGTGGATTCATAATATCATAAATCCTGGTTAGTAGGTCTTGCTGCCAGTGATCGAATGAAGTTATGGCTTCGTGGCGAAGGCGGGATATTGATGTCTTTTCTTTTGGATCAATAGAATATGGATTTGGCGATACTGAGGGTTTTGGAGCTGGACTACTGCTATTGTTCTCTTCTTCTTCTTCCTTAGCCAATGGAGGAGTAGTAGTAGCGGCGGGTGTACCAGTCTCAGTACCAGTATCGGGTGGAGTCGAAGGAGAAGAAGTAGAACTAGGCTCCTTCGTCTTGCTCTTTGGAGGAGCTGGATCAAAGGTATGTAAAAGCGAAGCTCGCATTACTTCCGTAGCTGCAGTAATGAGGTGTAATAAATCCTGTCTTTGAGGGTCGGTCAGAAGGCTGACGAGGTCGACATCGTATTGTGGTTTTTTGGAACCGGCAGCGGCAGCAGCATCTTTTGATGCGCCACCGGATTTGAATCTTTCGCCGATGCCGAATGGCATTGTTGTGGAATAGCACTCGGGGGTGCTCGTTACATCAACTTGTAGACGATAGTAGTTGTTTGCAGATTGTAGATGGGTAAGTACCGATCAATGAAGTTGAGGCGATAATGATGACATGATCATGATGGATCTAATACAAAAGAGAGAGAGAGAGAGAGAGAAAGAGAGAAGGGCTAAACCGTGTTGAGAATGTTGGAAGCCGACGTCATCGACGGGTCAGCCCGGGTTGCCTATTCGGGACGGTCGTACAAAGTCCTCGATTAGTAATTAGTCTCGTGAGGATTTTCGAAGCTCGCGAAGATCTTCCTATCGATACCGGTACTCCATTCTATACCAATCTAGATCTATCCATCCCGATCGATACCGATATTACAAACCTAGCTTGAGTACGTATGTAGTTTTCGTAAAAATGATACTATTACTAGGAATCATGTTGGAACACATATGTTTCTGTATGTACAAGCGCACTTCATGTCAAGAAGCTTCACGAATTGGCACCATGGCTTTGGGATCGATCTCTGCAGGTTGTCTCGCCGCCTGCAGAAATTTCGAAACCAAGCCAGCAGACCGTGGGCCCGGTTCACGTATACCAATACAATAAAGGAAACGGAAATATGGGTGCTATGTTCTGGCATCTTCAAGACGAGCCTTCTCGGCACAATTAATAGACTGTTATACCTTTCTTATTGAAGATCCTTTCAAACCCCCGACAAAATTATTTGTCTGTAGTAAGAAAAGAATGCCCATGAACATGCCCTCCGCGTGTTAATCCGCTATCGAGATATCGATACGTGAGTTAACGGTATCCATCAGTTTCCAATCTATATTAAAAACGAAATATAGTTACTGGTGCAGTTGGTGCTAATGATTGGAGGCTACACTTACGTTGCTCGGCCTTTACAGTTGTATCTGTGAACCATTTATAAATTTAGAGCTTATTGGAGTTGTGAACATAGCCTTATGGGCTATCTACAGCACTTGAAGCTCAGAGTTAAATTCTAATGGCTTGTAAGTCAGTCGTCCAGGATCTTTATCTGTTTGGCCGCCAGGGTCCCGAGGGCATCTTCGTACCCCAGACTAATCCTCGTAGGACATCCTAGCCCCAACTTTGAGGCTAGCCAGATAGATACCCATCGCGTCGCAGTGTACTGACATATGGCCGGAGATGACTCTTGTGCGACTCTAGCTAGCCATATTTATTGTTTTTCTGTCGGAAATTGGTGACACAACGTTGGTGTCCAGAAGCACCTTTCCTAGTCTTTCTCTGGCAATTATTTCCCGTGGGACATGGCATCCATTCCAACCGACTAATGGTACTCGAAGAACTTAAATTTTCGAAAAGGTTCGAGGTATGCTTTTGAGTGGCGTATACGGCATATGGCTCGAGCTACCCGCCCAATGTATTCAATCTTCTCGCCGTTGATGCCCTGCGCAGTACGCATGCACGTTGCAACGTTGGTGCAATTATATACCTACTATATCAACTATATGAGAAGGAGGATTCCGCTGATCTAGTCTCGCAATCAACTCATATATATATATATATATATATATATATATCCAGGAGTTAGAACGTCTTCAACCTAAGCCTATCCCCTACATAATACGTAATGGATTTATAATTATATTTATTCGGGGGCATCGGATCCATCCTCGCAGATCGCAAAGCTCTATAGCGGTACCCTTCAGCATATATTTAATTGGTATATATAAATACTGCTTGATAATCGCAATCTTTTCACTGATTTACCTTGAAATTTCGGATTTGTCCCCAGAATAAATTTGGCAATTAATTACTGCTTTTGAATGATCATCTTATCTTTCCCGGATCCCCTGATCAAGGACCCTCAAACCCATGTAAGTAAATAAATCTTTCTATTATCTTATATATATATATAACAGCCTCCAGGTATAGGGAGCTCAATTTACATCCTACAGCTACCGGCTAATTTCTCTCAAGGGTTTATGCCACCGGAGGAATCATCAGTCCAAAAGCGGTTGGTAGATTGGCTTTGTTCAATAATAGTATATATACTCCCAGATAATCTCCGCAATTCATTCAAATAATTTCCGCTTAATTTCAGCAGTAAATTTATAAAGTACTACAAGGTTTACCTATTTACGATGAGCTTTGCAATATCTAGATATCTAGACCTTCAAAGTCTAATCGATTAATACGTACTTGTAACCCGATCTCAATTACTTTATCAACTTGCAACTGTTGGAAAATAAATGTAAATTCATGTTGTTTAAAGTAGCCGTAAATGCTGGAAGTGTATATGATGAAGGGAGATTAGACCTGATAGCTATAATTAAACTACATTTAAAACCCCGGGACCATAAAGATCTAGAATTCTAGAATCTTCTTCTCTTTCACGTTGGTCCCCTAGCTCTTTCTCCTAAAATCCCCCTTTTCTTCTTGTCCTCCCCAATATAAATCCTAATATATACAATGAAACCTTCTAAAATATTGATACCACTTTCTTACTTAGTAAGTTATTATAACCACCGTTCCAATTAGCAGACAAATCAACAGTGAAGCCCCAAGTCTGTCAAAGATACCTATTAACATCTCTATATTGTATAGGTAAGTAACATAAAATACATATTGTGTACTGGCTTCGAAGCTTCCTAGATGGTGTCAAATAGAGTATGTATACATGTATCGTAAGCGACGGCCAAATTTGAAGACGCTGCAAATTTCCCATACTTTAATATCATGGCAAGATCAGATACATATGGGCGCCCGAAATCACATACATGTTCTCCTATCTATGGGCAAAGCATTATGCCGGTTAACATTCTTTGAGGGGATACTTAATAAGACCCCAAAGGAAAGAGGAGGTACAATCAAGAGCAGTGTGCCCCGGGTGTCTCCAAGATTATGATCAGTTCTCTCTAGTACATGGCCATGATGCAGTAGACTGTTGTACCTTTTTTTAGTATTAATTGTAGATACACATTGCCCTTAATCAAGTTACTAGCTATACTACTGGCCCCTAGTTGTAAATTCTCAATAATATATGAATATATATCTTCACACTTTTATCTATAATCAAGTTAACTACAGATCTCGCAGTATTTCACGCCTAGGTTTTATTGGGGAGTATATGTGGATCTATATAAGATATTGACGTGAAAGATGAATGAATATTTATATTCCAATGCGTCGCTATCACACTAATATACATAGATGCCGGTTATTCCATTCATACTGCATCCAAGAAAAGAGTAACAAAAACTAAAAGCCCCGAACGCCGTCATGAAAGAAATAATAATAAAAATGAGACATGCACACACACACACAAAATTCGTGACTCCTCGTGTAAACCTTACTCTGTCTAAGCTACCTTTTAACTCGTAGCCACAGCATCCCCATTGACTACTACCTCTTTCTCCCCTTCCTTTACATCCAAATCCATATTTACACCCCCTTTCTCCTGATCTTCCTCCTCCTCCTCCTCCTCCTCCCTTTCCTTTTGCTTCTTTTTCTCAACGACTTCCTTAACAAGCCACCTACTCCCCACATTCTTTACCCCCCGTTCCTTCCCATTTGCAATTCCAGTGGTGGTAGTATTCACCAACGTCTCAACCAAATCATTCTTCTTTCTCATAGTTTCCCACTTCTTCAATCGCTCGTGGACTCCCTTCCCACCTCTCACATCCCCAAACCCAATGGCGCTATCAACCCACTTAACATCCTCAACCATAAACCCCATACCATCATGTCCTCCATCCCACCCTCTACTCTTCAATCCATACTTAACCACACTTCTATACTCCCCCAAATTTCCGCAGATCACAATCTTAACCAATAGATCTTTGTGCAGTTGTACACTAGCACTAGTCTTAGGCGCCCCTCCCTCCGCCATCACCGCAGCCGCAATCTCTCTTGACCTCCCAGCTCCTCTTCTCTTCGGCGCAGAAAGTCGTGCAAGAACAGCATCATGTGCAGATGCATACTCAACAACCTCAGCTCCATCTCTGACCGCAGGTAAATATCCCAAGTGCACCAACACCGCCAAAATATTGCTATCATCGGTATAAACCTCCGTACCCCACAGCAATCGCTTCTTACACACCCGTTCCCTTTCTTCGAGTGACAGACAATACCACGGGATCCGAATGAGGTATGTACAATTCTCGCGCTCTATAAATAACGGGATGTGGCTGTAAGATTTTACGGTTCCGGATTTTTTTAGTACCGTGGGGGTATAAACCATCGATCCGAGGTGGTGTCGCTGATGCTTCTCGAGCTCTGCAATAACTTCAGAGTTGTCGATTACCTGTGGCGGTGGGATAACAGGAAGATTATTGCTGTTGCTATTGCTATTGGTGCTATTGCTATTGCTAGGGTTGACAGATGTGAAAGTCGTTGTGCCTTTGACTGGTGTACCTGACAGCGATGCTGCAGCTGCGTCCTCCAAGTTCGACAACGTGCTATCCGATCGTAGATTTGAGCCAGCGGTATAATACCCTCGTCGCCTCTTTGCTGCCCTTTCAACTGGGATAACATCAGCCCGCTTCATTGGGCTGTGGGTAAGTTCGATCCCTCCCATTTCGACATCGTCATCCTTCTTAATGATGGAGTCGACCTCATCGATTACGATAACCTCACGCTTAAGCTTTGGAGACTGAGAAACTTGATCGTTCGCAAACGAACCGGGATATTTCCTTTCATGAAATCCCTTTACAAGCGCCTCTTCAGCACGAAGTGGTGGAATGTCTGTGCTTCTTTCCCGGTCCGGGTGCTCTCGTTCCCAGTGTTTGGAATCATGCAACCGGTCGATAAGTATTTGTGCTGGATCATCGATGGAGGTATTTCCTGCGGGCTTTTTGCGATCGTTGTCATACTGGTGAAGGCTAGATATTGTATGTTGATTGGACAAGCCAGGTGTTATCGCGAACGGAGATTCGGGCATTTGTGTAGTATATGCATTGAAAGAAAGAGACGCGGTTGAAGAGGTAGGTGGAGCAGGGTGATGATATGAGGGTGATGGGTGAGGTTGGGGGTGAGGTGGAAGATGTTGAGATATTGGCGGCGAGACATTCGGGGCCTGGTTGTGTCGTGGTAATGGCGGTTGTACAGATCGAGGGGGTGTAGGCTCCCGACGGGGAGGTTCTGTGATCTGGCGCTGGTAGGGGCTTTCGGGATAGGAACTCGTACGGAGGTGGTTCTGCGCTCGAAGGTGAGGAGGCGGTTGTGATGGGAATGGCTCCCTTTCAGTCATCCTTTCGGTCATCCTTTCGGGGATTCTTTCTTGGTGATGATGATAAATCGGCGGGTGAGGATGAGGCTGGCTGGTCGGGGGTGGCGCTTGGGTTTGAGGATGAGCTTCGGGCGGCGGTGGGAATGTTGGTTGGGATAACGGGCGTGTCGGTGGCGAGAAGTGAGGATCGCGCGGACGCGATACGCTAGGTCCGGGCCGATAAGGTGGCGTTCTCGTTTCGGGGAAAGATGGCGGCTTGTTCATCGGTGGACTGTTCGAGCGGGAAGGTTCAATTGCATGTCCACCGATCGGTCGATCGCCAGGAGTATACGGTCGCTTTAAAGGCGATAGATCCGGGCCTAGAGTACGAGCAGGGTCCCTATACACGGATTGAGACAACGGCTCTAAACGAGCAAGCGGACCGGGTGGTCCATCTCCTAGAATAGTTGACAATGCCATGTGTGAGGGCCTGGATATCTCGCGCGATATCTCCAGGGACGATATGGATGGCAAATCTCGACCGCCGCCACCGAATGGCGCGCCAGTCGGGGGAGGGGGAAATTTTGTGGGTGCGACGGCGGGCCCGGCGGCGGCCGCGAGTAATGGGGAGGACTAGGGGGCGGCATCGACCTATTGGTTGTAGACGCCGGACGATTGGGTAGATGCGGGGAAGGATGATGATATTGTGGTTGGCCCTGCTGTTGATGGTGAGGTTCCGAGTACGAAGTCGAGCGTTGGTGGTGATGCGGTCCTGGGGGGTGTGGTGGAGGAGGATGTGGTTGTGGTTGTGATTGCTGCTGAGGAAACAGGGGTTGAGGTGGGAAGGGGCCAGTTTGGGGGGGCCCCGGATGGTGACCAGGCTGCTGCTGCTGCGGCGGCGGCGGAGGCCCGTTCTGCTGCAATTGCTGCTGAAGCTGGTGATGCTGCTGCTGAGCGGATTGCAGCGAAGGGCCGTTAGGACCGGTAGGGTAAGGAGGCGGTGGCGGCGGGCCTGGCTGGTGGAAATGTGGAGGGTGGTGATGCTCTCGCGAGTGTTCTCGCGGGTGTTCTCGTGGCGGGTGTTCTCGCTGGTGGGAGTGATCTGTCGGTCGAAACGTGGTCAGCCAAATTCAATCCAATCCAATTTTCGCGCGTCTTCCGATTTCCATCGCAAAATGACGAATGCAGCCCGAACAACCGACCAAAAACTCTGCCAAGAGAGGAACAACAGGGGCTATAAAACGGACACACAGAACCGCACCGCAGGCTTCCTGCTTCTCTTGCAGAAAGGTGGACTGCGCCGTGGGCTGGCAGGCTGGCCCAGACCAGGGCCATGCATAAGGTTTAGCGCGGGTTTTTTCGCTCAACTGCGTCCGGTTGGGTGATGCAACCGAAGAGGAGAAAAGACTCCGCTTGGACCTGGACACAAAAGGCTCTTTTGACGGGGCCGACATGCAGAACGGAGGGCACCATGACATTTTGATAATGATAAAGGATATAAACGATCACTACGATGAGACTGACGGGAGAGTCCTACCTCGATACATCTGCGGGCTGGCATTCAACATGCTTCGTCCGCTGGAATTACCCTCAGAAAGCGGTGGAGTAGCATTTTCTTGGCGGTGGAACTGTGGAACGGGTCGATCTGCGCACGAATTTCCCGTATGAATGAATTAGCGAATTAGAACCTCATATCGTCCGAAGTGTTTATAGACGTGTGCATACCGTCACGATGAGGTGGGGGGTGGTGCGGATGTAAGGGGTGCTGAGAATGAGGAGGCGGATGAGAAGAAGAAGAAGGGTGAGGATGATGTTGTTCGTGCTGTCGATAGCTACGGGGATCGTGGAACCGTTCATCCATATTCTCACTCCAAGTTGGGTTCGGTACGCGGTCCCCTGGATACACCGGTCTCTTATCGTTATTGTTATTATTCATCAGAGGTGGTCGATGGACATGAGATGGGGGATGCGGAGGCGGTTGATGATGCGGTGGTGGAGGTGGCGGCGGTTGTGACATGTATCGTCTTTCGTCCATTCCAATTCCATGAGATGAGTAGGCTGAATTAGGTGGAGGCGTGTTTCGTGACGAGAACGACTTTGTCGGTCGGTGATGATGGTGTTTTAGTTCAGCGGGAGCATATGGAGAGCCGTGATGACTTGGATGGTGATACGCTACAGGCGACGCCGGTGTTGATGCCGACGAGAGATTTGGAGATTGATTTGGATGTCGAGCGGGATTCGTGAATCGTGGCTGGTATTGCCGGTCCATGTTCCGAGAAAGCCCAACAGCAACCGCAGCGGTAACAGAATAGAATTCGAATCAATCGCCTCTTAGTGTGAAAGCCTTGGCCCGCAACCTTTCTTTCTCAAACAAACAAACAACCCAGGGAGATATGTCGTTAACCGCTGATAGGGAAAGGGAAAGTGTCGATAAAACACAGAGGTCGAAACTTTCGAAGGGTTAGCAAAGAAAAACACGGTCAAAGGACGTAGGAATCCAAGCGATGGATGGTGACGATAAGTGCAAGTGTCGTGTGGTGGATAAGGGAAAATAATAATAAAATACTGATTAACGCTCATGCGGGCGAGGCTGTTCCAGTTCCAGAAAAAAACGGGGAATTGGGCTTCTTATTTGGGGTGTCGTCTAAAGTGGAAGGCCAGGAGGGAAAGAAATTAGCTTGGGACCTTTTTTTTTCTTTTCTGTCTTTCTTTCTAATACTTTTGTGGATGTCAGAAGTATGTATTGACTAAGAGGCAAGCAGCAGTCAGGTATGAGGAGAGCGGAGAGCAGGAAGCAGGAAGCAGGAAGCAGGAAGCAGAGAGCAACAGCAAGCCAGCAAGCATGTTATGTTCCTCTTCCCTCACATCGTTAGCTCGAAATATGCAATGCAAGGCATGGGACCAAGGACAGGATCGGAAAAATAGACCAGAAAGAACTCAGGGCAGGCACACCTTTTTTTTTTTATCTCTTCAACATCTGCGACCCCAGGACAGGGTAAGTAAGGTCAGGTATTCTGTCTGTCCTGGACCCAGAAAAATGCATATGGGCATCTCTCGTCAGCGACATGCGTCTAACGGTCCCACCCGTCATCGACCTGTACTGTGCCAGTTGGTGTACATGATAATAAAAGTATACATATACGAGTATACGTACAGACAAGGCAAGGCAAGGCAAGGCAAGGCAAGGCAGGCTGGTAAAAAAGGGAGTATGCCTGCAGCTCATGAGCTCACGGTATGACAACCGTCTCTGCATGAAATGGTCTCTCGTAAGATTTGCTGCTCTCCTCATGAAGGGAGGCAGGAACGAAACGTATCACAACTCCTATGTGTCTGTACATGTCCGTCTGCATTTAGCCAGAGGATGGATGTGCAGAAAAATAGAATTCGGTGGTGTCTCGTGTCGGTCATGTCATCCCACATGCATGTTCCCTTCACCTTTTTTATTTCATTTTTTATTTTTATTTTTCTGTTATTTTTTTTGTTTATCGTTTGGCTTTTTTGGCTTTTTGTTCATCATCGCGCAGGGTTGGAACCGGACAGCCGATGTGGGGTTTCGAACCGGGTTCTAGCATTCAAATAGGCAAGAATCCGAGAAAATGGCATCCTCGCCAGCCAGGGTCTGACCTGTCTAGCTGCGACACAGCGGATGCCGGTGCGTTGTTTCAGCACCTCTAGCAGCGAGTCGTTAAGCAGCTTAAGCGTGCTTAGTACCCATCGGGTGGTTCACGACGCTAGCAGCCGTCCGATACGTTCAACTGTTGGATTTATCTAATCAAATGGTGTAAGGGGAGCAGTCACGGTCAGCTTGAGCTCTCGTAGTATGGCGTTTTTGTTTCTATGCACTTTGACTATCAGTGGATACTCTTACCAGCATGTGGTTCATTAATGAAACGCCAATTTGGGGGTTCAGTACAGAGGTTGGTACGTAATTGGCGTCTGATGGTATGCTGGCTATTTAAGGAAGCAAGAAGTAGGTGGAGAAAGGACAATGGAGATGTTTTCTTGGAGTTGAGATAGGTTGAGGTTGATGTCAGAAGCTCTATCCTAACTACTCAGTTCCCCCCTGTGTTGATGGCGACCATGACCAATTCCCCATAACCAAAATTGCAAACCGTTTTAAAACATCTACACAAACCTCACTCAACTTCCCATGTATCATAAGCTCCACCGTATCCTGATATAAAAATCGTCTACAGCCGATATTTAAGTATGGATCGATCCTTCACCAAGTAACAAAATATAAGTAAGCACATGATAAAGCTGTTAACAGCATTAACAGCCTTATCCTTCATCGGACCTCTCCCAATCATCACAAGGGCATATATTATGCATAAACCGCAGCAACATAACACCCAACAACATCAACAATAACACCAAATATGCTATAACAAACCCCCAAAATAACATGGTCGCCATGAGTTTTCGTGCTCCATGAGATTTTAGCAGTCCGAGAACCATGATAACTAATATAGTGGCTGTGATCTATTTGTTTCTAAATTCTGTTCTACTGACTGCAGGCTCGTTTCTTGCTCCAGGCACGTTCCAAGGCCCACGTGAAAGTATACGTATAGGGAGCCTGTCCCTGACATTGAAAAGAAGCTCTCTAAGTCTCTCTTAAATGCCATAAGCTGATTAGGGGGGGAGAAAGAGGGCGCATGTGGCTTATCAGGCTCAACGATAAGATATCGCAGGCGTAGACTTCTGTCCTCCATTGCATTGATATATCGTAACTTATATCTACAACTACAGCTTTTCTTTCGATAGGTTTCAAGAGTCAATTTATCCAGGGGTAGAAATGTATACAAGACATATTTTACAATTAGCGCTGAGCGGGGCTTTATACATTGTGACCTTTGTTGTGGAACGGCTAACTTCAGACCCGCTTAAGCTTGTAGCCTCGGAATCCAGCTTGAGGCCTCGTTTAACATCGATTCCAGAGACTTAAGACCTGAAGACCTTCTCCAATTTTTATAGCTAGCGATATCAGATACTTCTATAACTACTACTTAATTGAGTAATACTTACATAATTGGCTACTTAAGGCAGTACTTACGTACTTAATTATATATGTATGGAAACCACTGCCATCAAACCGCTATATCTTTAGTACCTTATACCTACCTTATAAGTGCTGGAGATAACCCCAAACCCCAAACCCCATTATATATTAGCAAGTATTTATATAATCCGTCCGGCCCAGCCGACGCCCCGATCCGAAAAGAAAATGCTACAGCATTTAGATTGCGTGCTAAAAAAGGTTCATGGAATGCGGGGAGCCGAAGCTAGGCGAATAGAATTCATCTCTAACCAACTATGACGTGGTTTGCCTTTGTTAAGTTAATTCCCCTTTCAAAGGAAAAACCCCCATGGCTGCCCCATACAAGGTGCTCCAATAGCAGGTCTATCACATTTGATTGGAATGTGCAAATTATTACAACTTACCTAATAGTTATAAGAGAGAAAGGCTCTCAAAGTTTCGAAGCTCAAGGCTTGGAATATTTGGTTTTTTGAGTACTTATATCCTGTATCTACCCCTTTCTTAAAATCTTTTGATTTAGAATTCATTTCTTCGCCGTCTTCGAGGCTACATACCTACACATTTACATACTACGTAGTATACATCATCATAGACATACAAAATCTCACTCTTCAAACACGACGAAGAATTTAAAAAAAGATGTCAGCTCCACACGTCCTAATCCTCGGTGGTCACGGGAAGGTAGCGTTGAAGCTTACTCCTCTGCTTCTCCAAAAGTCGTGGCGTGTAACTTCCGTCATAAGAAACAAAGACCACGAATCAGACATCACCGCTACTGCAAAATCCCATCCGGAGAATCTTAATGTTCTGGTTGAAAGCATCGAAGACGTTAGATCCACTAATGATGCCACTAGGGTGTTAAACCAGGTTAGACCGGATTATGTCGTTTGGAGTGCCGGTATGTCTCTTCCCTTTGTATACTATGAAATGTAAATAGATATATACGGAATTAGGTATATTAATTGAATATTCTATAATAGGCGCGGCAGGAAAAGGTGGTCCGGTCCGAACATTCGCCATCGACCGCGATGCATGCAGATACTATATCGATGCCGCCGCATCTCCCAGCTCCTCAGTGAAGAAATTCCTATTGGTCTCCTACATCGCCTCTCGACGGTCCTACCCACCCTGGTGGACATCCGAAGATAAATCCTCAGCCGACAACGTCAACCAAAACATTCTCGCAAATTACTTTAAAGCTAAAGTAGCAGCGGACGAGTATTTACTCGCAAGATCAAAGGCTGCTAGAGATGGTGGGAAGGAAGCCTTTGCGGATATTTGTTTGAGACCGGGGACTTTGACCGATGATGATGGTGGGGAAGGAGTTTTGCTTGGGAAGACGGGGAGTAGAGGCGAAGTTAGTAGGACTGATGTTGCGAGAGTGGCGGCCGCTTTGTTGGATACTGAGTATAGAGGATGGCTAAATCTTTTGAAAGGAAAGGAAGAGGTCCAAGAGGCCGTGAATAGATGTGTAGGTGAGAAGGTGGATTGTATCGAAGGCGAGGATTTGGAGGCTATCTATAAAACCAAGCTGGAACTAGACTAGCACTACACTCCTACCCCCCCTCGATTAAGGCCTCTTCTATCAGAGGTATCTAGATCTATAGATCTACATTGTATAGATACTAGATACACATTCTAATAATCAACTACTGAAGTCAGCATATATAAGAATCTCGAATCTGGATATATATCTCTATATCTTCTTCCTCCCAATCACAGTAATAAGATCAAAGAAAATCTTACTGCCCCCCTCACCAGTCTCCTTCAAAAACTCCTCTACAAACTCCCCCGCCGTCTCCGGTGTAAACCATTCGTTCCTAACATCATTCTGTGCCATATAAGACACGATACTACACAATCCACTAACATAATTCCTACTCCACGTTTCCACCGTCTCCGGTTTAAACTCGCCCCCAACAACATGAATATAAAACCTTGTATCAGCAGCCGGTGTAGTAACTGGCGCGTATTCCGGAATAGGCCTTGTACTTGTATTTAGTACTGGTGGCGGGATTATCACAAACCCATTGTTTTTAAGATGGTTCGGGATGGAGTTACAACAACTATAGAAGATCATGAACATCATGGACATCAAGTTATATCAGCTATACTCCACTTAAAAGACATGATTTGTCAGGGTTTGAAGGAGGGTGGGAGTGGATCGAGACTAACAATGGATCGCCGCCTCGGAGTTTACACATGTATCCCAGAAGGGCCGCACCTTGACTAGCCACCTTAGTGGGCGGGATAGCCTGCGTGCTGCCGGGGTTAGTCTCATTCCAGACTAGGTAGCCACCGGGTTCTAGTATAAACGAATTTCAATTAATATTTAGACGTCAAAAATATCTGCATGTGCATGTGCATTACATGGCATTGCATTTGCCCTCATAATATGATATATAATAGGTTAGTAGTTCGATAGTGTAGAAGAGTTTAACATACTTATAATCTTTGCCACATTCTTCACAACTACATCCCACTCTTCGGTTTTCAGAACGAAGGATAGTCCTCGGATATGAACCACATCATACTTTTCGTACAATGTCTCCGAGATTGGTTCCAGGACATTGAGAAGCGAGAAACTAACGTTTTTGCGAATGGTGGAAGGGTCTGGGAAGAGGCGGTCCGTGATATCAAAGCCGTGGAGGATTACCGTCGAGGGCAATAATTCCGATAGCTGAGTCGGCCATATTCTAAATTTTTTCAGATGCCTAAGTTTAGTTTCGAGGGCCAACCTGCTGAGCTCTCGAGCTACCATAATATATTACTTGAATGTACATTTAATCCTCATAGGTGTATACTACATTTATTTGGGAACTAGGAACTCTCAAGATGTAGATATAGAAGAAAGAAAGAAAGAAAGAAAGAAAGAAAGAAAGAAAGAAAGAAAGAAAGAAAGAAAGAAAGAAAGAAAAAGAAAGTAAATACCCGGTCCCAGTAGCAATATCAGCTACAGCATTCAAATTCCCATGATCAGGGATGGCAGGAGGTAACAGGTGACCAGTATTTTCCACAAAGACACCATGTTGAGTGTTCAGCCGTATCCTCTCTTTTTCAGGCGGCTCGAAATCGACGACATAGGTTGACTTGGACCTCGAAATCGGCGCCACTGACTTGGGATCTTCCATATTCGGAAATTTTTGGCGTACGTAAACTAAGACAACGGTCTTTTAGGTTTCGTAGAGGCGTTCTTTCCTTTTGAGTTCCTCAGCTCTGATAAGCGTAAGTGGTTAAGTGGTAGATGTGAGTCCAGAGAGTATTGATATTTGCGACTAACTGTGATATCTCGATATTTGCATTGGGTTTATTGTAGCTGGTAAGGAACACGTTTAAAACTAGAAACGGGCAGCATCATATTATATTTCACTGTGAATTCATGAATGAATCTCTCCTCTTTAAAGTATTAGATCCGCCTGGAGATAGCGGGGTAAATGCTGGCAACAACTGTTTCTCATCGTCATTGCGATATATTGAACGATCCATGTCTCTATACACGTCTATACGAACATTCAAATATAATCACCCTGTAAATATAGCCGGTGTATCGGTTAACCTGTGCCTCAACACCACATTCCCATCAACAATCGCATTATCCGCAACCAGCTGCATATGCAAAAGGAATCAAAGGGAGAAAAGGAAAAAAAAATTAGAAGAGGAAAGAAGGGAGCTCGAGAGGGGGTAGGAGGAACACCATGAATTGGTACCCCACCAATAGAATCGTACGTGATCAATCTCAGTTATGCATTGTATGTGAATTAAATCCCGAGATCCCATCCCGGCCCTGCAGGACTGACTGACTCTGGGATGATAAAATATTCAAAGGAATTGATTTTCTGGGGACGGGCTAGCAAAGCAGATCAAATTCCCTTGGTCCCTAAAAACTCTAAGTTGAATTTGAATTGAAACATTCATAATCCCTGCGAATACTACAGAGTGGACAACCGGCCATTGGATGAAAACAGCCTTGATGCACGGTTAAGCCAACGCAACCATCTCACCCCCGTGTGGGCTTTCGCTTTTTCATTTCGACCATTTTCCTCATGGTGGTGTGCGGAGGGACTGTGCGCCGAGGGGTCATTAGTGTCGCTAATGGCTCCTGTTGTGGAGCCCAGCCTAACCAAAGTCGTCTCGAGGACCGTTTTGACAGGCTTAGAATTGGCCGTCCTCTCCCGCTGTGGGCACTCAGAAACGGATTTCTCCAGAGCCAATAATCTCAAGAAAACCTTAGTTCGTGCTTGGTACGATTCAGTCATGACAAAAGATATTCCAGTCGGAATATATCTTGTCAGGCAATAAAAATAAAAGACAACTGTCGGCTGATAATATAAAGGAGAACATATTCGTCCCAAGTTCTTATTTTCAATTTGTCTCAACTTGCAGATATTTCGATCCCAAGATTTGGTTTGAACTGGTTTTCTTTTTTGTGGAAGCACACGTGGGCAGGTGTTTATCTTATTCTTGTTGGAACGATTGCATTAGCTACTACCAAGGCTTTGTCACGACTGCGACTACGGTGAACCTTGGATTTGGGTCTCTTAGCATCTGGGGATTTGGTATTTGATCCGGCGCCTAAGGATATTGCGCGTTTATGCCCGCCGACAAGATGATACTCTACGACGACATCGTCCCGGTACAGATAGTGGTCAGTCCATATGCCTTTGTCGTACTATCTTCGATGGCCTTTCACGTCTTGGCTTTCACTTGAACTCATATATCCACATATGCATGTTCATACACCCTCGACTTTGGTAGGCTAACTTTTCAAACACTTCGAATACATTATAGCCGCAATCAAGTGACCAAGGAGAATTCTACGATGAAGATTATGATGGCTTTTATGAATACGACGACATGTATGCCTTTTTTCTCCCTTTGATTCGATATCATCTATGCGTCCTCTGCCCCGCGCCAAGCCCCAGTATCGATCGATCGATATATATCAACCATGTGCCAGTAACTGACATAATCTTTCACTACCAACTAAAGTGCGAGTATAACCACTTCTCTCTCAACCTCAGCCACCGGTAAGTCCAACCTGTCCAAGCTTATCCACGAATACGTACGTATTCATATGTGCCTTACGTATTTTCGGACCAAAAATTACAAACCCTGTAACAATACTGTTAGAGGCGCACATTACTAACTCTTATCTTTTGCATGTTCCTCAGACTACAAATTCGAAAACGGTAGAAGATATCACGGTTATAAAGAAGGACAATGGCCTGTGCCAAACGATGAAGTACGTAATCCAAACAATCTAGGATCTCAAACCGCTTCCATATCGTAAATTTTGTAACTAACAACTTCGCTCCCCAGAAACAACAAAACCAAATGGACCTCGTGTATGAAATCCCCCCACCCGCACGCGCCGCGGACGAAACAACGATAAGAACAATAGATTGGACTGACCTATTTCCGGGCACAGCCATCAGGTATATACTTTACGGTTAGGAGGGAAATTATACTTAGCCCCTATAGACGAATGTCCGCAGGTAAATTGAATTGTCTCCCACTGAGCTCTGGCGGGCAAAGGCTGAGCTGAGCCGCTCTGTTGTATTTTATACTGACAGTTATTGTTTTAGAAAATTCTAGATGTCGGTACAGGGACTGGGATCTGGGCCATGGAAATGGGTGATTTGCATCCTAGTGCTGTAGTTATTGGAAATGGTAAGTCTATATTTTTTTTTTTTTGTTACACAGGTATGGGGTCCTTGCTTTCACGATTACTGATATACTCCATATGAATAGATTTATCTCCAATACAACCACGATGGTATTACGCCTTGTTAACATAATCCTCGCTCGAAACATTTCTAACAAACATCTGGACTTTTCAAGGGTTCCTCCAAACGTTAAATTTGAAATCGACGACTTCAACGAACCATGGGTTCAAACGCCGAGCTCCTATGATTTTGTACATGCCCGTGAAATTCATGGGGCTGTGTCGGACTGGCGGCAGTTCTGCAGCGAAGCATTTAGGTATGAGCCCACCGACCTACGTAATATTTTCGGCACAGAAGTCGAAAATCGTTTGAAAAAAGATGAACAACCGAAACTGACATAAACCTCTCCACAAAAAAATAGAATATTGAAGCCAGGAGGCTGGATCGAAGTTGCGGAAAGTGCCGCCGAACTACGAAGCGACGATGGCACCCTACCAAAAGACTGTGCCCTAAACACATGGCTCAACAATGTCTCCGAGGGCTTCGAAAGAATCGGTCATACAGTCGTCGTCGGTCCGAATATAGAGGGCTGGTTAAGAGAAGCAGGGTTTGAGGAAATCGCCGTAAAAGTCTTTAAGTTGCCAGTTGGTCTTTGGCCGAAGAATAAGGTGGAAAGGGATATTGGGGCGTTCAACTTGTTGAACATGATCGAATATGTTGGTATGTTATATGCGCCCCCTCCTTCCTTACGCCCACTTAAATTCAGGTTTCAGATCTATAGTTCTGGGCGGCGCCTATACCGCCTGGGTGAACTAAAATGTTGGATTTTTAGACAGAGCTAACGTGTTGTTTTTGGCACAGAGGGAGCTTCGCTTCAGATTTATACGAGAGTGTTAAAGGTACTGCAAACACCCGCCGCTCCAACATAGATAGTTCTAACTTCTGTTCGATGTTCTGGAACGAAACTGTTTCGAAAAGTCTGGCTAACAAATCTTTTCTATAATTTACCAGAAATCTCTTGAGGAAACCAGAAGAGCTATTAGGAGCGCACAGGCGGAGTTCAAACGAAAGGACTACCATATGTATGTCCCATAGTAAGTATACTCCAGAATCCGGCCCTTTTCTGATATTATATTCCTGGATATATGGCATACAACATTGTTATAATCGTAAAAAGAGACCTAGTTCATTTCATGCACGGCTAACTCATCTTTTTCTGGAACAGCTACGTTGCCTACGCCAGAAAACCAGACCATCCACATAACATTTAAAACTATATCAACGAAGCCTACTCTCCGTGCCTCCAAAACTTCAATGCCAGTTCACGAGAGTCTATGCGCCACCTTGCATACAACCCAATTTTTGGCTGGAAAGTAGTTTCCAAGGTTTCAGAAAGCATCCGCCACCAAATATTTTACCTCCCCTTTGTTGATTTCCTTTTCTGTTACTTATCCCTTTATCTTGTACATACGTACGTGTACCCCTTTCCCCCGGCACAGCATGGAGCGCAGTTACTGTTATTTTTATTTTGCATTTTGTTTCTTCCCTTTTCTTTTCGAGCATAGTTTCTTTTAATCGATTCCCCTACCATCTAGCATTTTAATTGTGTATATAAGAGGCGCTTAGAACTCTTGCCAAGGTGATCTGATCCAAAGTAGATCGCAAGACCTCCAGATCATTAACTTCTCTGGTTAGAAAGTTTATACATAATATTATACATCTTCTTTCTTTATATATATATAGTACATATCTATCTTTGTCTAATAGGCGTTTCTATTCACTGATCTCTTGATATTCACCTTTATCGATATCCTCCTTCATTCCTTTCCTATCCCCATAGTCTATACCCTTCTTCTACATCTTAACCTCACCCATTCCACCAAGATGTTAGGAGTCCTATTGGCGTTCTACGCCACCTCCGTGGTAGCCTCCCCCTCCGGCTCGAAGCTCACCAACCTCCATCGTCGCATGGAAGTCCAAGCCCGTCCAGACATGGCAAAAGACCAATACACACCCGGCAAGATCCCCGTAACCTTCAACATGACCGATTCAGCGCGCCAAAAGATGGGATGGATCGCACACGTTGGTATCTCCGGAGAAAAATACGGACTTATGCTCGACAACATGATTTCCACAACCTGGCTTTATAGCCCTATGGATAAGAATAAGTGTGAGATGGAGATGAAGGGATCTAGAGAAGGGATGAACTACTGTTATATGATGAAAACGGGAGATAAGATGTTGGATGGGGTGCAGCCGTTTATGTTGAATTTTACGGGCCCTGGTGGGTATGGTGTTAGTGGGACTAGAGCGGTTGTTACTACCGTCTCTTGTCCTGAGATGAGTGGAGGAGCGAAGTTCCCTGTTGCGGCCGGGTTGGTGGATAATACTTATATTATGGGAGCTGGTGGGGCTCCTCCTGAACAGCATATGTATCACGGTGTTCTTGGATTGTCTAAGATGGACACTCATGTCTGTGAGTAAAATCGTCTGGAAACTTTATCTCGATACCGTCCTTGATAATGCTGCTAGATACTGACATCATTACTATAGTCGAACTCGGGGGGAAGAAGGAGCATATCTACCAGACTCCGTTCCAGGCTTCAAGCGGCTGGGACTACTTTACCACCTATTTCAACCACAAGGCTGACGATGATAAGACCTACATCGGTCTTCAATACATGGATGAAGCCGCCAAGATGGGCGAACTCACCACCATCGCCTCCGTTGGCGATCAATGGTCCGTCACCGCTGATGCAACCTGGAAAGTCAAGGTTTGGGAACAGAACGTCATGGTTGGAGACGAAAACGCCGCTCCAGAGGTCCGCTTCAACCACCCATTCCCAGCTGTAAACATGTCTCAAACTGCAAATATCCACCTTGGTATGTTCCATATCCCCAATCTTAAATAATGTATAACCAGATTGATTTATTAACAATGTCATACAATATCAACAGACCTAGCCTCTGGCACCACCTTCGTCGACTTGGGCACTGCGAAGGCAATCTACAAGGCCTTTGACGGAAGCTGCAATTACTACCCCGTCTCAGGTTGGAAGAACGAACGTCTCCCACTCTGCACCTTCCCCGTTGAGGTCTTCCGTAACATGACTTCAGGCGAGGAATGGGTTATGCCTACCAAGGCTGGTAAATTCTCCCTTCCATTCGGAAAGGCCGATGTTCAGATCATTCCAGATACTATGATCGATCTTGTTGATGGTCCTTGTTTCCATAAGCGTGGTCGTATGGGTAAGGGCCACTATGGTGCTAAGGTCGAAGAAGAAATGGGTGATCATGAGGGTGAAATGGGGATGGATGAAGGTTACGTAGGAGGTGATCCAGCAACAAGGGCTGATAAGAGGGATATGGGTGGTAAGTATGGTAAGGATGGAAAAATGAGTGGTGATATGATGCCAGAGGTTGAGTCTTGTAAGTTGTCTTTTCCCCTATCAAGCCGCGGGCTTGGATATATTCGAAGTATAACAGTTACTAATCATGTAAAAAACACAGGCTATGCAAACGCATATGGAAAGGTCCAACCAAATGTCTTTGATACCAAAGCCGATCAGAACAAGATGTACTGGAAGTACGGAGAAGTTTTCTTCAAGAACGCTTTCGTCAAGTGGACCGCTGGTGCCAGTCCATCTATTGGAGTAGCTGAATATGCCGCCATGCCAGGAGCAATGGTAGCAGCTCCTAGCGGTAACAAGCGCGGCGGAAGTGGCAAGAAGCGCACAATGGCTCGCTACAAGAAGCATCTTCCTCAGTCAGAGATGTAGAAAGATACTTCAGGCGTATCTGAAGGATTTTATATTTATACATAGTTATAGCATACACTGGTTGTTTTTTAAGCATTCAGGTAGGGAATGTCCTTCCGTACTGGTTTCAGGATGGGATTTGAATTAATTATATCTACTTTGGTGTTTTTGTGTACTTTTGTTTATCATTTGTGGTGGATGGTGCGCCTGTTAAACGAATTCGCGAAGGGGTTTGATACCACTTGGATGGATATGTTTTAATGGTATAGAAGTTTTGAAAAAGTTAATTGTTTTACGAAATTAGCAGAACCAGTATTCTGCATTAAGCTGTGAATTCGAATGATCTCCTAATCTCGGTTATATGTTATGTTCTAAAACCCATTGGCTGGTTGGGTCTCTTGGAGGGAACATCAAGTTTATAGCACCTTTACATGTCGTGGATGACTTAGAACCAACAGGCCATACGACTTCAATGTGAAGACTAATTCAATCGTATGTTCTCATATTGTAGAATCGTTCTGTTGTACAGAGTATAGACGAAATCTCGAATGAACGCCCTAAACTCCAATCTACCTGATGCAGACTGATATAATTTCAATCTGGGGAAGTAATGACATTATATCACATAAAAATGCTCGACCATCATACGGCGCACAACCAATCAAGGCCAGCCGCCGTTTGAATATCCACCACCGCCATATCCGCCAAATGGAGTTTGGGCTCCAGCTCCAGCGCCACCGGCTCCACCATAGGGTGTAACATAACCATCGTTGAAGTTTCTTCCATACCCGTTCGCATCTCCCATATCCGGACTCCTAGCACCCCCATATCCATCATCCATTCCACCAACATCTGCGCCTGCAGCAGCAGCCGCACCTTCTCCTGCAGTTTTCTGAACTCCAGCAATAACGGTAGCTAACTTCTCTTGCAAGTATTTAATGCCTTGTCGTAAAATCTCATCAGGTTGTAAACTTCCCACGGTTTCAACATCGACGTAGAATTTGGTTGGGACGGCGTTGTAATCGAATGGCTCGTTTTCCTGGGGTGGTTCCTCCCATCCTGCATTCGCAGATTTTGGCCACTCGGCCTTTGCGTCTGTTTCGTACCAATAGTCGACATGCTTGAGTTTGTTATGTGGATCGTATTCGAAAGCGACGGCGGCACACGGTTGCCATTTGGCGTGTTCTTTTGCTATTCCCTTCTTCGCGATACACTTAAGGTTGAGTTCCTGTCCTTTTCTAAGCTTGCAAATAATAGACCCCTTCTGAGCTTCGTCTGTTTCCATTCATTAGCACTTATTCCTGCTTAAACAACAGCTATCATTATCGACCCATACCAGTAATAACAGGGCTCCCTAGTTGTGCACCCGCGGCAACCGCCAAATCTCTAGCGTATACAGTCACGTTCCTGTCTCCTGTGCACTTGGCTACGAGTGTTAAGACGACACTACATCTTTCACAGTAACCATCACAGTCGCAGTCACGAGTGTATAGCATCTTCTCGTCAATATTCGAGGATTCCAGAGGCACCAGTCCTAATCTGTGGGATAGGAGCTCATCGGGAAGGACGCTAGAGTTGTTGATTACTTCGACTAAGTCGATCGCGAGTGTAGGGACTTCGGCCAGGATGATTCTGCGGATGGAATTGGCGAAGGCGAGGTCAACGTTGGAGAGAACGAAGTCGGCACGAGTCGAATCCGCCTATAAGGGTCTTAGTATGGAACGTTGGGATGCTTTTTCGAGATAGAGAATACAAGCGCACCTTACGGATTGTGACTGTGGGCCCTTCGGTCCCGGAATCCATCATATCGAAGCCGTCCATGGTGACAAGTGGCGAGCTTCCGTCTGCTCTATAGCTAAGGTGGCGCTTTTGGTGGGAACACCTGGAGCTATAGTCCAGCTACTTGAAAAGACGGCGAGGAGTAAGCGACCGGGAATATTCAATTGTGGATGCGGGGAGTTCCGTCAGCTGAAGATCCGGGGTACGAGGTGGAATGAATGCGATATGAAGTTTCGTGATCCTGGCGGATGAAAGTGGTTGACGCGAAGACGAGAGGGCACCTTTTGATTTGTCGGCTGCCAAGACTTAGCCATCGACGCTGTGGTACCTTTCTATTTTGGGATTTACAACGTTTTCAACGCATTATTCGATATATTCGATCTCCTATCGAACTTGAATTCACTCGTCGAGCTTAGGTACTCTATTCAAATTGGATCATGTGGGAAATAATTTATATATGTATGTCTCTAAAAAGTATAGTGGACAAGAATGCTGCACCCCGGCTGCTGCTGTGCAACAATTAAACCTGGTTTACAAGATAACCATGAGGGAGCGTTCTACGCTGCCCCATAGAAGCCATTATTCGCCAGCCCTCGGCCATCATTCGCACCTCTAACAGCTACCCCTGCCGACATTGCTATCAAATGCCTCTTCATCGCAATAGGATTAAATCTCAGTCGGGGATTCTTAACCATCTCGTCTGCAATAATCCCGGAAACCGCCGGGCATGCCATGGAAGTTCCCTGCATTGATGTAGTGGACCTACAAAAAACCATTTCTGCTTAGTATCGCAACTCATCGTTCGACTCTTGGAAACTGGTGAATGAATTGCAATCACTTACGTTGGTCCCTTATTATAGGTACTCATGATAGCCACGCCAGGCGCATGGATGTTAACACAGGGTCCAAAATTCGAGAATCCAGCCCTTTGATCGTTGATATCACTAGCTCCGACGGTTATAATTGGGATTTCTCTCGAATACCGTCCCGGCCAGACTGTGCATGCATCCTCCTTTGCGTTCCCTGCTGCGATAGATACATGTATTCCTAAAAATTTTCTATTAGCTAATGTTGCAAATGATATACCGATGTATGGAAAAGAGAAGTACCGGCTTGAGTGGCCGTCCGCATAATATTTTTTAAACTTTCTGCGGTTCCCTTCCCGCTCAATGACATGCTAATAACGGAACCTTTGAAATTAGGATCCCTTCGGCGCTCGTTATGACGGCGGATGGCATGGTCGAAGGCTTGAACTATGGCAGATGATGGTCCGACTCCGGCGTTATTGATAACTTTCATAGCAAGAATGTTGGCGTTCTTTGCTACGCCGTAGTGAATGGACCCGACAGTTCCTGCGGTGTGAGTACTAGGAAGGCATGTAATCATTAGGACTAGACCAATATAGTTGCAGTAACAGAGGAAATATATATACCCATGACCCCTCGCATCCTTACCATCGTCGCCTGGAAATGCATTGAATTCTCTTTTAGCCCTACCGGCAAAGTCTGTATGTTCAACATTGGTACCTATATTGGGCCATATTTGGTTAATACAGGGGATCCCTTATCTATTCACGAAGACTATGTAACTTACCAGTATCCAAAACATAGACATCAACTCCAAACCCCGCCATACTATCATATGTATAATAATAGCTCATATCCGTAACCTTTCTTCCCCTCGTCATAACCTTATTCCGACTCGAAATTCTCTGTAAACTCCACGGTGCAGTTCGTTGCGTATAGATATGTGACTGTCCCTGTTGCTGTCGCTTCTCAAACTTCCCAACCGTCACATTGAGCACCTCGTATTCGTCTTCCTCAATAACCGCGGGACGAGCAATACTATCTTTCTCAATAATCGCAACTTCTTCCAAACCGGATAACCCATCTGCCTCTGATTCTCGTAGGTTCATAGTAAAGGCTCGCATGTTATGCCCAAACGCCTCGATTTTCTCTCCAAAATCCGTTTCAAAGTCACGGATATGGTTCTGATATCCGGATTTGCTATTCGCATGGGCAGAGTAGATATTATCTTTCTTTTCTGTGGCATTGAATCCCATTTCATCGAATATCTCCATCCACGGACGTTTTTCATTCTTCTTCATGGTTACGATGTAGGTATTGAAGGGATCATCGTCATCGGCTTTTAAGGTTCCATATGTAGGAGGAGTCGAGTCTTTTGAGGAAGCGGTTAGTGTAACTTCGGATTTGTGCCAGCGGGGCTTGACTTTGAAGTTTCCTCGATTAACAGTTGGCTTTGCGAAGGTGGCTGGGAGAGATATTAATATGAAAGAAGTGGAGATAAGTTGCCACTTCATGGTTGTGGATTGTTGAAGTACGTTAAGCTTAGAAACTGAAGTTGTAGAACTGAAGCACGGCCGGCGCGTATAATGAAGGGTCCAGCCCGTAAACTCGAAGTTAAATGATACAAGTCTTTTAATTAAACGGGAGGCATATGATCTAAAAAAGAGGGTACTGTCTATGAATTATATACCTACAGGCCCGCAGGCCGAGAATGATTATATAAGTGCCACGAGGGATTGGACATGGTACCTGCGTCTGAAAATCGAAAACCAGTAAAACAAAATCTCGAATACGGAAAGATGGCATTCATCAAAACTTCCCTTACGACGCCCCCCATTAGGCGACTATATCCGTATGCAATTGTCCTTGTAGCCTTATTATTGTCTCCTGTTTTGCGCCAAAAGCCTGTTAAAAACCCCCCGTGTACTGTGTATCCTCGTTCTAGAATTCTGCTGCTCGGCCTAGATCTGAGTTCGAATGCGTGTTGTCTGTGGTTGAAACGTGGACTGCACAGCCATCCTGCGCTTGCATTGACTGTAAAGACCACGGGGAGCATGAATTCAGAATAGACTGGTCAGCCACCGTTTCATCTCGGATGAAGGAACACGAGAATTTGGCTACAGCAAATTTCTCATTATTTTCCGACCCCCCCCTGGGTCGACGTCACTTTGCTTCGGGTCTCTATATGCTATAAGGCCTTCCGGCATGTGGCTCTTCCCCGTTGTAACAGTTCGCTTTCAGGGCACCCGGTCGGTCTGAATTCAAGCGATATGATATCATTCGAATCCTTTTTTGCAATAAAAAAATAATTATGGATTACAGGCAACAGTCAATGAAGTTCAGATGTTATTATTGTCTAGAGAGGTCTAGATCTAATCAACGTAACTGATATTATCGTCTCAATATCTCGTGTTCTTTAAGAACATGCCGCTCATAAGCTCATGAACCCGCTAGACAATAAGAATGGAGGCCGAGGAACATAACACCCATCTACCATTCAAAAAAGGGGCATACCGAAAATACGTAGCCGATTTAATAAACTCCATTCGTAAAATCAACGACAGTAACATTTGCCAACCCTCCGGCTTTTAATGCCCCCTTAAAAACTTGGTGGGCAGGGTCCTTCTCAACATAGTAGTCACGATCCCATGTTGTCGCAAACTCGAGAACGAAGGCATGAGTATAGCCGTGCTATTTGAACACTAATTGTTACTTTACATACTTCGAAGCTGATTTTGGGATTGAAAGGGGGGGGGGGGTGTACGTACTTGGAGGTCTTCGATGCTGTTATCGAATCCGCCCTTGATTGACAAGATGTATGGCTTCTGGGTTTCCGGGTGTATACAAGTGTCCTTCAACTTGATGAAGGCATCGCAGAGCTAGCCATTAATTAAAAATAGATAGGAGAGTTAGCAATTGGTCTCCTATATGCATAACAGTCGAATTCTGTATATATAAGTATAGAGGGAAAGGAGGGCTGTGGTATACCGGCTTCACAGCATCAGATGCTGTTCCCTCCGCAAACTGCAACAGAACAATATGAACAACCGTATTCGCAGCCATTACTGGTATCAAATTATTTCCCAAGCTCGGATGTGGAATTGCAAAACTGCCGGCGTTGTAGAATATCGAAAAGGAGACGAGGAGGAGGACTGCGAAGAAGAGGAGGAAGATGGGGCCCCGGCCGATCATTGCGTCTACCAAAGTATTTATTCGGGTATCCACGCGGCCTAAACTACCAAGCCTTTTCGTTTGTGATATAAACTGCGGGGAAAAGGTTCAGAAGGGGAAAAAATGAGCGACGAGAATGGGAAACGAGAGATACGTGGACTTGCGTCTACCCCGACTGCGATATACACGATAGGATAGGTACTATAGACAGGGCTGAAGAATTGGTCTGGAGGGCCGGCATGACGCGCAGCGCGCAGGGCAAATAGGGGACCTTCGCACTTCGGAGGACCGGAATACTTTCCGCTTCCGTGCTAAAATCAAACACCAACGCACCTAGTGCGAGAGAGCTCGAGAACAGATGATGATTTAGGATCTAGCATTGATATACACAGCTAACGAAGTTATGGACAGTATTTAAACATTTTGAAGCAATAAAGCTTATAAAACCTAGCCAATTACAGGCTGTGCTAGTGTATGAAGTCAATATGCAATACACAAGATATTTCAAAGTGAACAGATACGATGCACCGGCAGCCCTTAACGCTAAAGGAAAAACCAAAAAAGAGAGAATCAAGGACGACAAAAAACCTCAAAATCTAGAATTACAGCACTTACAAAGATCTTAAGAGTATCAATCTATTTCCGAGTTATGAGTTGGTCAGATACTTCAAGTACTCGTTGAACATTGCAAGTTCCAGTGTCGCCTGCGAAGCCACCATGTAGTTTGCCATCAATTGAGCTGCTGCCTCCCGCTCTTGGGCTTCGATATGGGCTCTTCTCCTTCGTGCTAGTTCTTCTGCAATGGCCTGTTGGAAAGCTTCTTGTTCCTGTCTATCGCGTTCCTCTTGTGCTACCTCGATAATCGCTTTGAAGATGTCGTCTAATGTTAAGGCCGAATCGCTGTTGTCGGGCTGGGCTGCCGTCGTGGTAGTAGCTGTTGTATTTGTCCCTCTGACAGGCTCTTGAGACGGGGGTTCGGAGTATCTGTCGATTTGTTTGGCCTTATCGGCTGCACCCCCGAAGGTTTGATCGAATTCCAAGAGATCCTCAAATCTAAATACCGCGTGGCTTGTTAGCGTCTGAATATAATATTGGGGTCGGAGTAGGGAATTGCATATACCTCGCACTGACTAGAGAAAACGATATCAAGGCCTTGTCTGTTCTCTCGAATCGTCTGAAATCCGACCATTGGAACACAATGCCAACATCATCTCTATCCTCATTCCCTTCAACATTAAAGATGCACTTCAATTTCACAGGTGTCAATCCAGACATAGGATTGACATTAAAATCATCATACCAACCATACTCAAACAGGTTCCCCATCAAACTCTTGTTCTCGGGGAATGTATCGCGGAAGAAGGTCTTCTTAGACTTAACATATCCGACACCTACTCGTAATTTTCCTAGCGCGTCGGTTCCGAGTTGCTTGATATGCGCTTCAGTGAATTCGGGTACTAGGAATAACTCTATATGAAATGATACTCTGTAGTTCCCAGGCTCTAAGCTTGAAATTAAGTATCTTGCATGATCGTTATGACAGGACAAGTGATGAACTCTTCGCTCGTCTCGGATTGTCCAGTTTACGAACTGTCGCCCTGGGGATCTTTCTGGATGAACTTCTGACGGGATTACCAATTCTGATTGCTCCTGTGTTATCTGTCGAGCTTTAATTATGAGTTCTTCTTTGTGATTCCTTTTGTGCGTTTTGGTGATTTTGCCTTTTTCATGGCATGTGCCACAGAGGTCGTAGTCGGGGCAGTCGAGGCAATGGATTCGGCTTTCGAAGGGGTATATAGGGTTTCTACAACCGTCGCAAATCCAATGGGGAGACTCTGGGGGTGGAAGAGTTGGTTCTGGCTCTGGCTCCTTGGGGGTTGGCGGGGGAGGGGCTCTTGCGGCTTGGGTGGTTGCTGTTGGGCTGGTGGAGTTGTTTGTAGATAAGTTATAAGATGAATATGCTGGTTTTGAAATGGAGGGAAAGGAGCTTGTATTCGATTGAGTGCTCGAGCTTGTGGGGCTCGACGATGCGGGTTTGTAAGCCGTGTAGGGAGCATCATACAAGGAACTATTCGAACTGACGCTAAAGGAACCCCTAGGCCTTGATGGCGGCTCTGGTTTGGCTGGACCATTTCTCTGACCCGAGTCATAAGCTGGGGGCGATGTGAAGCCATTCGACCGGGAATTGCTGGAGTAGGCTGAATGACCTGGTGCATCATACGGGACTGATTGGGAATATCGACTTCGATCGTCTTGGTTAAAATAATGAGGCCATTGCGATGTCATAGGTTCTTTGGCTGGCGGTCGTGGCGGCGGTGGCGAAGTTACTGTCGAAGCTGGTGTGACGGGACGGTCATTTCGGGAAGCTGTACTTGCCGAATATGCAGATGATGATGAGTAGAAGCTTGCCGTTGATCTGGTGGCATCTGAATTGTATCCATTGAGACCACTATGGCCACTTCTTTGGCTATGAAAAGATGCAGTGGATGCGGTTGGGTCAAAAACAGGGTTAGGTTGGGCCCTAGGCGCCGGCGCTGGTATATCTGGGGGGTCTGTTTTTGAATGCGGGTGTTAACATGCATTCACCGGCCGATATCATGATTGCTAAACAGAATATACATCCATGGTGATTTGTTTATAAGATGCTTACCAAACAGTGTACTCGTTGACCTCGTTAATCTTTTTATCGCGTCTAATAAAGCTAGATAGTTTTGATCCGTCCGTTCTTTATATCTGCACATTGTACGATGGTTGGTGCCATCCAACATAACCTGCGTCTCAATTCTTCCAAGGTTCATGACAGCAGATTCTCGCTCAACGACCTAGAAAATTATGTCAGAATATGGTATCCGGTCGACATATAATCTATTGCGCATACCTTAGCTCCTCCAACCATTGGTAGCGATTCATACATATTAAAAATCCTCATCTCGCCGCAGATATTTGCGAATCTCCCCGCAGTTTCAAAAAGCCGGGATGAGTCTTTCCGCAAACTTTTGATCAGTGTTCTGTTTTTCGGCATAATAGCATCTGGGAGCACTACTCCGGCTATCCTTGCTCCGATATCTGCTACTGTCGCTATTGCGCTGCCGGTATGCGGTGTCCCAAGAAATATAACACCGACAGTCTGTATCAGGATTGGTTGGTATTGCGGGATAATTTGGGCTTCGACGAGTGCCTGTTTACGCATTAGTAGATGTTATCGGTATATAGAAGTTCCGGGTTGAAAGATACGAATTTGCATACCGTTTTGACTACAATCCCGCCCAGCGAGTGACACACCCATATTATTTTATGTTGCTAGAATCTCTCGTATGAGTGCTAAAACTGAAGCAAGTAAGGTATTTGTTATTATCTTGTTAGGATATTTTACCTCATAGCCATCTCTTATCCTGCTAACTTTGTATAAGAGGCTTCGCGCAAAATCCAAGGCTGAGGAATTTGTCGACCCGAATGCCGAATCGGCGTCGTAACCATACGTCCATATTCGCGAGTTCGTCCATGAATCAATATCGACTATGTCGGTGGGTAGGAAATCCGCAAACCAAATATTCCCGCCATCGGGGTGCCGAAATGATTTCGCAGGACCTCCGTTTAATCCGTGTAAAATGATGATGCTACGATTCACCTCGTTGTTAGACCCTTGTCACAAAGTAACACATTTGCCACGATCAATATCAATAGCTCCTTGACGGCTACGAGATGCACACGTTTCGCTATCGAAGCTTCGAGAGATGGAGAGCAATAACAAAAAAGGCTTACTCGCAAGTATATCCAATTTCACTAGCCGGCGTCCTCACGAGATGAAGACCAAGAGTATCCTGGCGATTAAATTCGGCAACCTGCATTACTAAGACGGCCGACCACGTTCCCCGCCACTCCTTCAACGCAGCTGATACGGGATTCGGACGGGTATGTGAATAGAACGGTGGTACAGAAGTAAGCGAATGGACTTTTGGTTTAGACGTAGGTAGCCAGTCTCAAGCAGTATCGTGCATACGAGCACCAGAAACGAAGTTTTTGCCAAGGTTATCGGTAGCTGGAGATCGAAATGATAGAGAGAGCCCAATTATCCTACTGCTCCTGTATGTGCCGGGAGTTTGGGGGCGCCGCGCGATTATAAACGGTTTCGAAAGTTGAACGCCTCGTCCAAACCGCCCAGGGCTGAGGGGCATCACAGACGGTGCAAGTATGTACTGTTCTTAGAATTTTGCAGCCAAAGGTACAGATTGTTCCACCCACACCCGCAGCTTGCATGGGGCCTAGCGGACGGGGTGGGAAGCTTGTCTGCAGCTGCTGGAGCACAGCCAAAAATGGTTAAGGTCTCGTCGTCAGCAGGCATGATCGAGGTTCTCGGTTGACTTGAACTGTTAAATGTGATAGCGTCTTGGCTACATCCCACACCCATGCATGCGGTTGAACATCTTGATCTGAAGTAAGATCTCATTGCGGGACCTGTCCTGGATCGATATCCCCAGATGATTAGCTGGTTAATAATCTGAGACTGGCCGACAGATGCCAAGGTTCCGCTGTGGGAATGGTATTAATACGTATGAAAGGTCGGCCAGAGCCTGCTTTCTCCAGCTCAGCTGTTCTGCCAACTTCTCCTTCTAGGCCGCCAATACACGGACGGTCATGGAAGACTGGGAATTGCGAAGCCAGCAGCGTAATCGCTGGTGAGGGGAGCTTGCACTTTAGTCTGATATACAAGCCCGAATTCGAAAGCGAAACCTGAGATAGAACTGGTATATATATAGACTGGTCGAACCTGCGAGCTCAAAATTAACATTAGCAATTGGAATGACTTAGAACACCATCTCGGCACTTACATTTAACATATCCATCAACATTGTCCTTGTCACTTCTTTACCACATTCTTGCTTCGGATCTGTTCCTGAAATCATCTTGTCATTATTCGATCATCGACGCCAAGGGCAACACAAAGCAATGGCACCTCGAATCCAGGCCAAAGACCTTCAGAGGCAGGGAATCAATATCAAGTACGAATACGCCGACGATGTATCGGCTCTATTCCCAAATGCCGACCCAAAAGTCGATGAATACGCTGGAAAGATTGATGACATAATGCAAAATACCGTCGAAAACCTGTTTCATGTCCCCGAAGACGAACCATTCCGCAAAGTATTTGAATACTGTTTGTACAAAATACACAGACGAAGCCAATCTATGTTTTCTAGCACAGTTCAGGATACGGCGGCTAAAAGCTCCCAAGAACAAAAGAATCCGAAGAAAGCACATAATGACGGGGTCCCGCGAAGTGAATGGCAGATACTTCCGGACTTCTTTAGTGAGGTTTCGAGGTGTTTGAATAAAATCGATAAAAACATCGGTTACAAAGTCCACTGCACGCATCGAAGGGGATTCAGGGTACCGTTAGGCAAAAGTTGCTTTCAGAGAACAGACTGCGGCCAATACATCGAAGTGATTAGGGGGGGTATTCTGAAAGCATTCACTCGGTGGCCTATAAAGGCTGCTTTTTATACCGTATGTCTATTCGAACATCTTAAGTTATAGCTACTTAATTGTATAAGGATATATACTGACTTATAATAACGAGTGATAGACGCATCTAGGACCTGGCTCGGCAGAAGACCACCTTGCTGGTGAAATTCTGTCTCTGGTTGCTCAAGTATCCTTCAACTTTGAAAACGACCCTACAATTGTCGAGGGTGACCAAGAATGCTTTTGCATAACCCTTCACGGGCAGTATGTTCACTTTTCAACAACCATCATTCCGGATAAATACATCAAGTACCACAATTCTGGAAAGCCGCTTAAAGAGTTAGAGGAGGTTAAAGTCATTCTTTCTCCGGAATACGATCTTACGAAGGCAGAAGATAGATTTCATATCGTTTGGGGATTTGTTGCGCTTTATATGCATCTGAATCCAGTATCGAAAAGGCAAATGAAGGTGAAGGGAATTTTGAAAGCATCGACAGTGGACGTAAAGGATAAAGTCAAGGATGAACTAGCCCAGAAACTCAGGTCTTTAGATCTATCGAAATAGTTTCGAGAAGCTTGCCTGACACTCGAACTTAGGGCGCAACACGGAAAATGCAACAATTTACATTAGCTTCCTCGAGATTCTAGAATTCGAGACGGCACTTGACACTTCGAGGCGAGTAATCGTGGTAGAAACAGCCTCAAAGCTCGCGCAAGTGTTTCCCACAGGAATTAATATTGCCAATCTCTGGAAATATTTCAAAGTAGATTACACTAGAACTGAGCAAGGATGACTTCTATTTAAACCGAGTAGCGGCGCTCTGATTTTATTTACTTTCTTCATAAACATATCTTGGGCATTTTATAGGCTTGCTTATTCCTAGGCATAAACTTCGCGTGCCTATAGCTGGGAAACGACGTACATCACAATTACCTAAGTCCTGGATACGAGACTAACCTAAGTCTAGGTAATTAGTCCCAGATTCCAAAAACTTAAAAATAATATGAGTCCATCCATCGTTACATGGGTTCGAGTCGTCTGTCAGGATCATGACCCTTCACTGAACCATTGGAGTATATTTCTTCTCTTGAAAGATGGCCAAACGTCAATCCAGCTTGACACCATACCAGCTCCAGGGGAGAGGGGTAAAAGGGTACTTTCTGTTAAAACCCGCGAATATCGGCTACCACGTTCGGCTCTGAGACACTGGGACTTCCATGTCGGCCCTTCCAAATCGAGCAGTACTGGGCATGGCGTACCCTTCAGGTTTTTTCAACGAGAGATCTATATTCAAGGGAAGGATTATTATAGCACCGTAAAAGGGGAAGGGTGCCGTTGGTGGGTGTAAGTGAGCTTCATAGCGATACCAATAACGAGTCGTTGAAATTCGTGATTTATAAATAATGGTACCGATGAGTTTATAAAACTGAAACAATACTAACAGGCAATCTATTTCTTAGATACACTGTTATAAATTCTTTTTGTAAGAAAACGCTTATTGGCCGAGACGCGCCTAGAAAAGTTTGGACAAAGGTGCAAAATTTGTAGAGTTCAGACGGATCTAGGAAGCGGCGAGATATTGTTAGAGGCCAATTTCCTGATGAGGGCCATCTTTCGGGTAGACTATTGCTAGCCAAGGATGAAGTGTCGGATGAAGATTCCGACAATGCAGTCTTCAGCGATACCGCCGACGACTAAACCGATCTGAGCCAATTGGTGGAACCGGGTTATGGGGGTTAGGTCCACTCTAGTTATCAGGATACTTTCATCTCCTTAAGGTCAAATGTATATAATAGCAGATATTGAACCCGAAGTAATAGGCTCATTCCTACGCCCTTTTACCATCGTCGCATTAACAAGAAGTGTTTTCCCATTCTTTGGAATAATCCGACACATTGAGGAAAGGAACTTTATAGCTAGATACCAAAACATCAACATGATATTCACTACCACATCCTCTTTCTCAGACAGTTTCTCGTAACACCTTTGAAACTGGTCGTATGCTAAAACCTCAGTTCCACGACCAGAGTGTATGTGCCCAAAAATATGTAATTTTGGACGAACCCTCCAAATTTCTTGAATGAGGGAGGCGCATCCTGCATTACTATCTAAATGATATCGTGGAGGTGCATGCGTAATCAAGATATCAACATCTTCCGGGACCTTGTTTTTCCAGAAATCTTCGGATCGAGGGTACTGGAATGTCGATGTGCCATGCTTTGGTGACGATGGATTGCCGTATATCTTGACTGCTCTAGATTTTCCTGGGATATTCAAGACGATGCTGGAATCTTGAAGGTAGAGTAAACCTTTCCAGTTTACGGCGCCATTCAATGAAGATTTGTGATTCGGATCAAGACAACGGTCATGGTTACCCGCGATGACGACCTTATATTTGTGAGGAAGACTGTCGAGCCAGTCAATAGATTTCTGGAGCTCTTCGATAGTACCATTCTCTGTGATGTCGCCGGCATGGACCAGGATATCACTGTTTGGTATGTCCTGGAATTGATTATTATGTGTGTCTGATATGCAAACCACTTTGAGCTCGTTTGAACTAGAGGAACTCCTAAATCTGTCTGGATTTGGAAGGGCTACAGCTGGCTGCAGTCTGTAGAGGGTTTGTGCTATATATCTGTGAGGTTGGGCGAGGATTCTGTCTAGCCTCGAAGGCTGCTTTCGATATATTATAGCGTCGAGCCCCGCCATTTTCAAAGTATAATTTGTAGATACGAAGAAGATTGTCTACTTTAGTGTTAATTGAAGGATTAATAATGCTAGAGCAATTTCAAGCTAGTCAGACACATATTATTTAGACCTGCCATAAAATAAGTCTTTCAGTTCTAATTCAAATTGAACACCGTAGCAATTCCGAAGGAGTCATAGATTTTGACGATACCTTTCAAGTGCAATTGGGGGATTATCGAAGGGCAAACATCATGCATCAACGGGTAGCTAGTGTAATGAAACACTATAGACAATGAGAACGAGAACTTCAATGTATTTAATATCTCTTCAAATCTTGTCGCTACCGGTATTTGAGTAGGTAGGTTATAATTAAGACCGGTGCAGTGCTCGACCTAGGCTAAGCTGATCATGATTCGATCAGGGCTGAGTGTGGGTAAGTCGCTGGTGGTTGGAGTTGGCCCGAGTGCGTTGGTGCTTCTAAGCTGGCAATTCTTGGCATCTTGAAGCCCCTCCACCAAACCTCCTTGAACTTCAAGCTGCCCCTGCAGGAACCATTAACTTCCAACCATTCACACCATCAAATACCACGAACCACGCGTATCTATCGCATCAATTCCACAACCACTAGATTGATACCACCTTCACTTACATCAGCCACTCGATGGCGCCTTCCTTAGAATCCAAAATACCAATCTTTCCACAATATGGCAATTCCCAGACTGTCGTAAACAGGGTAGAACGGAGCTAGGAGCACCCCGACGACACCAACGTCAACAACATGTCTGGACTCACCATAGGAACTTATGTTAAGGGTGGTGAGGGTCAGACCGGCTATGTTGCTTTTATCGGCCCCACTGGGTTTGCGGCTGGAGAATGGGTGGGTGTGGCATTGGACCGGCCGACGGGGAAGAACGATGGAACGGTCGAGGGTAACTTTTATTTCGAATGTAAAGGGCCAAAGTATGGGCTGTTTATTAAACCGCAGAATTTGAAGATTCTGCCGGATCCTCATGGTGGAGGTAGTAGCTCGACGCCGGCGCCCGCGATTGGGTTGACTAGGAAAGCTTCTCAGACGTTTGGAGCGCCGGCACCGAGGCAGTCGCTGTCTGGACCTCTTCCTCCTATTAGTGCGCCGTCACCGGCTCATGGACGGAAAAGTAGTGCGATGATTAGTCCACCTCCAAAGTTAACGTCTGGATTAGCAGGACCATCGAGAGTGGGCGGTGTTGCTGTAGGTCAATCATCTATTACCATCCTAGTATGTTAAATTCACTGATAAATATGGTAGTCACCGACAAAACTTGCTCCGCGGACTGTCTCAAGTGCAATATCGTCGGGACCAAATTCAAGGACGCCTACACCGGTTGGTGGTAGGGCATCTTCCATGGCTCCAGTCCGTCCGTCCTCGACAATTGGGACCCGTGGTAGCATGATGGGTCCACCTGCTCTCCCGACCACATCGACAGCATCACCAACGTCTGCTGCTGCTGCTGCTGCTGCAAACCCGGGTGCTCGCAGGGCGTCCCTTGTTTCTCCAACAAGTGGGCCACCTGCAAGGACATCCTCAGTTTCTTCTACCAGTTCTAAGTCCGGGCAACCTAGCCGTCCTCCTTTGCGAACTGCCGCTGCAAATATGAGCAAAAGAGCGAGTATAACTAGTAGTTCAAGTGGCAGATCTTCGCCCGAGACGACTACCCCGACGCTTAACAGACGTGGTTCGAGGTTAAGTATGTCCGGTGAGCCTAGCAGCGCTCCGCCACCTGTATCTTCCCCTGTGGAAACGAAAAAGTCAGGCCTGTCTACTATGAGAGAGTCGGTGTCACCACAGCCGCTTCCGGGAATGACCTCAAAATCAAGTTCTGCCTTGACTAAGGAAATCGAAGATCTCAAATCAAAAATCAGGCTCCTAGAGAAGAAGAGAACGGAGGATAGAGATAAACTACAGGCCATGACCAGGATCGAAGCGGAAAGAGACAAGTACGAAGTGATTATTCACAAACTTCAATCAAAGATGCAGCCACAGCAAGCCGAAATTGCAGATCTGCGAAAACAAATAAAAGATCTTGAAGCACAAAGAGAGGATCTTGAAAACCAAAAGCAGGAGAATGAGATGATTGTCGAGATGGCTACTCTTGACAGAGAAATGGCGGAAGAGAAATTCGAAGTTCTCAAAACCGAGGTTGCCGCTTATAAAGCCAAGCTCGAAGAGCTGGAACTTGAAGTAGAGGTGCTTCGCGAGGAAAATGCAGAGTTAAGCGAGGGCATGTCACCGGAAGAAAAAACGAGTGCTGGGTGGCTCCAGATGGAGAGACAAAATGAACGATTAAAAGAGGCCTTGCTTCGTTTAAGAGATGTCACCATGCAGCAAGAAGCCGAACTTCGAGATTCTCTCAAATCCCTTGAAGAAGATAACAATGACCTGTCTCAGTTCAAAGGTTTGTAAGATGTGAACTTTTATCTGATTGGCCATAGCTAATAATAAGTGTTCAGAACAATACGAGGGCGTTCGTGACAAGCTATCACAAGCAGACATTATCATCGAGGACCTCCGCACTCAGCTAGACAATGCCCTAGGAGCTGAGGAGATGCTGGAAGAACTCACTGAGAAGAATCTTAGCTATAGCGAACAAGTCGAAGAACTTAAGGCAACGATCGAGGATCTTGAAAACCTCAAAGAGTTGGCAGATGAATTGGAAGTCAACCACGTAGAAACGGAGAAGCAAATGCAAGAGGAATTGGATTACAAAGATCTATTGATATCCGACCAGAAGAAGCGGATCCTCCAACAGGATGAAATGTTCCTCGACAACGTTCACACGATAGCAAGATTCAAGGAGCTCGTATTGACTCTTCAGGGCGACTTAGAAGATATGCGTGCCTCACATCAGCAAAATGCTTCAACTGCAGAAGAGATTTCGAGTAGATCGAAGGCAGTCATGGATCTTAATCTCAAGCTGCAAATGTCTGCATCGAAGTCGCAGGTAAAGACAATTGAATTAGAGCTCCGCAAAATGGAGGCGCAAGAGGCCTCGGAGCACCTTGAGATGGTGCAGCTCTACCTGGCGGAATCTTTTGATTCAGAGAAGCAATCTATTCAAGCGCTCCTCCGGTTCAAGCGGGTTTCCTTCAAAGCTCATCTCCTTCAATCACACATCAAAGATGCTTTGAATGTCGAATTTGAGCCTAATCAAGAAGACAGAGCTGTCATAGCCTCTGATATCTGCGACAAGTTAACTTGGGTAAACGCAATGTGCGACAGGTTTGTCAACTGCATAACAAGCTCATCGGCCGATCAATTCGAAAAACTCCGTGGCACATACTTGGAGCTGGAGCCTGTAGAGCGAACGTTGAACATGTGGATTGATGCCGTCAGGAGAGATGAGTTGAAGGAGAAACAGGTTGCTGACGAACTTTCAAGAACATTGGCGTTGATGACTCATCTAGCTGAAGTTCATCTTGCTAATGATCTCGAGGGCTATGCAGAAAGTGTACACATGAAAGTTCTGATGATGCTCAGCTACCTCGAATCATCTGCATCTTGCTTCCATTTCCAGAAGCAGATAATCTTGGAAAAGTTACCACCAACTAATGATGAAGCCGATATGTCCATGCACTTCGCACGGAAAGCTGAAAATCTCATTGCCAACTGCCGCAGCGCTAAGGTGATTGTCACCAAAGTAATGAGGCCTCTAGAGGAATTAAAGGCAAGGTCTTTGACTTTGCGACCTGATACGCATTCTTCTTTTGAACGATGCGAAGAGATGTGCAAGAAGTTGGCAGATTACGCACGAGGCTCCGGCTCTGACCTTTATAAACTACTCTTCGCAGCTGGACGGGAAGAACCTTTCATGTTTAATGAAATTCAAAGTGTCATGTACAGGTCTACGGAGAAGCTCCTAGCTCTGATAGATTCAGATCTTTTCCAGAGCTGCGGTAAAGAGTTAAATATTCTTACCAATGCCCTTGGAGATTTAGTCTCTGTGGCAGGTGACCTGGATATGACAGTTGAGTTTGAGAGAGGTCAGCCTCCATGGATACTCAGGGCTAAAGAGCTGAAGAGTAAGAAGTCGACTGCGGTTGATGTTGAGGAAGAGGTCAGGCGTTTGAAGGAGGACGCACACTCGAGAGCGACACAAATTAAATTACGGGTAAGAATTCCAGGTTTTCCGACCCCCTGTAAGGCAGAAGCTAATTAATTTAATCTTTTGCAGGAGCAATCTCTTGAAGAAGCGGCGGTCCGCATCGAACATCTTGAATCTCGGCTCCAAATCCTCGGCAAACAAGCCGAAAGGATTGAAGAACTTGAGCGCAATCTTACGGATTGTGGCACGCGCGAGAAGGAATTGGTCGAGTCGCTGGACGGCCTCACAGAAGAATTACAGAACATCGAGACGGAGCTCGTGAAGTGGAAGAAGATCGCAAGCGAGGCTCGTCCAGTGGATGAAAACGACAAGGCAGGTAGAGAACGTGCTGTCGCGACTGCACGTGAGGTACTGGCATTGAAGAAGGAGGTTGAGATCTCACAGGGCGCTGCTAGGTTCCATATGGAAGATGCAAGAAAAGCCAGGGATTCCGACGTCACACTCCCAAACTCTTGGTTGTATGAACCTTTGGTTCCTACGAATAAGGGTTTGGCGGAAGACCATGCTCGTGATGAGGACCTAGCTACCGAAGGAAGAGACCTATTGACAGAATTTTTGAATTTTACAACTTCAGCCCGAGTTTATGACCTTTCCAATACCAAACATGGTGGTCACAGGAGGACTGTGGAGACTCCACAGTACAATTACATTAAACAAAGGGAGCGATATGAGAGCGTACTGGCTTGGAGAGATAGTCTTGTCAATCGTGGCAATATTCACCAAGACAGGAAGGAGGAGAAGTGGCCGAAGAAGCCGAAGGGACGACGACAGGAGGATATGGTCAAAGTCAGATTTACCCTGCCAATGGCATACCTTGGACAGATCAAAGGGGCCGAACGATTCCAAGCCGCAATTGCAGATACGGATCAAGATCCATTAGAAGTTGAAAGAGTTGGGGACTTTGATGAATTGATGGGCGAAGATGGGACTTTGATCGTTTAGATCTCCCCGGTGTGATCATGATTGGATTTCGATTTGGGATTTAGCGACTGGATTATTTGCATAGCTAGTGTCTCTATCTTGTGACGAGACCATTTGTGAAGTACGTATGTACTATTCTAGAGCTAGATCTCCGACTAATACTTCGGCTTTCAATGGTATTTTCTGGTGATTTTTAATGATGCTCATCTTCTCACGGCGTAAATTCATGAGTCTGCCGCATTATCGTAGTCAGGCAGTATCAATGCGGCCCGAGGCCTCTCGCTTAGTCATAATCCCTGTCCACCAAAAGTTCAACCTTCAAATCATCCCACTTTGAAACATCGAAACAAACCTCACCAAAACACACACCTCTCGAAACGTCTGTACGGTCTTGCGATCTCCAAATCCTACACGATGTATCCCACACGGCGGCTAGCGATGCCAATGTAAGCTCTCCGCTTTATCTATACCCGGATGGAAGACGTTTAGGCGGAAAAATTGCACACCATACTAACCATCTGCGCACAACCGGAACTAGCATCAAACGGTCATCATACTATAACCCGGATTACCGACAAGGACAATCGCTCATCCGCGCCCGAAGCCCTTATCTGGTTAAAAATACTCTTACTGGGTTGGCGTTGATGGGGTTTGTTGTTAGTATTTGTATGTGGCGCCTTTTCGCCCGTATTGGGATGATTGATTGCGAGACTAACGGTTTCCTTTTGTAAATTTATAGATGTATACACGATAAAGGCCATCAAGTCCGATGATTTCGCCGAAGCAGCGTTGCCGCCGAAGAAGGAGGATATTTTGAGGGATACCAAGGGGTCCGGGAATGCAGGTCTTAGGCCGTAAAGTGGTTCCTGTTGATCCGCCTGATACTCGTTTCGACCGCCGGACTATGGCTGGGAAGAATTGGTCTCGTTCTCACCAAAGTGACCCCTCCTTTGTGATGGCTGGGAATAATGCCAGGAGGAAGGCTATCCTAGCTCTTATATCCATCCCTTGGGGATGGGATCTGTATATTTTGTATATACTCGAGTACATAAAAACTATTTTATGGGCTTTTTTGCTGATTAGCGATTCATCAGTTTTGTCTTCTTTCCCTCTGAGAAGTGTATAATCATATGATTTGGAATGAACATTATCTCAACTTCATATTCAAAAATGAATATCTAGAACAGATGGAAAGGATATCGGATCGATGTTGGAGATATCTTAGGTTCGGTGACATGGATGCATCATATAATTGCTCTCCCAACCCCCCTCTGGGCTCATAGGCCTTCGTTATCGATGTCTTAATGAGGACCTCGATAACCCTGATGACGCCACCTCCGACAAAAATTTCTATACTTTTCTTGTAGGTCGGCCTCATTGGCCCCTGCAACTAACCCCCAGGCCAAAACCCCGAAACTTAGGACTGGAATCGCAATAATTCCGGTGCATGCCATCAATCCCCCTACCATCCCGAAGCCACCACTAGCTATAGCTCCACCTCCTAGGCTCGCCAGGCCGGAGGTAATTCCCGCGCCACTAAGACCTACCACCGACCCGCCAGCGAAAACAGATCCTACGGCTGTAGCGCTACCGACAACTCCTCCTTCAAAATGAAAATCAAGTTCGTTAGAACATAATCCGGCGAAATCAGATCCAGTGGTATTTGAAATGAACTTACCAGTCACCATGCCTACAACAACAGTGTCATTAGTGTCCGTGTTATTCTCACGACGCTTGATCACCTTCCGTATGGTGTTCCCCGCCATAAAGGCGGGTACTCCAGCCACAACCAAGATCCCACCAACGGCGGACCCGCCAATTGCGGCGAGCCCACTCATAATTGCTGCTCCTCCGGCAACTCCTGGTGCAGCGGCTGCCGCAACTGTAGCTCCAACATCAAGTGCCGTTTCAAGTGCTTCCAGTACCTTGTCTATATCATCATTTTCTAGCACTGCCTCTGCCTCTGGCGTTCTGCTGTTTGGAAGGACTTGAATTCGATTTGAATCATTTTCTACTATCAAACTAAGACGGCCCCCGCTCCTAATCGCAATTTCAATCAAGCCATCGTATCTCATCTCCGTGACACGGCCATAGAGAAGGTCATTTGACCTATCGAGAGCATATAGGATATGTTGGCCTTCTGAGATTCTCATATCTTAGACTCTATCCTCGAGCTATAATCTAGCTTGGAGTTACAAAGTCTTCAAGCAAGGCAAGAATTCGAAGGTACCAAAAAGATTTTATAGAAAGAAGAAATGTTCTATTTTGATAGTACTATGACAATATAGATGTGCGTGTGTATATAGCAGCAGGGTCGAAGTCTCAATCGAATGGGGTATGGATGGCTTTTCTGTGAACCCAACAGAGAAGGAGCGGGGTTATCGTGTACCTTTATATCCTAATTGGTAGCTATCCACTCGAGCTCCCCATCATATGTATGTTCGGAAAATGTCCACATATAATGCGAGTTGGTTTCGAAATATACACAATTCCTGTTTCCATGAAGGCTTTTTTCTTCCATTTGACCCCAGAAAGACGGCTTGCCATTTTCGAATGCCTTCCGAAAGCCAATGTGTAACCTAGTCTATGTATAGGGTACGCCAAAATCGCCAAACCTTTACTTTTATAATTTAGATCAAAAAACTTTTAGAGCTTAGGGAGCTTTCTTGCTACCTATTTGAAGTACTTTAATCCAATCAGACAATGCTTAGAAACTACCTAAGTGTCCACTTGATCAAAGCAAATAATCTATCTACTACATACAATAGTTCGTAGTTTGTAGACAGGCTATTTCACAGGCTCTTAGCTATTAGGCAGGTTAATATTATAATAGTCACGACTACTAGTTTGCCTGGCAACCTAATTGCTAGCTACTAGTTTTTAAACCACACTTGTATGTATTAGTTTAAGGACTTTTTTAAAAAATTTAAAAAGAATAATATCCAAAATAACCGCCTTTTTTTTGCTTTCTTTGGGTTAATTCACGGTAGTGTCTAGCGGGCAACCTCTACTAGCACTGCTTAGAACGATGCGAAACTCAGCTATAGCTTTTCTTCTAAAATATTATCAGATTCAGTCGTACATCCTCCTCTTCCTCGAAAAAGTATGGTTTTAGTCACTCTATATATCGGTACGAAGAGTAGTGCTTGTACAATTGTATGATTGTGCATTCCGCCCACAGGAATACATGAAACTTAGAAGGTCTGGCAGGAGAGAGCGGGGTATTGCATATTTTAACCCATCGAACCTTAAGTTAATTGGTTCATATGACCATACCGGAGCCTTGGAAAAAAGTCTTCTCCAGTGCAAGAACGAGTGGGGGTATACGTACCTTGGACGGGAGCAATTATATATTAGATTCGCAAATTGCTCGATGCAACCTTTTTCCTTTTTTTTTTTTTGTATCACGTAAGTTCTGCCGAAAGCCTTTGAATATAGATCAAAAGTATTTATGTAATCGAAACGGAAAGAAATATATGACAGAAGTGGGGTCCGATCCTTGTGGATATCGCATTGCATCAGCATTCTTACCAGCTATCTTGACAATACCTGCAATCATTAAAAATGTAAAAACCATATGCATGAGGCGTACATATCTAGTATCTGGGTTATGGATATAAAATTTTGATTCGAGGCTAGTTTTCAGGCAACTTCTAACTAATGCATTTCAGGTTGCACAAACAGTCATAATTCCGCTACTAAGGATCTATACGTCGCGGGATAGATTGCGTACATACACCCATGGCCTGGTCTTGTCCCCACACCTGCTCCACAGGTTAAGGTTAGGCAAAAAGAGACCCCCATCGAGTCGCACATTCGCTATGAATTTGGTACAAACTACAGATTTGGAAGTATTTCCGCCTAATACGGTTAGACCGCGTTGGAAAACTGTAGCTCAACGCAGAAACGTGAGTTCTCCGCGACGTGCTCTAAGACCTAGATTCGATTAATATCCACAAGGTCGAACTGATCAGCTGATATCAAAAATTGTGGACAGAATTTATAGTCGCCGTCAAGGAAGTTGAATGGATTAGTTACTGGTTACTACTATTAGAAGCTGGGTTATAGCTAGCTAGCCGCAGCTCGCAATATGTAATATATGTACTAATTCTACTAAAAAATTGTAGCATTCGTAGACTATCGTCTTCATTATAGACACGAAAGCCGAAAAGAATGTAAGCACTTTGAAGTGACGAGTGACTGACGAAACGAAGGTGAAATACATATATCCTAGATACACCTAACTCACTAAGTCCGGGAAAACCGACCAATAGTAATATTATCCTGTAATTGATTATTAATCTGCCACATCAATTTAACTAATCGAATTAAACTCCTACTCAAACGAAAAGTTGCATAACTAGTCTAATACCAAGACTGGTTCGATTTAAAACACACTTCATCAATTGGACAAGATTTCAGAAAGCCAGGTATATATATTATATTGGACTATGAATACATGCATGTGGATGTCAAATAGAGTTTTCCTAAAAATCAATTATGCATTGTGAACCGGCCTGGAAAGTGTATTCGCTCACTCTGATTATCTCAATAGTCAAGGCCTTATCTATCCCGTATCGATACCTTAAAGAACAAATTAGGGTTCAGATCCTTCCAAGACTATTCTAAAGCGGTAGCATCGTATGCACTAGTATTAGCTAATATTGGCTACTCTAAGAGCCTAGTTGGCTAGCCAGCCAGCTGGTATCTTTGAACTTGCACTGTCTAACCTAAGAGCTTGTGCATAGTGTTTTCTAGTAGCCCTCGACAGCCCTCTAAAAGCCATATTCCCGTATTCCCCGCTAGTGTATATGTAAGCCACCTCTCTGCTACATAAAATTCTGTGTGGAATGGAGCCTTTGTAGATCTAGTATCTCATAGTCGAACACACATAATGCCACCTAAGTATACATTCCACATCGTAGATCAACCTCACAAAGCCTAAACGTGCCCATGCAAGTAGTGTTAATCGGCCAAGAAAAAAAAACACAAAAACCCCAAGTCCCTCAATTAACATGAATAAACCAAAACCATCAACCACATATGTCGACATCATACATTTCGCTTAGGCATACTCGTGGAGACCACATGCATCCAGAACCCAAAACCCCTCTCACGTGTGCACGTGTGGGTACACGTGGATCCACTTGATTTAGGGCACGTGGTACAGTATGGCGCAATCATTTTTGGACTCTCTACGTATACGGAGTACATCTAGAGGGTTTAAAAAAACAAAAAACAAAATGTTAGACTCTTCTAGGTCATGACGTGCATTGTTTAGCCCTAGAAGTTTTTGATGCATGGAGCAGGGTCTCAGTTGGGGCTTTTTTGGTATAGTCTATTGTAAAGATCGGACCGAGCTCGCGAGGGGTAAGTTTTTGGAGTTGAGGTTAAGGGTCTGCCCACGCACCAAAAAAATAACATAGCTAGCCTAGAGTAGAGAGTTTTGAGGGGAAGTGGATAATGGAGGGTTTTAGTGTAGAGGCGCTATCATATGAGATTTTTTTCTAGCTATCTTATACAGTGAAATCTTTGTAGAAGAAAAGAGGGGGTGCGTAAAACAAGGTAAAATGTGATATCGCAATGATGGAAGTATAATATCGTTAGTATGATTTATGGACGAGAATATAATCATTGCCCCCGGGGATATAATGCTCAACTCGTATACGTACAGACTTTCAAAGAAAAATAAAACAACTGATAAAAAAACAGATAAATGTATCTCCCAAAATAAAATAAAGAAAAGAATTCCCATCGTCATCATTCATTCATGACTCTCTGTTACTCTCCGTCTCTCTATCTCTCTCTCCCGCTTCCCCCGGATCTTGAGTTATCATCTCTCCGTCTCTGTCCATCTTTCTGGCCCTACTTCCTCCGCTACACTGCTCGCGGGTAATCCGATAAGTCTTTGGACGAAATGTGACGTTCCCGCTTCGACGATTTCCTCGATTTCTAGCGTGACGATACAATCGGCTACCCAGTCCTGGCATCGTTTTAACCCATCCATAGGTACGGGTTCCGTGGACATGATCCGCTTCGCGTGTCTCCGGTGTCCTACTGATATCGTCGCTACAGTAACACAGCCTATTTTCAATCACAATTTAAAAAACGAGAAAAATTGTAATTTCCCACGTTAGCCAAACGATCTTTCTTATCAAAGGACCAAACCCCCCTTCCCCCGCTAGCTGTAGCAAAAGGCATTGGGGGGATAGAGAGGGAACAGAAGGAAGAAAGAGTATAGATCTTTGAAATACCAACCTTCCGAACTTTTATCCAGTATCTCAACCCCGGTCCTCTTATCGAATTGGTACCACAGTCTATCCCGATCTACTAACAGCACTTGGAATAGATCCCCGTGAATCTCCCCTTCTCGATGCAGCGCAAGAGCCCAATGTGACCGATTGTTCGGGTCTGTGCCCGGGCCGTAAATGACGATGGAAAGTTGGTAATTCGACATATCCGCGAGGTCGTGGGGAAGGATATAGCTAGGATTGGGGGGGGTATATAAGATCGCCCTTTTTATTTTTTCCTTTATGCTGCTCGCCAGAAAACAGAGCTCTAGAAAAGGCGAGCGAGGGGGGGAGCTCTATCGGGGAAGGCGTCGGGGACGAGCGAGACCCTTATTTTTTTTTTTTCGTTCGCTGTTTAGGGTACCCCCGCAACGGTATAACAGTATACACTTGCAACTTGGATCCCCGCCAATATGCGGGGTGTGAATTCTATCAACAACTTTGTGCAACGCAAGCGGGCGTGGGGAATGGATGTTTGTGAGTTAAACGGTTGAGCGCGGATATATCAGTCCGGTGGAGAGGATATAAAAGATTTTGGAGTTTTACTGTGGAGTGTCGCCGCAGGTTCGCAGACGAAGATTGAAAGGTGGCAATGTCATGCTAGAATTGGGAAAAAAACGGTTCTGGGCTAATAGCTTTTGGTCCCGTTGGTTGTCGAAAAGAAAGGGCGATAGTGCCACGTGATTCGACGTATACGTACACTTCCAACTAGTCTAGTTGGAGTGTTTGTCGGGCCTAAAATGCATCGTGCCCCGCTCCTCAATCGCTTGAAGTAACATGAGGAACAGGCCTAAGCTTGGCTACTCTTATCTGTCGCTTTTAAAGTCTGGCCATTCGGATTTAGCCCGTTCATGCATAGCACCGTTTTCGGTGTCAAGGTTGAATAGAAGTAAAAGACTGAATATCCAGTTCAGAATATAATAACCCTGGCGCACTTGGCGCTGTTGCGATAGAATATTGCATGGTCCAGTTGGCAGTCCTGCGCAGTCGGGAGTCATGGGGTTTGCTGCATCTTCTTGGGGGTTAAATATCCTGATTCACGAGGGGGTGGAGAACATGGGATGGAGAACCCTTTTAAAATCGAATTTCTAATGCTGGGTTCAATAAATGATGCAGGATTAGAATCTGGGGCGTAACCACATTTATTACCAAGAGAAAGAGAAATAAAATAAAAAACCGGAAGACGCCAATGCAAAGAAATATTAAAAAAGAAAACAATGAAAGGCTGAGAGGAAAGAATTAAAAGTCAGGGAGTATATTACAAGAATGCCAGTTCGCCGAAAAAATACCCATACCTTCGCTGCACTGAAGCGTAAAAAAGTTCTAAAGCTATAAAGCCATGATCTGAGTCTCCTTGTTTAAGGAAACATCCCCGGGGAATCTTCAGCTTTTCTGTCCATGAACCATGAAGGATTCTCCGCAGCCACATTCCTCCTCTATAAGTAGCTCAAGTTAGTGAGGTGATTCACAAGAACAAATAGTTCGTAAGATTGTGAATACTGACTTATGTTCGGGTTGTTGAAGACAAACCGCGCACTTAGCCGGTCTTCTACCCAATCCATCTCGCTGCCAATGATGCTGAATAGCGCCTTGCTATCAATATATACTTTCACGCCTTCCTGCTCTACCACTTCATCGAATTTACCGGGAGATTCAATATACTCCAAATTATATGCCAGACCACTGCATCCCTTGTTCTTCACGCCGACCCGAATCAACTTGGGAGGTGTTTGTTGAGTCAATGATCGAATATGATCAACAGCAAGTGGTGTAAGCGTCATAGCTGCCTTCCGCGGTCGAAGTTTACGAGGTGTCGGAGCCGTAGCAGTATTTGGAGCCTTAGTAGTAGCGGCAGTGGTAGTAGTAGATGTTGTTGCTGTTTGAGCAGGTGGCGAAGTCGGTGTTAACTTAGACACTATGGACCCGGTTGCCGTAGCCGAGGTAGTAGGTGTCGGAGCTGCTACAGGTACCTTTAGAGCAGACCGACCATGCTCTACAGGCATTGTAGTAAACGGAGGGCGCTTTCCATCCAAACTTCTTCTTGTGAGCTCGCTGCCGGGAGCATCCTTATTACGAGGAGGTGCCGGATCCATACCCGGCATGGCCAGTGTTTCCGGCCGGTATGGAGTGGCAGTTTGAAGAGACCTCCGAAGGCATGATGCACAGATTGAAGGCGATAAATATGGTGAACTCGGGCTGTAACGGGGTTTGACAGAGGGCGCCAGCATTCGTCGGCTTGTCGACATCAATGTTCGAGGGAGGGACATTGTTGAGGATTTTTCGGATTGAGTCCGAGGAGGCTGATATAGCAGATAGAGAGGGGGTATATGTAGTTGATTCTATTTGTCTAATAGGGCATACTCCTCTGTATGCTTGAAAAATGAGCGAGAGATTCTAAGCGCAGCCAAAAGTATATCGCCACAAAGTGCAACAGCTATGCGAATGGAAAGGTTGAAGTTGGAAAGGCGAGAGAGAAAGTGTCGGGATAAAGACTTCTGACAAATCCGACGCCGCTAAGAATGACGCCGCCAAGACCCGCTCGGCCAATCAGAGATGAGGCATTAAAATCACACACATCCAACACATTCTCAAACTATTGGCTTGCCATTGCGTTTAGACAATGAGACTAGTTTATCAGCGGAATCATCTATCAAGCATATCCCGAATAAATGAAATGTAGGGTTTCCAAATTTTAGAATTTAATTTATGGAGTTACATTGCCTAGTAAATATATATCTTCTAGAATTCTCAACAAGTAGTCTGTCAAGCCTCCTATTATTATTGCCCCTTTCCAAGTTACCAGTATTTACAAACACTGCCAATAATATGGATTCAAAACCGAACAAGTAGCAGGCGGTTGACAACTCGTCGGTCCCTAATAATATATATATCAGTCAGCCATCTATCTCGATTATAGGGTCATGTACTAGCCGAATTGATTTGTAAGGTAAGAAACTATACATACCACGTGCGCAACTCCGCCACACTTTCCATACTTCGTCTGTAAAGGCCAAGTAGTAGTCGTAATCAAAGGTGTAGTAGTAACAATAACCGTGGTAGGAGGTTTTGTACTCGTGGCCGTTGGCGACATAGACACTGGAAGACATTGGTGGAGATAGGTGTTGCCTCTGGAACACCAAGCGCCGGATTCACAGATTGTTCTGGTCCATGGGACCGTTGGGGCGCCGTCACCGCCGCACTGTTGAAAATTAATTTTAAAGCTTATGTAAGTGATATTCTCTGAGGGTTTATAGGGTGAGGATTTTAATTAAAGGGAGGTTTATTGAAGTAGATGTTGACTTACGACACCCCAGAGGGTTTGGACGTTTGGAGGGAGGGAGGCTGTGGTTGTACGGGTCGTTATAGTTTGTGCCGCTGAGAAAGGTACAGAGATGAAGAGGTAGATTGGGAGTGAAAATTTAGAGAACATTTTGAATTCGGGTTAGGCTCCAAGCTTAAGCTTGTTATGGATCGGTTTCTTAGAAACTAGTGTAAGTTATTTCCTTGTACTTCTCCGGCGTATAGTATTTTTTGTCAAAAGCATGAAATACATATATTGATCGATGTTAATTTTGAGTCTTCTTATAGTTCACTAGCAGTTCAGAATATTCTATACTAGTATACAGGACTACCTTGAGTTCTCATAAAATTAAGTATATAACTATTATTCACAAACAAATAAGCCTTGAGCCAACAGTACCAAAAGATGGTAAACCCCCCAAACAAGCTTTCTTAGCCTCAATCAAAACCCCCCCAAGATTTCTGCTCTTTTGGCATCCCTGAATAATCCTGCATACACCCTATCATAAATACACAACCATCGGGGTTTCGATCCTGTGTAACCGATCGCGGCTAAATGATCAATGCAGGTATGACAAGGCGTCGCCTACTAAAAGAGGCTTCACTGCAGAATTCCGTCTAATGAAACATTCCAAACCATAGACCTCTTTCATGTACACCCCAGGCCTTTCTTACTAAGTTCCTTTAATCTGATCATTTGGAATTCGAGCAACTTAGTCAGCCACCACGGGAAATTCCGTCGAACATATGTACGTAGATATATGAATGTGTTCAAGACCCCAGTGGAATTCAGCTTATTAAGGAAAGAGATTTTTATCGGGATTTAGTTCCTATTCTGTAGGTTGGGATGTTACACAAGATCACTCAAGTGACCTGGTTGAGGTGATTTTTTTGGAAGACTAGTCGTGATTCCACGGGGCTTCGGGCCATCGGGACATATAGCTTCGAAGATATCAAGATTTCATACCTAACTTTCTAGACTTAAGAATTAACATTGAGATACCACCGTTAGCTGATGATGATGTGAAAATAATACAACCCTGGCCAACGCTAATACCAAATATCCAAACGCCCTTCTAAAAATAAAACTTCTATAGTACAACCTCTCCCACACAATCCTACGCCATCCAAAGAACTTCCTGATCCTCAGACAATGAAAGAGCTCTCTCAGCCCGCACTGCCCAGCTTCAGTAGTCCAAACACACAATTCATCAACAGTCCCGCAATAACCGCCAACTGCCTTTTCGAATTCCCCAAAGTCCCTTCCTCCCTTAGCATCCACACAATACAAAGCGGCCAGAAAAACCCCCACATAACCCCAATAAGCGTATCTTCCAACCCCCCACTCTCAGTATTTACCGTTGCATCCCCCGTCTCCGCTTCATTCGTTGCAGATTCATCAATCCACCTTTCTTCCAGCGCTAGAGCATGCCGTCGCGATTCCTCATCAAGAAGAGAAAATCCGAGACCACTACTAGCGTTTGGATCTGAAGTCCCGTCTATGGATGTGGCATTATTATTATTATTAAGTAGAGTACCATGAAACTGGCTTCTTAACGCTGCAATATCGGACTCCGTAAACCCTGCGTTGAGGAGTCTGTCGAATCCCTGCGGTGCAGGAAGGGTAGAAGGATGATGAATCGCCTGCGATTCAGTTTCTGCTTCTTCTGCTAAATCCTCGTCTGTGAGTTCATCCCCAATGCTGCAGTGGACATATACTCCTGTTGTTATTGTTGTTGTTGCAGTAGAAGTAGTAGGTGTAGATGTCTTGGCATCTTTCTTATCCGGATAGTCGTCATCTTCGGGATCTGGTCGGATTACTTCCTTCCCTTTTCTAGATGTACGTTTCGGAGGTGGCGGAGGTTGTTTTTTCTCCTTCTTTGGAAAGCTGTTGGTACTCGTCGATGATAATCTTGATACTCCTAGCGCCTGCCCGATGTTGGCTTTGTCGCCTAGAACTTTCCCACCGTGGATCAACCGTAGTCTACGACGGCCGGTTTCGACAGGTAATGAAGTTCGTATCAACCGTTTGAGGGTGGATATATTTGTGGAATATGGTGCTTGAATTGTAAGGGAGAGGTCGGGTAGTGAGGATGAGGCGAATCTTATTGTGATTGAAACGGGGGTTTCGGGCGGAGGTATTGAAGATGAAGGAGCAACAGGAGGTCGTGAAGCTGATGCGGATGTTGAACCGTTATCGTAGGCAGCTCGCGAGGGGCCGTGCAGCGGGAGAAGAGGTTCTCGCGCTGGATCTCGCGAGGAACTCATCGTGATTGATGATGTTGAGCGGTGCGAGCTAGTTGGGATGACATCGTTTAATTAAGCAGCCCTGACGATGCCCCAACATGCGCAACACAGGACTCGTATTTAACACCCATGATCGGATACATATACGGACGTACCCTGCACTTTATAGAACGGCAATTCGAATATCGAATTACGGTCAACTGCGGCAAGTCAATAAGTAAATGTAGCCAGTGCCAAAGTACTCGATACACGTACGTAAAATCTATTCTGTTTTTTCCTAGCTTCTTAAATCGTGCGGTTAATTAAACTATTTTTTTTTGCCTTCTTATAGTCAATTAGCCAAATAGATTTGGTTTCTGCGGTTATCCAATTAATTTCTGTAATTCTTGTCTCTTCTAAGGGCCAGGCTCGCATCTATATGAGGTTAATCAAGTCATTGTCGAGGTGAAGCTAGCTTTAGCCTTTTCAGAACCACCTGCATCGGAATAGATATCTCTTTCTTCCAACTAGCAATTTATCGCGCTCTGAAATAAGTATATAGACGTCGAAAGTGGTCAATGCTGGGCGGTCATTTCTAAACTGATCATGACAAGACTAACATTAACCAGCTGACAAGAGTATATATAATATTTGTACACTAATCAATAGATTGATCAACAGATATTATACTAGACTTGTACAACTATATGGGAGACAATATAGGCCTACCTACTACTGAAGTAAGTATACAAAGTAACAACGGAATCGGACCTTCGAACATTTAATACTCAAAGAGCCTCTACCTTATAGTTACCTATGACATCGGTCTTGATAGGTTACGAACACCATTGTAAATTTAATATATTCTTTCGCAAAAGGCCCGTATATCATCTTCTTCGACATAGCCTTCCCCCACCATCAAATTTGTAGTTACTCTCCCGCTATACATAAATACTGATACACGGAATAACAATTCTACATAGTGTGATATCTCATAAATCTTCTAGTTAACAGTGCGACTATAACCAGCCCTGGTCTATCCTATAACGTATATCCAACAAGAAGGCATAGTCGGAATGTAAAAGTAAATAAATATTGACAAATCGACAGTGTTGTTTTTGTGGTAATTTGCCCCTCCCAGCGATCGGGTCCTCGGCCAGTCTCCAACTCAGCTTATCAATCCTCCAAAAATTCCAAAAAATCAAAGAAAACCTGCGAATTAATTCCAAACCATGTCGACATCTCAAACCAGCTAAATAAAACCCATCACAACCTTCAAATCTACAGCTTCATCGAAAGCGAAACCAAAAGGAGAAGAATAACTACAATGGCCTCCACTGCAAGATCCCTCACAAACCCTCTTCTCCTCCGCCGTTTATCCCGCCGCACCACAATATCGTCGTCATCGTCATTGATACCATCATCAACAACACTAATCCGCCACCATCCAACCCGCCTCTTCACATCATCATCCACATTATCAACATCATCACCCCTCCTATCAACCCCTCCAAAACGCCCCACCCCCTTCCCAACCATCACCCGAAAGCACCACCAACACCAACAACACCGCACCCTCTTCATCCAAACCGAACCAACCCCAAACCCCGACGCTCTAAAATTCATCCCAGGCCTTCCAGTCCTCCCCGCCAACGCCTCAAGCATAGAATACACCTCAGGCCGTCAAACCACAAACTCACCCTTAGCAAGATCATTATTCCAACTCGACGGGGTAACATCAGTATTCTATGGGCCAGATTTTATCACAGTCACAAAGGCACCGGATTCTTTATGGCATTTGTTGAAACCTGAGGTGTTTGCTTTGATCACGGAATATTTGAATAATGGACAGCCGGTGGTTCAGGGAGAGATCTTGGAGAATGAAGATACTAAGGCCCAGGAAGGAGATAGTGAGGTTGTAAGTATGATTAAGGAATTATTGGATACTAGGATACGACCAGCTATTCAAGAAGGTTAGTACATTTCCCCATATATATATATAAGTAAGTAAGTGCTAATTGGAATAAAACAGACGGCGGCGACATCGAATACCGCGGCTTCACAGACGCCGGCCAAGTCCTTCTAAAACTCCGTGGCGCCTGCCGAACTTGTGACTCCTCAACCGTAACCCTAAAAACCGGCATCGAATCTATGTTAATGCACTACATCGAAGAAGTAAAAGGTGTAACTCAAGTTCTAGATCAAGAGGAAGAAATCGCCCAACGGGAGTTCGAAAGGTTTGAAGCGAATTTGGCCAAGTTGAAGGGTAATGATGCCGTACCTAAGACCAGTGGGCCTCATGGTATTGACGCTGCTGCTTAAATCAAAAAAAGAGAAGAGGCTATGGTAGGTGGGGTTTTGATGAGAAACTTGTATATTATTATTATTATCACTATGATTATTCACGCAGGGCGTAAAATGGGTACCATTCGCTATATCAGACTGTATTGTACATATACACACCACTAATACAACTCCCAAGTCAACGAATTCTTGGGACTGACACCATCAATTCAGACCTATTTATACCTCTATAATACTATCATAGGTAGAATAAAGTATAAAGTAAGTAAGTAATAGAATTTAATGCGAAACAGCCAGCAAATGCATTAATTGTATAACCAAAAGGGTATCTCTATAACAAATGCAGAATCAAAGTTAAAACAATCAAAAGCATTTAACGCTAACTACCACACCGATCCAATCCAATTGATCCAATCTGTTCCCAATGCGTATGCATATGCAATTGCAATATCAAAATGCAAAAACCAAAGTAACAAAGTAACCAAAAAAGAAGAAGAGATACATCTCAAACCCATCAGATAACCCCTTCAAACCCAAATGAAATGATGATAATAACAATAATAATAAAAGAAATCACTTCAACCCGAACCCCTCACTCTCCCTCACAGCCCTCCACAAAACCCTCTCCAACGTCTCTTTATCCCCCCACCCCCAAAGCGTAATACTATTAAAACATGTCCTGGCAATAGGATACCTTTCCACCCCTTTCTTCCTCCCATGAACACTCGCCGGTCCACCGTACACAAGCTTCAACACCATATTCGCAATCCCCATTGCAGGAATCCTATCACTCCCAGTAATAAACCCTAGCAATTGCCTCTGCATCGTCGGTGTAGCACTTTCGAACGTCTCCCAGAACCATCTGACAAGGTTAACTTCATGCGGTGAAGACGTAGACCAATTCTCATACGTCGCCACCGCACGAAGGGCAGTCACATCCAAGGGCTCATCAGACCCGCGGACAAGAAGTTCAATTTCATCCGGTTGGAAAAGAGTTAACGCATTCCCCCCACATACCGTCCAGAACCCTCTCTTAAACGGTTCAAATTGTCGCGCCACCGATGTATCAAGAAGGTATTGCGCATATAGATCCACGAATTCTCTTTTATTTTCGTTCGTAACCGGTTTGTTCTCCCCGCCAGGCACCAACGGAACCTGCATGTTCTGCCCGTACCGATCAACTTCAACCACAAAGTCTCGACAAAACGTAGACTCCACATCTCCCTCAAATTCCAGCAATTGCCGTAACCCGTTCGCCAGCGCGGGGCGAAACAAGGCAAGGTCCTCAAGCGTCGAAGTGAACGGTAGTCGTGCAGTCGGCGATGGCGTCGAAAATTTGCTAGGCGTGCTAACAGTCGAACTCGGACTCAGCAGCTTCTTAAACACAACAGGTGGCAGCGCCACGTCCAGAATCGTAGAGTTGTAAATCGCCATTCCAAGTAAAACCCCGACAAGGAAATACTGTTCCGTAGCCTCGAAGGTATGAGGGTTAAAATAACAATATCTCGAATCTTCATCATAGACAAACATCCCTACAGCATTTCAATTAGCTTTCATCCACAGATATATAAATTTAGCCAAATACTGGAAGTTTAGGATACTCACCATGCCTCGGATCAAAGATATCCCTGATCAACAATAAAAACCACTCCTTCCTCAGTCCCCCAATATCAATTCCATCCTCTCCTTCAAACTCAATCTTCAACCCCTTCTTAATATCCCCACCAGCTCCACCGACACTCTCGCTAATCCTCTTCAAGCTATCCTCGACAAGACAGTCCCGTCGAACCCGTAACAAAAGGTATTGGTTAAACGTCCTACGTAATCCAATACTATTGAAAAACGCTTCGCGTGCCTTAACCTCCATCTGTCGCTTGGCATCATACTCCAAAATCTGGATCTTAGACCCCATCGACAGAAGGAACGGATACTGGCAGAAACTGAATTTTCCGGATTTAGCTTCCCATTGATCGTAATCCGCAATCAAATCCGCATAATCAAGCATACTGTTGTAAAAGTCGCTGGTGGGGATGATATGACCTCGGACCAAAGCCTGCTGCCGAGCAAGATGACCTTCTCCGATAGAATCAACTGCTAAGACCTCAGCATTCGCATTAAACCAATTTTCCAGATGACCGTCCGCCTCCCGCTTCTTCAGTGCCGCCGAGGTATTCGCAGCCGCAAGCAGAGATAAAACTTTCGAAGCAGCTTTGATTTGCCAATCATCCGCATACACAACCCCTCTAACTCTTTGCGTCGCTTCTTGCGTCATATGCTTCCCAAACTGCTTCGTAAGCCTATAAGTAATAAAACTCCCTGAGAAATCCACCAATTTTCTAAAGTCCGGTTCCTGAAGTCGTGAAAACCACGATACCAGGAAATGATGCGATTCATTCGGAAGGTTGGATATAAGGCCCAGTACTCTCTTGATAATACTAGAATGCTGGCCAGGACCCCCACCGCTCGCAGATGTCGACTTAGATTGTGGTTTATTCCGTGTTCGTGTCCAAGTCCTCATCCGCATTGCTCTTGACCTCGACGAGGCCAATTCCCCTGCACTAGAAGGATGCAAAAGCGGACAAACCATGATGACCAACAACGTTCTAGAATCCTCAGGCGTTTGAAGCGGCTTCCCTGGGCGTTTCAAAAGATGCTCTACCGCCTTGAGGAGCACTCGCTCGAGGTGATCCCTAGCTTCATCGATATCTGACTCCAATTCCTCCGCCTCCTCCCGTGTGAAAGGTCGTTTGTTCCCTCCGTTCTCCTCATCACGAAGGTTCCTCGAACTAGCCTCTTCCAAATGAAACATTTCAGCAGCGATATGATCGCCAGCCGTAGATATCGCTTCATAGAAATCCGCCACCTGTTTCCAATCGATCCAAGGACTCTGCAACCGCAACCTCTCTCGTTGTCTCCGCATCGCCCTATCCATCGTCGAGGAACTCTTATCCGGCGATCCAGAAAGCTTTGATGTATCCGCAAGTTCATCCGGTCCCACTTTAAGAAAAGACGTCTCGACAGTCACCCAACTAGAGAAAGAACGTACAATATACTCCTCCAACGGGCGAAAAATCCTTTCGGTCAGTGCTCGCTGCTCCAGCCGTCTAGGAGAATATGCCATTTCCGGCTTCTTTGGAGATATAGCACCCGGCGACGCCTCAGAACTAACACTCCTCTTCATACCAGGCGCTCCAGGTCTCTCTGGGACGCTAACAGACAATTGTCTTAGATGGCTCGGCGCATTACCGACATCGCTAGGTCGACGATTGTGATCCAGCCTTCCGTCTTCAAACGCTGGATAAGGCGCCGGTGTCATCAAGTGCGTATTCCCGCTAGGCCTTGGTATCTTCCTAGGCCCGTTCGAGGCGACCGAAGAAGTTGGAGTGCCACGGGGCGTCTTCCCTTCCACCATTGCTTTCCTAGCTCTCAGGAATGACTCAATACAATTAGTAATAATCGCTTGAGTCCGTTCCACAGTAATTGGCGGTGGAGGAGGAGCCGGTGTTGCTATTGAGTTGTATTAGCATAAAACAAGATTCCATAAAGTTTATGTCTTAGAAGACTCGTAGCACAAAAAAGCGGCTTACTATTCTGTTTCCCCTTGCCCTTCTCATCGGTCTTCACCGTCTTTTGAAACGGTACGAGATCATTAATTCCTAAACACACCGTACACCTAAACACCGTCAAATGTGTAGGCCAGCGCACGGTCGAAGCACAAGTCATACACGGCCCAACTTTCTAAAAAAGACATCCTCCCCCAACGATATCAGCTATCTCAACTCTCGTCAAGCAAAAACCTCTCACTCCCAACAATAAAACACAAAAGACAATTAAAAGAATGAAGAGAACAAGGAAAAACTCACCATCTCAGGCACCGATCCATTGCCCACCCTTCTAACCGCCCCAAAAGGTGTAATGTCAACTTTATCCCCTCCCTGCGGTATATTTTTCCCACCACCGCTTCCGCTCCCACTTGTTAAACCCCCACCACTACCACCGGTACTCCCAGGCGGCACATGACTTTTCGATCTCTGGTGGCCGTATAACGTCGGCGCGGATTCGTCCAACTGTGGGAATATGGAATATAATCTAGGTGGTGTCGTAGTTCGTTCCGGTTGGGTGTGGGATGATGAGGCGGAAGGGGCAAAGAGTTTAGTCGGCCAACTAGGCATGATCACAATTTCTTTCTTTCTTCCCTTTTCCCTTCTGCCTTATCTTGTTTGTCAGGGTTTATAAGGTTTTTTTCTCTTTCTTTTCTGTTTTCCTTCTTGTGAAGGGGGGGTATGACAAGGGGTGTGAAATAGTCGAGGCCGAGGTTCGAGACTGTTTGAATTGTGTAAAAGATGAATTGTCTTCTAATTATCTAGGTTCGCAACCAATAATATTGCATGGTAGGAAGACTGAAAAGAAGCTTTCGTCGTGCAAAGGGCCAAGATGGTTTCGATAGTTGAAAATGCAAATGAAGTTCCAGGAAGTTCGAAGTTCGAAGTGGGCCCTTGGTCGAATATATATACGCAACGAACACCCAGACCCGGGTAACCTGCGTATTATATTATAAAAAAATAAAATAAAATAAAATAAAAATAAAAAAGGAAAATGTCCCCACTGCCAGCTACACTGCCAAAAAAAAAAAACACCGAAGTAGCAGTTAGGTAAGAAAATAAAAGTAGCTCGTTCGTGGGGAAAAAATGCTGCGGTTTTTCGTTGATAGGCAAGTAATTAATGCTGCAACCGGAAGGGGACAAAGAATTAGTCTGGAGACGAGACGAGACGAGTTATAACCCGAAACCTGCGAGGCATGCGGGCTCAGAATTCGAACGTTAGAACAGCCCTTTTATTATCGCTTTTGTCGGACGCTCCTTTGATTTTCGGCAAGAAGATCGAGAATTCTTGGAACAGATATGCCAATTGCAATTGAGAATCGTAAACGGGAGGTGGGAAATGTTGAAATGCTGTTGAAGTTGCAGCTCGGTTGTGGTTCGAGATGGGTATGGTAATGGTAACAAACAGGACGGACAGACAGTGCTTAGCCCCAAACCAAACAGCTGGCAGTGCAGTAGCAAGTATATTATTGTCGGTTCAAACTGTACCCCTGGATCGAAGCTTCAAGGTATCCAAACCTCGAGCGCTCTCGAGTAAAAATGCGAATAAACCAACGAAGGCGTAATTGGGTAATAGGTTAGAGTCGGAGGAGATGAAGACCGTGGCAAGCCTAGAAGTTCAAAGAAGAAGAGGAGGAGAAAGCTAGAAGAGAGACGACCGAGAATTATAGCAATTGCACATGCGCATATGCATACAACATGCATGCTCAGGGGATGCACTCTTTCTTGTATGTCGATATCAATAAGAATTAATATACTAGTCGCAATTCAGTGCAGCGCAGAGGCAGTCAGAAAGAAGATAAATCCTGAAGCAAGTAGGTAAGTAAGTACCCAGGTAAGTACTTACAGCCGCACCAGAATGAGGCAAGCAGGTGGTTGGGACGTCAGTGTGTATGTGCGTGCGTGCGAAACTAAGAAATAGTCGTTCTGTGCAGGCAGAGCTGTTTTGTTTGACCTGACATGATCACCACCAAATGGCGTACTCGTGAGGGCGGTCACTGCGCTGGAACGACTCACGACTCGACTAGCGGATGTTAACGTGACCTCTCTTCTCGGGGCATGTAATGTTTGTGCGTACCCGGTGCTAGTTCCCATACTACATTAATAACGTGAAAGATGTTTCTAAAAGCAGGTACTTTGTCTGGAGTATTGGAACTTGAGAGGTCGTCGACGGGGATGGCAGGCTGCATGTACAGGTACCCACTCACGCCCTCGTACCGGGCCAGGGTCCTAGTCTTGGCGGATCCTGGATAGGGCTCTATCACAAGGGAAGAAACAAGTTTAACGGCATCATCAGGCCGTTCTTGAGATTTATAAAAGGCCCTGAAGGTTACATTCGATATTCCCATAAGTTGATAGCGGATGAGTAAACATCCCATCTTTTCTCCATAACTGGGTAGTTAACTACCAGGTTGGATACGCTATGTTAACGCGCCTCCCGGGGACATGTATAGAGTAACTACTTAATGTCCAGAGATAGAGATAGTCAGGCCAAGGACGGGACCCTCCAACGTTACGTCCGGCTCGATTTTAATTCTCGCGGGCTTGTTTCAGCGGAAAGAAAGTCTTGGCTTTATCCTGTTTACCCAGAGAGAGTCCCTTGCATATCCTTACATACTTCCTTAGGTAAGTCAGGCATGTATGGATGGTCACCTATGAGACCCGTTCTAACATGAAGAACACGGACTGGAATGATAGCAATAGTCAGAAGAAAAAAAGATAATATTGTTGTCATCACAATATCTCTCTTTTGGACCGGTATAGTAGTATAGCATAGCATGTATCAACTGAACAAGCTTCAGCTAAATGTAGCTATTGAAACAATGTTGTCGACAACCCACATGATATCGATGGAAGAAGAAGCAAAACCCCCATTCCCATATAAACAAAGAGTCATGAAACGGCCACAGGCACACACGGAAGAGTAGTAGTAAAAATAATATAAGAAAAAAAGTGGATTAATGGCTCGAAACAAGGAATAAACATTAAACACCACCACCACCGCCACAAACAAGTCACCCAGCAATCTAATCTCTGTATCTCCAGAGAGAGAGGGTGTTGTGACGCTTCCAGGTCTTTCTCCTGCCAGCCTTGGTGTTGTTGTATCTGTGCCCCTTGTTGATACCTCTGCTCTTCTTGCCGGTAGCGGTGAGACCACGGCTCTCGCGGTGCTTGTGAACTGGGTTGACGATCCAGTTGATGCGGGCATCGCGACGGATGGCCTTGTGCTGGGGGTCGACAAGGATGACCTCGAAGTACTTGTAGGTCCTATTCGCACAACCATCCGTTAGTCATCCATTTCCATACAATTCAATATTATATCCAGATTGGAATGTAACACATACGAGTCCTGGTTGATCCAGTAAGAGTTGAGAACGCGCAAGTTGGCGCATCGTCGGCCGACACGCTCCTCAGCAGTGGACCTGAGCGATCGCTGGTACTTCAATTGGTTCACACCCTGGTTGGTGGGCTTGCCATAAGTAGCACCCTTTGGAACTGGCCTCTTGCGACCTCCACGGCGAACACGGATACGGTAGATGACATATCCCTGCTTAGCCTTGTATCCGAGACGGCGAGCCTTGTCTGGGCGAGATGGTCGGGAAGCACGATGGATGACCGCTGTTGTCGAAGGAATCCGTAACCCGTCAGTATATTCTGTTGCTTTTGATTTGAAAAACTTTCGACGACAATATCCCTTCAATGCCTCTGGGTTGGGAAAAAAGCGAGAGCGATTCCTGACTCTGCGAAGAAGCTAATCTCCAACAGAAGCTTCATAGCTTCTTCTTCCTTCCTCCCATTCCATAGGACTTGAAGAGACATGTCCCGAAGAAGGTGCTTTATCATAGGAAAGCAATACCTAGGTTTCTGTAGTGCCAGCATCGGACACGGAGAAGGAATTGCAGTACATCAGACTGCTTTTTCTTCTGAAGTTCTTCGATGTATTTAAGAGCACCCATCTATACGATCCCAACAAAACCAATCGATTAGCCTTCCCATCACTATCACCATCCATTGTATCCAACTTTTTCCAATTGACCGAGAGTTAAAAACGAACCTTTGTCGTATATTCGGAATATGGAGGGTAGGGGTTGTCGAGTCGTGAGGTCGGATTCGTCGGTAGGTTGTCGTGATGATGTCTTCAAACTAGCAAAAAACCTTCAAAGCGGTGGAAGAGACTTTCTGTGAGGAACAAATTGCACCCACCAGAATTTGGTGGAGAGGGCTCCAAACCCTCGCTTATTAATCCTATTTGGGTTTGTGTCCCGAATTAGAAGTATCTTACAAACAAACAAATGGGTCCTCAACACAGCAACACAACTATCTGGGACCGAGTCAATGATGTGGGAGTGCCTCTCTGGGGCTGCCATTGAGATGAGATATAATACAAATACAAAACACCATTCCGACAACATTCCGACTCCAATCTTCTATAATATCGTACATCTAGTCTAGTCTAGTCATAGCCTTGTTATGATTCTCTATATCATTGATTAGAGACCTCTCCTCAACCTATTCACCGCCCCATCCACTAACCATCTCGCATAAACCTCATGTAACCAAACGTACAACCACGGCATCCCCTTCCCATCCTCTCCTTTCTCTCTATCCAATCTATTAACCCTCTCCATATCAATCACACATCCGAATCTCACCAAAACCTCCCCATCCTTTGCCCCATCCTCTTCAATAACCTCAAAACAATGTCTCCCACCACTGATATGCCTCCATGGCGCTCCATACTTCGCAGCAACTTCCCAAATGTGTGTGGGATAATCCGGAAGATCATATGCAACTACTGCTCTTCCCAGAAGTTTTCCATTTACCCCATCATTTTGTTCTGTTAATGTTACTAGTGATGTTGTATCTTCTGCCGCCTCCTCGATTGATATGACGTTGAAGACTCCATGTGCGAGTTCTTGGCCGACGTAGACTCTTTCTTTGCCTCTGTCGCCAGTTGTAAATCCGTTTCCGGTCAAAAGACCGATGCCAAGTGCTTCAAGGCCTAATGTAGGCGTACAGAATAACGCCGAAGTCCAGATTTCTATTGGCGTCTTCTTGTGCTTTACATCTTTAACCACGGTTTCATCTCCTATTCTTTCGGCTGCTGAAACCGGTCGAATTAACGATTTGTAGGGTACTCGCGCCGTAAACCAATGTCCATATAGCTGTTTGAACCTCACGTCATCCGTAGATTTATAAACCGGATGTGACCGGTGAATATCAGTTGTGGGATATTGGTATAGGAGACGGGTAAATGTAGTTGTGAGATATAATATCGGAGGACCGATAAGAAAGAAGAGGATTGAGCGTCTGGATGACAATAGCGGTTTTGAAAATGTACTATAGCCTCTATTTAATGCGCCCGATCTTTGGAGACCAATGAATGTAGACGAAAGTCTTGTTATCAAAGGAGATGATGAAATGATTCTGGTTATGACTATTGGAAGTGTCATTTGTGGCGGCTTCTTGTGCAATTGCGAATGTGCGTTGCAGATGTTGGAATATTCGTGCACCAAATTTTGTGAAGATGTTGAATGATTCGAGACAGGAAACTAACATGGATACAAGATCTCCTCAATCTCTGCAGGTCCGATAGACTTCACCACTTTTATAAATAAATAAAAATCCCGGCCGCTTTGACGCCAAGTTAGAAGTCATAACGTTAAAGAGTCACGATGTCAAAAAAGCTAGTTACGTTCGCCAGGAACCGGGTCAGCCATCTGCATATTCCCGAGATCGGGAAATCGGATCATACCGGCTTATCTATTCGCTCAACCGCAAACAAATGAAAAGATGCCCTAACCGATACCCCATTATAGAAATTTCTTGATTCAAACTTTATTTTCACGACTCCTTTTCTTTTTGAGTTCGCCGAAAATTCGAATACCTGGTGACATTTAGGTAAGTGGCTTGAATATTTCGTAATGACGAGCTCTTGGGTTGCCGGCTGCTTCCTTGGCCTTGCACTGTTAACTTTACGTTCCAGTGATATTCTTGTTCATTGTTTTCGTGCAGGCAGGCAGGCAGGCCAGTCACGTCCAAAATCGATCTAGATAATATAGAAATTAGAGATATTTATAATGTCAATAGACCGTGTAAGTATAGTTCTATGTTACTTTGCTGTATTATATTGTAACAGAAAGCCAAGCCCCAAGAGCGAACCCCAGCCCGTGATATGGATCTAGTCTTATATTAAAACGCTTCGGCACACTCAATCCATCCCAATCCCAGTAGTTTCACTTTTATATATTCAAGTATGGATCAAAAGCAAAACGAAAGTTTTGATTTTATATACTATGTACACCAAGACTTAAATCCACTTTACAATAATAAGCTTAGACCACGTGCACATTCCAATTGGCGGGTCAATTGGCAGTTAAAGGCCATGGAAGTCTTTACAAAAGTCTTGAATCTACAGATCTTTAAATATCGAATAGTCTTAAAGGCCTCCAAACCCAATATGTTTTAAAGTATGGCTTTATCAACTTCTATAAAATATACCTGTAGGTTAACTGTGACGACCCAGGAATGTTATATATATAATAGATGGGAGCAGTATAGTAATATCATGATCAAGGTTCTCAAACGGTCCATGAATCATACCCATTTAAACCTAGATATAGGTTGGTAGATCTAGATACGACAATTTCCTTCTTTACGAAGTTTGGCTTGAGGCAAAGGGCTACTATTGATACGGTCGAAAGAGGCCTTCTACATGCATGTATGCAGTTGAGACGGTGGGTTTTCCCTCAGCGAGTAACGTCCTCAAATCCTGGCCTTCACCGCCTCGAAGTTTGCAAATCTAAATGCTATTATACACCCTGTTGTAAATAGGTAGATTTGATCGAAACTACTCGATTAACCAAAACGAAACTCTTATAGACGGCGGGTTCCTGGGTCTGGTTTATGTATGAGATAATAGGAATAGAAGATACCTCCAGCGACCTATAGCTATCTGCCATATGATACCAAAGATTCACAGTGTAAGACTAACTCCTTCAACGGATAACGGACCCGGATATTCATTTCGAATACGAAGCAATATACTTATAGACATGCCTCTAGGTATCAGGCTATATTTATAGTTCTCGTCAAATAGTTATTACTTACAAATCGTAACGAGCTCTGCACACAGTATAGCACAGAGCACGTAGCTACAGTTTGGATCCCATCCGGACCCAATAACGTAAAGTTTGAAATATTGTGGAAATTACGCTGATAGCCCACATATTCAACCAACTTCGAGCATAAATGCACAAGGCCCGTGATAGATAGCCATTTTCGTATAACTAGCATATATTAATGCAGGGGCAGAGCTCCAGAGTTCTATGTCGACCTGCATGAACCTTCTTTTAAGCGCTACGACGCTAATATTCTTTAAGCCCCTCCTTCAACCGTCTATCTATTCCCTTCGCAACCAGACGCCATGCATGCTAATCGTGTAGTCATAATCCTCGTATATGCACCAATCAAGGTCCGCGATCCGTAAAAAACAAACCCCCCCAAAGGCTAGTCCATATGCATCTATAAATCTCCGAACAACGACACGGCTTAGATGCAGCGCTTGTTCCTTTCCCCTGGAAAGAGCCTAGAGTGAGCTCCACCCAAATTCATGGTAGCGGGTGTAGGTACTCCCGAGTATACATTAGTATGTTTCTTATTTCAGTTAAATATAACAAATTGGTGGTATTGATAGGTTATATATATCTATCCGTTCCTCGACGAAGGTTTATTTCCACAAAACACCCCACATCATCTTCCCGATTATTTTTTTTGTTAAAAGAAAATATATAGATATAAATATACATAATTACATATGCGCATTCCCCCCTGAGGTTCCATTTAACTCATTAAAGTCAGAATATCCTCCGAAAAACGGAAAATCATCTCGTACGACGATCGTGTCGGTCGTTTAGTCGAATCCATAATATATTACAACCCATATATCTGATTTATTTCCCGTGTCCACCCCACCAAATTGCTGCAAGGACCTAGAAATAAACGGTCGAGCGAAAAAAAAGTAAAGTAATCCGGGAAAACGGTCATAAGAAAATAAAGCCTTGAAAGTTTGTAAAACCAGCCTCAATTCCTCCATTCATAAGGGGTTTTGAAGTATGTAGATAAGGGAAAAGGCGAACCAAAAAACAAAAAACAAAACGCCGTGCGACCGTACCACAAAAACGCAATATCCAAGAAGAAATATTCGAAAATGCGAAAAAGCAAAGGGACAAATATGAACGCCCCAAAGTGCTGCGGCGATATGCGCGAACTATAATACGCTGTAAATGCGGTTCGTACCAAGAGACAAAAAGAAAATGCGTGCCTGAAATGACTGGTATGAAAATCCTCTGAAAATCGTAAGATAGGAAAGAAAATTTGAACGCCGATAGATGCGTTTGGGTATTGCATTATTGGTGAACTGGATAGATGAAAGAAAGGGGAAAAATCAACAAGCCGCCCCCGTGATATCTGAAATGCGAAGAAAAATCGCAAAAGGAAAGAGGTGTATTCACACCGTACAAACTACATTGCACGGATTCGCCATGGCACACATCCTCGGCCCTGATATATGGATTCAGCGTCTCCAGCTCGTGGTACCCTCAAGACAGCATTCCCCTTAAGAACGGTGGTGAATTTGGTCGATTGAGTTCCAGGTCTTTGTGATTTTGCAGAATGGAGGGATCCAGATCTTCGTAAACCTTTATTTGTAACCTTTTCGTCCATTTCAGACCAATCTGGTCGTCCCCGTGTAAATGTTTCTGGAGCGATAGCAGGTCTTCCAGCTGTTCCAGCCGTATTTTGATTTAGAATTGTGCTCGAAAATAGTTCATAGTGGGGACTTGGTGTCATGAATCGATTTGGTGGTGGTGATCTTGGGGTTTCTCGCCCCCATGTTCCCCAAGTTGGTGTCTGTCGACCATTTTCTGTTGCACCGTTCATTATATTATTTCGATCATACTCGCCGGATGATCTGTCGTCAAAAGGTTGAACAACCCTGGGTGCCCGGTTCCGTCGAGTTTTCGCTTGATCTAGTATTGGTCTTGAGAGTTTATGGGTTTGCTCTGTTTTGTAGAAGATTTCTGGTGTCGCAGTCAAAGCAAACGATTGAGCCGCAAATGCCGGTGTGTGGTGATATCTTTCGGGTTTTGAGGATTTCTGCAATTTGGCTTGCTTCTTCTGTCGTTTTCTCTCGGCTCTTAAACGTTCTTCGTCAAATAAGCTGTGTTGTGTCGGTGGCTATGAATTCGGAATGCCATTTGTTAGAGATCTCACGATGATTTAATGAGGAAGGCACATAAATTGGTATCTTACACTGGGAAATGCGTCCATGATGTTACGCTCGGAAGAAGCCTGTGTGGTGCGATCGAAGGTGATAGGAGTCAAATTGTCGAAAAGGTCCTCTGGAAATTCAAGATTAAGAACTGCCAATGGTAAAATTAGACCCTGTTTCGATAGTTGCAACTGCAATTGTAACTGAATTCCAAAGGAAGAGCTTTGAATGGGAAGCGCAATTTCTTTCGTAGATAATAATGAATAGGTAGCAAGATAGTCCCAGACAAGAAAGTGTATACAACAGTTTCCAAAAATGTCAAAGTTTCGGTCCATGTTTCCACTGTACCACTATATATATAATTCGCTCGTCTCTGCGGTGGAACAGGGTTCGCAGGTAACTCCCCATCTGGGGATGTCTACAGGGGTTTGGTGCGGAGAAGATTGGTTGCGACCGAGCTAACGTTCGCAAAGTGCCCGGGGTGCTTGAAGCATGTGGGCAGCTTCTAGCGTAAACGTTCTTTCCAACCAACCAACGGCATGCTCTAAAACCTGCAAGCTCCCTGTTTTGCAGCAAGCAGAGCAAACTCTGACGTCGGTCTAACTGCACGGCGAAGCAAAGTGGGTATCTTACCTGGGAGAGAAAGAGGGGTTGTCGTAGCAGTCCGAACCACTCCATAGTCGCGTGAGGAGGGCACAGGAGTCTTCAAGGGAAGAACATTCTTGTCCGTCTGCTTTCTCCTCCTGTTTCGAGGCAAAAGTGGCCCGATGACATCCATGCTGTACTCAACTGGCTAAGAGTAGGTATAATAGCGCTATTATGCCGGCAGCGCAGCACTGGAGATACCCGACCAAGAAAAATCGAGCCGGATTTGAGAAACGGCAGTCGTTTGGAGCGAATTAATAACCCTAGTGATTAACAATGCATGATATCACAAGATACCTTAGGATCCCTCGAACAATCAACTTGGCGAGCTTAAGGAACAGAGTCTTCGCTATGGCCTGAGCAAAATCAGGGTCCTCCCTCCAAAATATATAACTAAAACTCGCCATTCCATTTGCTTCGGCTGGAGTGTATTTTCCCTGAGCAAGATGGGGATTTTCGTGTTAAGTCGGAATTGTGCGCTGCATGTAGAAGCTTTCAAAATCCACATCCGCCACAGTGGAGCCATTTTCTAAATTCATTGGTTATATTGATACCCCTCGGCAATGAAATTACATGGCTCACAATCTAGGCCGTCCTGTCGCAATTGTGGCATAGTGCGATCTCGGGTATCGTTGTCGACCTTTACATAGTACACCTGCGGGCGCCGAGAGACGGAGTTTGGCTCTTGATAATGTCTCTTCCCGTGTCTTTTGCAGGGACATCGTAGAAAGGAGAAGAGGCAGAAACTTGGGTGAGCCGCCAGGCGGCAAGCATTAACACCAAATTTTAATACAGATTTGGCGCATTGTAGCATTGCAGTAGAATACAAACTAGGCTTTCCTCAGAGAAAGTATCAGCGCCTTCATAGGGATTTCATTTCATGCGAATGATACCATGTTGTCGCCTGTGAATATTATTGAGTCTGAGTCAACTTCCCCGGCTTCCGACTTCGTGATCTTGATCCTGCCCTCTTGGCGTCGGCTCCGTCGGTAAATATTAATTGTGGCTGCCGGACTGGGGTCCCGTTGGTAAAGATTGCAGGTTGAAATGGATAAAGTTGGTTTCCATGGGCTGGTTAGGAACGAGACTGGGACTGGCTCTAGACCAACATAACTCGCATTGTGCATTTATCCTGCTGCACCTGCAAAGCAAACTTACACAGTAGGTAAGCGCAAGAGACACAATCTTCACAGAAAAAAAATTATCTCCTCCCTTCAAATATCGATGTGAGGCCTCGGGTTCTCGAAGTGTCAAGCCACCTGATCGATCTTTCGCTTCACCCTAGTCAGATCCAACGAGACCCTGTTCCAAAAAAGCCGACGTCGCCATTGAGCCAATCGTCATTGCGCCGATGGGATCATGTGACCTGTTTGGGAAACGTGCCCGATCCAGCATCAGACCATCATGTAGGTATCCAGCATACGAAGTACTCTGCCACAATAAAATTTTCGTGAGAGCTCAAGGCTTGCAGAAACATCTCAAAAATCCAGTCTAGGTGAAGGAGAAAGCCGCCGATTTTGACGTATGTCAAGATCGATCGGTCAATACCGAAGTCATTCTCGGAATTATCGAACTTTGTATGATTCCACAATTTTTTTAAAAATTTTGCAGTGGCGCTGCCACGCTGCAGATCTGGCATGATCATGTTGTGTTAGCATGATGAAGCATCGGGCCGGGCAGAAGGGAGCAAGATACTTTGGTGAAGGACATGGACACAACTGTCGCCGCAGTGTATCCGACTCTGCGGTGTAATGAGGGGTTTGTGTCTTCGCGGCGATGCGGACGGATGCTAACATGATATTGTCCGGCACACGTTCTACATGTCCCGACAGAAGCATGATCTTCGAGAATTAACAGTAGCCCACGGGGATACCGATCTTTGGCTAGGAGCCTGGCGGGGATCTGCGATTTACAGTTACACGAAGATTGACCACAAAGACAACGCACCGCCACAGCCATAAAGAGGCTGGCCACTTTGATGGGATGCCGGTGCACGCGGTGTTATATACTACCACTGAAATACTTGAGCCTAAATATTCAATTCTTGATATTATAACACGCATATCCAACATATTGTATAGCTTTATCTACACGTTTGGCCGCAAATTCGAAGTCCAAACATTAATAGCTTAAGCCATTCGTTCATTTTTGGGATTTAGTCATATCATAACGTTTGAATTTAGACTGATAGCTAAGCTAACTTTCATGATTACTAGTTCTCCTAAGGTGTAATATTTAAATATTTGAGCCTCATTGCATTGTACGGAGTATTAATTGCGGCTGATACCTAAACACCCCACGAGCCTCAGGGCCGCGGGGACTAGCCAATCAAGTACAACGATCTCCATTGTGCATCCGCACATAACAAGCCCTAGCAACCTTTTAGCTAGCACCTGCGTTTCTTCATTAGTTGAAAGTACGAATTAAGAAATTATCCCAACGCTGCATGCAGACGTCTACGCATGCCCATTCCAGCATATTGTTCTACATGTTATTGCGTATTTGAAATTCCATGCCGCAAACATAATCAGAATGAACGAATCAGATACCCTCCATGCGATGAGCTTGTGCACTGTTAAATTAATTTTCAGCTACCAAGACTATCAGCCTTATGTGCAGATCTGCAGATCTTGACAAACCGGGCAGATAACTGTAGTATACCGAAGCCTTGTAGTTTTAATACTAGATTACCGAAGATAATGATACTGTGCGTATCCGAATCCGGACCGGATAATATAGAGTGCCGTATCTTGGTATTGATACCCACTTCAGCAGCTTTGGAAACTGAAAGGCCTAGCTTGAAGTATTTAAAGAAGGTATTTCTCCCGTTACACGGCGACGATATGGTTATACTTCGCGTCTGCCAGTTGTGATCTGTTATGCGTCCCACTTAACTAGCATTATTCCTGTCTTTTGAAAGTCTAGGGCTTTACATATCTATTCCAATATCCCCTTTCTACCTCTGTATCGGGATTTGAATATCGATTTTACAGCTGGCCTAAATTCTCGAGTCTGCGAAGATCTAGAGCTAGCTAAACACACGCCTTCATCATCAAATACCCTACCTTTGTCACAAGGAATTTAAAATATTTCCTCGCGTTAAGCTCCGGAGAGTCCTCAAGATGGTGTTGAAATATATCTGCCTTATTCGTCACGGCGTAAGCGTACATCCTATTAACTCACAATACTATCACATACGCCAATAAACATACGGGCTAATTTTATATGTAACCAAAATATAGTCTAGAGAAAAGTATGGTGATGTGAAAGTCACTAAGATTGGAAGCTTTAATGATCCCAGTGACTGGTATGGGCATCTACACGGCCCCGATGATCAATTGACAGCAACTGGACGCCAACAAGCACAAGAACTCGCAAATTATCTTTCGTCTTCTCATCCTGAAATCTCTGCAGTATATACTTCTCGACACTATCGCTGTCTAGAGACAATAAAGCCATATGTTGAGATATGCGAGCGTGACGGGAAGGCCATAAATTTCCGGCTTGATATGGGTCTATCGTAAGCCTTAATTAAATAGCTCCTATTTTTTTATATGTTAAGATTATATTGACTAAGCTATCTAAATAGGGAGTGGCGAAGAGTCGATAGAAAACAAGCGCGTATCCCTTCTATCAGGCAGCTGAAAGAGTATCACCCTACGCTTGACGCCCAATGCCAATCGCTTTGTAACCCGCTAGGCCACGAGAATCTAGACGAGTTTTATGCGCGAAATGCATACTTCCTTGCGAACCTTATCCAATCTCTTGATAATGACCCTGACGGCCCAGAGTCGGTTTTGTTATGCACGAGCGCCTCGAATATAGCATGGATGGCTAGAATTCTCATGGGGAAATACCCAAAAAACTCGATGGAACGGGACTTCAGCGTACCAGCAATTAGCTTCTATAAATTCGCACGACGCCATGTGGTCCCAGTGAATATTGATGCTGGGGAAAAGACCCCTCTCGGATACCCCCGAGTTGAATGGCAAAATGGAACTTCTATCGGGGGAAGCTGGGAGATAACTCATAATGCAGAGTGTAATTTCTTGAGCACAGGGAGTATGATGCTATGGTAAGTATCGAAGCGCGAAATATGATAGATACCCAATATCAAAAGCGTGTTACCAGGCTAACGTGGAATGAAACCGGTCCGGCCGCTGTAGGACGCCCTCAGACATCCCAAAGTCTCTACCGCCCTTTGAAGCACTGCAGATCCCAGAGCCAGGATTTCCAAACTTCTTCGACATTCAAGAACTGAATTCCGCCGCCATGACTGGACCACGTGTGGAAACAGAGACCACGATTACATCCACGGCTGTGGAAATTCTTGTTTGATGACAACCATTCTGGAATATTCTTTAGCAATTTTATGGTTTCATAGTATTTGATCTCTGCTTTTTACTGCGCCTGGTCTCAAAGTTAATATTTAATGAAACTAGCCGTCCTTTTTCTGTATGTTTATTGTATAAGCTGTCGAAGCTTCTGCCATTCTAGACTCTAGCCTCGAAGCTGCTTTCATTCACCCAACACCCACAGCTTATAAACGTATAATCTTCGTCCTGTCCTTTTAAAGCTTTTCATGTAGCTTAATATTGTGGAATTCACTAATGTGTCTTTGAAATCACAGTTTCAATTATTCTAGCTGTTTCAACTCAAATATTTTAGGAGACGAGTCAGCAAGTGCTTAAGCCAAGAATTTGCCAATCTCAGGATCTTGCTGTCATCTTATAATCACACATGTGCACCAGCCGTCAAACACCTGGTTTTGATAGGTTCTCTCCGTTAACCTAGCTTAGCACTATTCTATTTGATCAAAATTTAATGATAAGCCGCTGAAAAAATCGTTAGATCCGATGATCCCCAATTGGCCAAGCAGCCCAATGATTCTAACGTCAACTACCGCTCCATGTAATGTCCAACAGATCTTAAACATATATGCCATCGTTTATCTAACCCACAAGGATTACCCCAGTCAAACCCCCTATCAATCTGCATCCTAGGAATTGATCGCCTAACTAATCATACCTTCTGATTTACGCATTTACATACCGTTTGGGATGCTTCCAAAAGAAACTTTTCCTGTAGTACAAGTAAGTGGGGACCGCTTATATATCCAAGTTAGAGGGGAAAAAACAATCCTAAAATATGAGGTTTTGTTACGAAATAATTATGTGAAACGTGCATATATAGTTGTAGACAGTCCGTACGCTTCCGCGGAAACCGACTTTTTGCTGTATGGATTAGGAGTCATAGTTTGTTAGTTTTCATTTTTTTCCTATGTAGACCGGTGGCTATCACATTCCGTTAGCCGATGTTCTCGTAGGTTCCAAAGAATTTATGGAGGCCAGGTATGTAAAATTGACTGGATCTTCGAAAGATCTTAAGATTGTATCGGCATCGATTAGATACCGGTACCTCGCCGCGGCGCAATTGTGTGCATCGGCACTTCAAATCCAACGGGGAATGTAGCGGGACACCGGTTCCTCCATGCTAGAATAAGATCCAACATCTGCAGTATCAAAAGCCGAACGCATATATTCTTGATACTACGGTACTTACCGGCATCGTCGACCCGATACCCCGACCCCGCATTCAAATCCGCGTGAACAACAACCAAAAGAAAATGCTCTAAAACTTCTTCCACCGTGCCCTCGCTTTCCTTCTCTCCACTTTCGTTTCCTCTTTGAAGGGAAAGAAGGGTCAAATACTAAGTAAGTACTTAAGTAAGTATGAACATATATACATGGGTAAGTGGGTACCTAAGTACAACATAATGTGGGGCTAAACGCAAAATGGTGCAACCTAACTGTCCACTATCTCGTGCAGGCGCATGTGCAGCAAAGGAAAAAAAAGAGAGAAATGTGGGGTTTTCTTTAAGCTTGACCAACATGAGATTCCCGTTGGACCAACCAGGTTCGCATGACGGGATGCAAAAGGGGCACATGACGATTTGCAACCTGCATATTTTTTTTTTGTGTCCGGAGGACAAAACGCGCGAAGGCTTTCGAAGTGGGGCCATGCATACTGATGTTTTTCTTCTTCTCCTGCTCGATGCACGGCTCGTCCTGTGGGTTGAACAGATTAGGAAATAATCGTCCTGTATCGTAGGTATCAGAAGTGTAGTGTCGTTACACATTTTTGCATTGGTGCATTGTAACGGAGTATGTATGTATAAAACGAATCCTTCACGCAAAATACGAATGATAAAATGCTAGCAATAGTTGAGACCACGTTATCGATAGTGACAGTTAAGTTATAGATTATTGATAATGCGGTAGGTATCAACATCAGAATTAATACCTAAAACATAAAGGAATTTTTGGGGTAGCACAGATGCGAAAGAATATATTCAAACGAAGATAGCCAGCTCGAAAGTTTTGAATACCAATGAATGAATGAATGCATGCAGTTGCGGAGTAAGAAACCAAGCAATAATGATCAAATTAGACAAAAAGACATGATTGATACCCATCCCTTTCTTAAATATTTCTATCCCGACTTTGACTTCAAAATTTCATTTTTTAGAAAAGAGAAAAAAGAATGACGCAAAAGACTATGTATAAGCAGAATGAAGGGTAGCGCTGTTATCAAAAATCAGTCTGTACACGAAGATAGATTTCAGAAAAAGAACCAAAGCAAATTCGAGCAATGAAAGTTGTATCCCGGTCCGGTTATCCAGTGTAATCAGCAAATTTAAAAATCCCGTGTCTACAATGGATGCATCAAACAAGGCAAAGCAAAATAGAATAACAATAGGAAAGCAAAACTCAAAAACCATGCTAGACTCTGCCCAGGAGACGAGGCTCCAGAGAGTGTGTGTCTGGAAAAGCATTGAAAGACAGAAATAGAGAAGCATAAACAAGAATATTAAAATTAAGATGAAGACAGAGCAGATAGTACGAATGACCAGGCGTGACGCCAAAAATGATGCTTTCGGCAATGCCACCATGAAATAAATAAATCATGAGAACCCGAGACATATCAAAAGACTCAGAATCAAAAGAAAGAGAACTCAAACTCCCCAATACCTTCTTCTAATGTGTATGTGTGTAAAGGACCGCTTTTGTTTGTTGGGTAAATTTCCAACTAAATTAGGAGAAAAGTCGTTTAGTCGTTCGAATTTTTAGTCGGAAATGGTTCATAGGAAAGGGTGGAAGGCCTCCCATTGATCAGGTGGGACGGAATTCGAGACCCTGACCGTGTGGACTGGTGCCACCGTTTTGATTGTTCATGTAATATCCATTGTTTTGTTGTTGTTGTGGGAGGTGACTGAAATCTTGGTGTGGGACGACGCCATGTGTAGCCTGGCGGATCGGGTAAAGGGCAATAGCTTGTGGCAGTGGCATTTGCTGCTGGGCGTAGATTTGCTGCGTTCCAGGTGGAACAAGGGCGCGAGGGATGGAAGGTGCGTAGGCGTACTGAGGGGCTTGAATGCCGAGGTTTCCGTAATGTTGTTGTATAGCAACATCTGAGAGATGATCACTAATGACTCCCTGCAATATTGGAGGGCCGGTGTTGATACGAGAGCCGATGGCACCCCCATTGGCGTGAGCAAAGGATGCCGGATTCATAGCCGACATCCAGATACGAGTTTTGTAGATCTTGAAAAGGTCGGTAACGAGAGAGTTGAAGTTGATATAAGTATCCGCATAATAGTAAAAGGTCAATTTTTTCCAGTCCCTGTTTCGATTCGTGTTAGTATTGACCCCATATGTAGTATATCCCATCTTCAACTTACATTTGGAACTCAGCATCTAGAATCTCCATTGGGAGTCGGTGCTCTAGGACCTTTTGCTGGCATACCCTCTTGGCTTTGGCTTCATTGGCTTCTTTGTCACGTAAAGTCTGGATTTCGTGTACTTGGGCCAAACGCTTGATCATCTTTGGCTTAAGTTCTGTCGCAGAGGGGTCTGGGTTTTGGCCTGGGTTCAAAGCTGGGTCACCCATACTCTGACCGTTCACGAGGGTTGGCGTGGGCCCAGCGGCCGCACCAGGAGGGGCAGCCCCACCCGGTCGACGATTGGAGAACATCATTAGCCACTCGTAATGTCGAGCAGCGGCTTCCTCCTTGAGCGCTTTAGCTTGGTTCCAAGTAACATTTTCTCCAGTCACGGTACCCAAGTCCGTTCCTCTATCGGCTTCGACAATGACGAGGTCACCATTCTTGACTCTAAGACCTGTCCCTTCTTGAACGAAAAAGACATCTGCACGGCAAGCTTTGAATGAAACGAGATACAACAATTGGTTGTTCCGTGGTGCCATTTGTGTGAGTGGAGGATAGCCTGGCTGGTATATGCTAGCAGGCCCATTCATCATTCGCTGTTGCTCAGGAGAAATGCTCAAAGGAGGCATTTCATTTGGGGCGAATCCCGATCGAAGAACCGGGTTAGGGCTGAGTCCATGGCTATGAAGCTGCTGCTCGCCCATGAGATAATTATCAAAATTGATTACTGCATAAGACACACTGTTAGTACATTCTCATCACATGGTGATTTGGATTGTTTGACATACCTTCGGGTTGGGTTGGGCTGGTGTTGGCGTATTGATCCAAAACCTGGCTGCTCTGAGATATGCTGTATTCTTCTCCAGGAACTTTCGAAAGAGGACCAGCGAAGGAATGTCGACGGCTCTGGCTCCCAAGATCTTCTTCACCTCCAAATGGGACTCCCACATTCTGCCAATGCTGCTTCTTGAGAAGTTCTAAGCGTTGGTTTTCTGGAAAGTTGGTGCTCCGAGGTGCCTCACTAAATCGCCTACCTAGATTTGACGATTCAAATCCACGATTATGGCCGAAGAATCCGGAAGAAGCCAAAGCATCAACTTCGTCGTCATCGGCTAGTGCATTCTCAAAATCATCAGATCGATCCGTAGGGTTCGTGTCACTAGTTCGACCCGAAGCGGCTGTAATGGTTCGGCCTGAGCTGGAGGCTGTAGAAATAGTACGGTTCCTAAATCTAACGGAATCATACTGTCGCGAGTGACTGGCATATCCCGGTTGGGTGGAGCCTAATGTTTCAATTGGAGATTCCTCGTATCTCTCTTCGATATGATCTGGTGCCTCGAAAACACTTCTGAGGGGGCTACCATTGGCGTAGTGCTCCTCAGAGAGAAGGCTCGGGCGAGAGGGCCGATGGTTTAATCCAGATAGTCTTGATAGAGTATGATGGGCAGGCGGAGAGAGTCTAGGCCTAGCCTGATCTTCCAACTCACGTTGACCTACGGAAAATGACATGGATCTATAATTCCGTGGTTGAGGGTTTGGAGGGATCGGAATTGAGAGGTCGCTAGAACTACCAGGGAGCAAGGAAGTTGGAGATTGGATAGCGTCTGTGCTCGAATATAGAGACCCAGGGCCTGTGCTGGTGAGGATCGAACCAACGAGACCTTTTTGTGGATTTTTTCGGGAGGAAGATCCTTGATTCCATATCGATCCAGCGCTCCAGGTTAGATTGATAGAAGCCTTTCTCTCCTGAGGATTCTTAGATGCTGGCCAGCCCGAGAGATCAGTCAACGGGCTTGATGGATTAGATTCCGGCAGTATGGGTTCATGTCCATTTTGAGTATTCAGGGCTCGGTTACGGTTGGAAAATTCGGCTGCATACGAGGGACGTCTAGAAGACATGGTGGAAATGCTCTCTAATTTTGGATTTTTAAGGCCCGGTGGAAAGTATGAAGCCGATTGGTCCTGCTCTTCATCTGACGAAGCCAGTGCATCGGATTCGGGTGTCTTACGATACATGTCTTCTGATGCATATGCCATCGGATCAAGGGAGCCAGCGAAGGTGTTGGAGTTAAAGGGGGGTTTGACTCCAGGCATCCTTGCGTTGACGACCTTTGTATTGGCCTGCACGGGAGCAATTGGGTCAGGAAGGTCCTTTGGAGAATCCACACTGGAGACTTCGCTCAAACGCGGGGTATTTGTCGATTGGGATTCTGACATCCTATCGTCCGAAGGAACCGAGTTTGTCACAATTGGCAGAGGATTTAAGCCACGTTGAGAGAATAGGGTGTTGTTGGCAGGCGAAAAGGTCTTTTCCAGAGGTTGGCGAGCGACGACCTCTTGTAGGTAATCGTGATGTTGCTGCCGAGTTAGATCTGGAAGGTGACCAGAAAATGCAGACTAGAAAGGGAAAAGCAAGCCAACTGTTAGTCAAAAAAAGAAGCCACTAAACCAGCATCCCCAGAATCAAATGGTAATCTGGGGACACTGGCGCATATGTATGCACTTATATGCGTGTGAGAGAATGGAGATATGTATAAAAAGTAAAGTTATGTATGCACTTGCCAGTTTACTCATATGAAAGTATGCTCAGGAAGATTGAAGAAATCTCCCTGTCTAGTTTAATATTTCAGAAGTTTCCTCAGGCAAGTGGTTCTTGAACCAGAGATCAAAGGCCGTGCCAGTCGTTGCGATTGCTCCACTCTTCTTGCTCTCTGTTTGAAACTCAACGTGTGACGGCAAACCTGGGCTGCCTGACTAGCTGCTGAACCGGCTGACGGACTGACTGACTGAATAGATGGAAGGGCTAGGACTAAAAGACAGTGATTGATTGAGTGCTGAATTGCCTGCTTGCTTGCTTTGCTAGCACCACTTTTTTGCTTGGCGGCAGCCGACACCTGCGCAGCACAGTAAGTCTCGCACTGGTCTTATGTTGTGGGGCCGAGAAAGAGTACTGTTGTATCCCTTGACTATAGAAAACAGACCGCTGTGAGTTGGCGATGTGTGGAAACGAAAACAGCCGACGTCCTGGGCCGAAAAGGACGGTAAGAACTTACCCTCGGAAGTCTCGTTCGTGGAAACAAGGAGTTCGAGTAAGCTTGCCCTGAATGGATTCGGAAAGCGAACTTTGCACTGGTCAGGAGGAAGGAGAGCCTAAGCAAGCACGAGGGGCCAACTCAGGGTTCGGCGCCGCGTTGTTCGTCAGGAACCCAAAGGTCGAGGTCTAGGTCTTCTAAGGGGCGAGTCCACTGGCGATGAAGCAAAGTCGGGTGTGATCCGGGAAAGCCGACTATTTTGCGGGGAAAGAAGAGAGGTCGTCTAAGCAGCTCGCTATCAGGCGATATTGAGAAGGCGGGAGGATTTTAAGTTGGTCTAACTTAAGTTTCCCCGTGAGAATTGACGACTGGCTGCCAATAGAGTTAAGTTGTTGGCCCTGTCTCAGCCCAGGGAAGAGGCAGGCCCATGCGCGATTGAATCCAAAAGATGGAAATAGAATGAATGCAATGCAATGGACGGGGAGATGAACCGCCTTTGCAGTGGTGACTTTTTTCTTCTTCTTTGCTTTTCCTTTCTTTCTTGTCCTTTCCTTTCTTTTTTGAAATAGAGGGGAATTGTGGGAGAGAGAAACGAGAATTATGGGAAGCACAACTGGGTAAATGTCAAATACGAGATAGTTAAAAGTAAACTGTAGCTGACCTTGCAAGTAGAGTATTGTCCAGAGACAGGAGAAGATTCAATCAGCAGTTTCTATGCCTATTCTTGGCCAATTCCTGAACAATAAATACTCCGTACTGCTGGCAAGAAGATATTCAAAACGACAAATTCCAAAAAAAAAGATGGGTGGGAAAAAAGAGGGAGGCCAATCAATCAAAGCGTTTTTCTAATCTAAGCAATTGTTTTGCGCTGCAAAAGGAGGTTCGTCGGTGTAAGTATGAAGTACAAAGGGAGTAATAGGTAGTATGTGTGTATGGTATGTATGTTGGTAGTATGCTCTGGAGCGGTTGTGTATCGGCCGGAGAATCAAAAAAGAATAATATCAAAAGGGAAAAAAAATAAAAATAAAATAAAATAAAGAATATAGATTCCAAGGGAAGCTGAACCCGAAGGATTCTAACGAGAGGCGACAGGAGAAGTTCTGTTGAATAAGTATTAAGCTCCGACGAGACATTTGGGGTCAAGGCGACAGCCAAAACAGGCCACGAACCTCCCTGGTCAAGTTGATCGAACGACGAGAGACAGACAGTGTGGGAGATTCGTTATATCGTAGAAAGTCGTAATGGTGTGCAGAGGCACAATCAAAGACAAGAGACTAAAAACGCTGCAACCAAAAACGTCCTATTTCTGACGGGTCAGTTTAGCATGTCTGCACCTGCACCTACATGTAGTATGTATGTGTGTACATAAGTACATGAAAGATGCCGCTGTGTTCTATCTATATACGATCATGGTTATGTTTGAGGCAGGACATTTGCACTCGTTTGATCCGAGAAAAAATACCAGGCTCCTCGCAGTACCTAGAAAAGAACGAGACAGAAAAAGGTTTGGAGAAGAAATGTGTATCGTGATCAGTTGTCCACTTTTTTCTCGACACCATTCCGTTAGCGGGGAACTAAGAGAAGTCTCTCCTGCCCATCTGATTCGTTGGCTAACAGCTATCCTGGAGAACCTTTGGACTTTTCGGTGCAGGGAACATTTTCAGGAAAAAAAGGAAGCGCAGTTTTTTTTCCTTTTTCTTCGCCTGTTATCGTTCAACCCACACCAAACCCCTCGACAATTGAGTTTAGCTGTGGGGAACCCCAGACGAACGACGGACGCTATGCAACCACTGCTAACCTGCTTGTCCTTGTCCGCATGCCAATGCATTTGGTCGTTCAGGTCCATTATCGAATGCAGGAAAAAGTCTCCAGGTCGTTGGGCAATGACGAGCTGAATGCCGGTGCATTGGAGTGTTTCGCGCCTCTTCGGCATCAGAGTAAAGTTCCGAGCTGAGATCAGATATAAATCAAGCAAAGCATCTTAGATTGCGGAGATCGAACCCAAGAAGCGTTTATCACTCCATTGATTCGAGGCTGTCGCACCATGGCGTATTTCCATAGCTGAGGTAAAAGAAGAAAAAAGACTGGTAATATGACGGAGCATGCCGCTACTTGCGTCACAACTAGACTTTTGGTTTTCTAGGAAGGTTTACTCGCCACAGATCCTGACAATGACAAGAGGCTTGCCATCGGGGAAAACGTTAAACGTGTAACCTGCTGGAAATGATTTTTTGAGTTATCGTTAACGAAGGCTGGCCATGGAGGTCTCGATGCAAAAGCAGGAAATTCCCATTCATACAGAGCAAACTCGAGAAAATGACCATTCCTCATTCCAATTCCGATATCGAGACCCACCAGAGGCTAGGGCAGGCTGATCAATCGCCACTCAAATGCATGAAGTTTAGTATAGTATATAGCTCCGCCAGCCGTAGACATATGTATAGCCGTTGCATGGTGGTGTAAGTACTGGCTCAAGGTTAGTATCGATCAGATGTTACGGTGAAAGATCGAGAGTGAGGCATTCAACACGGCAGACGTAATTGATCTATCAACCAACACAAATGGACGTTAACTCCAACACTAGCTAGCATTCTATAACTTTTGATATCTCTAGATCTCTTCAAGTTCGCGAACCATACCTCAGCTAGCTACGTATATAGCAATCTATAGTGGAATACATGCATGTGCTCGCTGAATCACCGGTCGGACCACCTGGGAGTTTACTAAATACAATAGCGTCTGCGAAAGGTCAGTGTCATCCTAGTAGATGCGTCCCAGACTTTTTACTTTAGCCCTTACCTGAGCAATGCATCCAGACGCTTCTTGCCAACTTCGACCTTGTCGATATACCGCTAGTCTCAGACGATAGACCCTGGACCTTGTGCTTCCACACACACACGAGGTCTAGAAACATAATCGTTTGCAGAACCCCTTTGGTCCAAGGGTATCTATTACAGACACCTTACGAGAAGCCGTATATGTCGAGGGACCGTGTTGGCCTGACTTGTCCCATCAAAGTTGGACCTTTACCCCAGTTTGCGAAGCGGCTGTTGGTGAGATTCTTCGGTTAGTGACTCCATGTCAGGATATCTCCACACGAATGCAGATAGCCTAAACACCATTGGGTCGCTTGGTACTCCGTACAATAATCCCGCTGCTATACATATTCCCTGGATGGAAAATCGCGCAAATCAACCAGCAACTAACCATGTGAGGTAAGAAGTCGAGACATGCATTATTCACTGCTTTTTTTCTCTTCTCGTTTTCAAACACATCCTAAATTGTCTTGGATAGACCTCAACGGTATCTATTTTGATACGCAAATCCATTGCACGAACATTTAAGTATCGGAGATCGGAGACGGAGGAAGCCAATATAACATCGCCCCAGTCGGATTCCGCCTCGATTGCGCGGCCTTTCCTAATCCTAACTCAGCATATATGTGTGCAGTGGCTGGAAATATCCAACATCGCCGGTTTAGGGAAAGCTCCAACATCCCAGAGATACTCTGACATGAGAGCATTTTACTGACGCAAAGCCAGGGACGGTTCAATAACGCCTTGAGCATGTGCATCTGCGGCTGTGGATCGTTAGCTCACCAAGTTGATGTTTCAATTATTAAGCTACATATTCACTCCAGCTTGAGCAGCTTGAGAGGGTATCACAACCTTAGTTCTCTTGGTCTTCAGTCCTGCATCACCTGATATCTCCAAGTCTATTTTGCATGTCGATACATATACGAACAAGGTTTCTGCTATTAGCTCCCAGCTTGTAAAACTTGGACTGTTACACAACACGGTGCCGAGGAGCTATTCGGTTTTTTACGTGAGAGCTTCGTCCAGTCACTGATGAGGAAGGAGGTGGGTTGGCCTTCCTGGCTAATATCAAGGGATGCAAACGCACAGACGTGGACAGACAGTTTTGTGAAGTTGAGATTATGAGATAAATGGGAATGTATGAATCGTGCCAAATTCGCAACAGTGGAGATCTTGACCGAACCGGAGTCGACAATTCTGCAAGACGACATTCTTGTTTCTTCGCAAGTTAACAAAGCAAAGGAAAAGTGCTGACAACCGTTGGTTAATTTTGATATTCTGGAAGCAGGACCGGGACTCGCCAAACAAGAAAAATTAAAAAGTTATGATAGCCAGCAAAAAAAAAACAAAGACCACTTCGTTTCACATCGCGAGACCCAACAGCACAATTACTAAATTGTCAGCTCCTGGATATATTAAGGCTACTCTCGGGTTAACTTTGGTTACCACCATCTTACCCCGCATTTTGAATATGGTTAGACAGGGTTAACGGCATGTCGTGTCCTCCCGCCTCACAGAGCCCACCAGTATGTGTTGCCCTGCGAGCTAGCTAAGTTGGGCTTGGAGTAATTGACCGTGCATTACTCCATAGGAATATAGATACCATTATCGGCCAAAATCATGATGAAATAGTCACGAAAAATTTACCGGCAATGGTGTGAAGGCTTAATTTGTCCCAGAGACGGAACTGAGCCCGTGTTGGTTGCGTCCGCGTATCAGAGTGCCGGGTTACCGTTGTTGGTTTCTGCTGCTTGGGACGGGACTCATATGCAGCATCTACACACCAACATTTTGACTAGGCCCCTCGGCATCTGAAGAAGCTGTGCTTATCGACGGTCTTAAATTTAGGTGGCCCGTGTGAGGGTGGCGAGCTTTAAAGTCGAGACAAAAATTTCGCCGTTATCGTCGTCGCAGCCGTTGAAACTCGAAAAGGCTGTCGAGGTTCCTGGTCATGGTGGTTGAAAGGGTTCACTTCGGTTGATACCTCGGCTTTAATGACCCACATGCACCCACCCGTGTCCCCATGTACTAGGGAGGTACGTTTAATTTGGAGGCAATTTGCAGGCTTCTGTTGGAGGGGGCTCACTAATTTGCTCGCCCCTCATCCAAGTTTTAGCAAGCCGAGAGCTAACGACGTAGCTTCGCGGTCGAGGATCTGTAGCTATGATGTCGAGCATCTCCCGATGCTTGGTTCCTCAATTCCCCCTTTGAGCAGTGGGATGACAACTACCCAAAGACGCATATCGTGGCGTTTTCAATTACATATGCATTGGACTTTGATTGCTTGCATACCTTTTAGAACAGGTTCTCCCATCTGCACAATGTTGACATAGTGCAGCATAAGCGTTCTTCAAACACGTGCGTTTGACATCTATTAGTGGCCGTTAACATATAACGTTGGCCACAGGTTACGTGAGCATCAATATCAAGACATCTTGCTACTCTAGTATAGTTGAACTCTAAGACCTTGCGGGTGGTCTGACAATTGAAAGCCTGTTTGCGACTTAGTCTCGGGGCCATTTGCGATTCCTACTGGGGTATCCTCAATAATTGAGATCTTACGAATATGCTTTATAAGTTATCAATTCCGCTTTTCGACATAGACGGGTTATTCCTCATTATTATTGTGTTAGCATCTTATGGATGTAGCTACATGTATAAAGGATTTTGCTCTTAGCCTTATCGATATTCTAATCCTTTACCGTCCTCTCGCCACACTCTTTTATTTTTTTCTGCTTTCGTAGCTACAATGCGGCTGGGAAGGCAGATGCCGACATTTGCCAATCTATCTAATACATTCATAAAACAGAAATAATTATGATAAGGATCAGAAGTTACTTCATGAAGGGACATCCTCGAATTCATTTCGGAGTTTTCCTACCACTAGTTCCTGGCTAGCTCAATGCTGACTCGATCAAATATAAACCATATCAACGTTTTGCTCATGGAAGGAACTAAAAACTGATTCGATAATACCTCCCCCAGGTTTACTGTCACAGTAGACACTAAAACCTCCGTGAGGAAATATTGCACCATATATGCATATATTATTGATCTGAATTATCTGAATCCATATGTTTTGCATGTTTGTCGCAGCCGCCATGTGGTTAACTTGTGGATTTTCTTCACTCCCAAAATGGAACACTGTTCAAAATCCAACAAGATGTCCAAACTCTTTCGAAACAACAGAACAATATTGATGCAGCTAGAATAGAATGTAGACATATTGGCCAGGCAGAATGTCGAACCAAGTCTAGGACTAAAGAAAGTGTCTGGCCGACCATTTTGCCATTTGTAGAACTTCCTTTGAAGCATTGGTGCCAGTCTCGTAACCAATCCGTGACGTCAGGTATTTGGTAGTTGTAGTGCTTGTGTTGTGTTGAAATATTCGTGTTGAACTTCAAGCAGCCACAGCCGACAGACGGCTTCCAACACCCACAAATTTATCATTTTTCTCTCTTCTCTCCTCTATATTCCATCTTCTCTGACTACTCCATCTCCTTTTCCCCTCACCAACACCTTACTTCGTTCCTATCGATCACCAAGCAAACAGAACGCGTCTTAACTTCCATCTCGACCTCACCACCATCAACTGCTGGCATCACCAGTCAATCAGATATCTTAGCTTACCATTATTAGCTTCATCCTCTTGTTCTCTCAAACTGCAGCTAGCTAGCTCGAGCCTCGATCTAGTTAATACTATTGCTCATTGCTCGTTGTTCGTGCAAGGTGAAACATCCTCTCTTCGTCTATTATCTTTACCTCACTTTCCCCCATCACAACCAATACTGTTCTTGTTTTGGCATCGTCCAAAAGCAATCTATCCTCTGTAGCTCGCCATCTTTTTGCTATCCATCATCCATCATTCTTGATCGCTGTTCTCGATCACCTCCCTGGCTGAGACTGTCGCGTGATTCAGTTCTTCATTCCAGGTACGTACTCTCCTTCAGCTACATCCCGTTGCCGTTTCTCTTTCCACGACCCGAACTATATCGAGTCTTCGACTAAATCAATTGATTCAGTCTCAGACAATTAAACTCATCAATCAATCCGAGTCCTTTCATCCAAGGTAAGCTTCCTTCATCAAACCGTTGCTGTATGAATCTGTGTTCATCGTTGAGAGGAGGACTCGCAACGTGAGCCTCTTGTATCTGGCTCCCATCTATATCCTTTGTGATGCCTTAAATTTTCTTGATTCAAGTTAGCTAAAACCCGTTGCTAAAATCTCGTTGCAGCTACGTTAAGAAGCTACCTGCTTGCAGCATCTATCTGACCTCACAAGCATCCCTCTTACCTGACAACTCACGTCATCTGAAAACCCGTTGCAATGGCTCCATCTCGTATCCCCAAGCCAGATACCTCGTCCAACCTTGGAAATGGTAAGTTTCACCTGAATCTAGAAACCCTATTCTGATCATGCTAACGTATTTTCTTAGCTATTTTAGCTGCAAAAGTCCGAAAGGAAAAGGCAGCTGCGAAAACAACGCTTAAGTCGCGTCTCCTTCAGCGTCGCCAGGGCATCACTACAAACGATGCACCAGATTCCAGTTTCTGGGACATCGAAGCAACGGATAATTCTGTTTCAATGAATCAGCAGCAGGCTTCTGAGGCAAAGTCTCACAACAACAACAATGTTGAAGCGAGTGTTTGGGACCTCATTGCGCAAGAGGAGGTCGCCCATGGCAAGAAGAAGTCCTCCTCTAAAATCCCTATTAAGAAGAATTCGCCCAGGCCAAAGTACAAGTCTACGATCAAGGCTACAAGCAAACCCTCCAAGTCGGGTCCAGACGACGACTACATACCTGACGAGTCTTCCCAGGTCATCCCGAAGACCAAGAAAGCTGGGCAGCGTAAGCTGCCAGTTCGTAAGACCAAGAAGGCCATGGCCACTCCTTCATCCCCGGTTCTTGTGGCCACTCCTTCTCCGCTCTCCCAGCCTGTTGTCGAGGCTCAGGATAAAACTTTAGTGGAGGCGGGGACACAGGAGCCAGAAACCATTGTAAAGAAGCCTCGGCCAACGTATTTCACTACGGCAGAGGCGATTACATTGGGTATCGGGGCTCCTCTTGAACTTAGGATGTCCCAGTCCATTGCCATCAAGGCAGTGGCGGTCCCCACCGAGGATCCTGTCAGACACTACTCACCTCCTCAGAGCCCCGTTGATACCTCGATGGGCGTCCTCGAGGACACTACGCTCGTTCCCGGCGGGCTTGAAGCTGAGCCCACAGTTTAGGAAACTGTTGGGTCTCAATTCGAGCCCGTCGGGGATGACGTGATGGACGAAGAGGACGTCCATCGAGGTATCGAAGACGAGATGCCTCCCAGGACCCCAAGTCCAACCCCCTCCGGCGTCTCGGCTATCGCAGCCAACGCCAATGTCGCCACCGGGTCTGGTCCTCGCCCTACGAGGATCCCATCACCGAAGACACCCACGCACCGTCTTCGAAGGTACCTTGTCGACACAAAGGTACCAGAGCTCAGGGCCAAGGGCAGGGAGTTGGCCAAGCGACTTCGGTCGCTTGGTCAACAAGCAAAGGCCTTGAAGCGAAAGGTCATCTCCCCTTCGGGGGACTCTATTGTAGCCGGGGGCTCGTCCCCTAAGAAGGCCAAGGTGGCAGATACGGGGGCCTTGCCAGCCCCACAGATCAAGAAGCGGCCTCGGGTTGCCCTCCGAAGGCCGCCCATGAAATTGGGCAAGCAGAAGACGAAGCTTCCTTCTGCAGGAGGCCTCTCGGGCTCGGAGACCGAGTCCACACTGGCAGTTGCGACGTAAGTTCACTCAACTACATCTCATAATATCGCTTTACGGCCGAAGCTAATCGATATGTATATTATCTAGTGCCAGTGAGATCCTCGCCATGCAAAGTAAGCTAAATATCCCCCCTCTTAAATTACCGCAAGCTAACTCTCAAACAGTGGAGGGGGATCACAAGAGGCGGGAGGAGGAGTTGGGGGTTCGGCTGGAAGAGATAAAGGGCGACATCAAGCAGCAGGCCTTAGAGGCCATTGAGCAGTTCAAGGCCGTCTACCAGACGACGTAAGTTCTTCTTTAGTTCCTATCTTGCTCAAGGTAATTTTCAATCATTCTAACAAAGATATAGCGAGCGTAATAACTACGCTCAAATCAAAGAGCTCATGCAGGGGCTGTCCGACGCATTCGGGGCGACGGACATGCAGATGAATCACATCCGTTGGCAATACCCGAAGGACAAGAACACGAAGCCTCTTGTCAATCAGTACAAAGAGATAGCCCATCGCATTGACGTTGGCATTCAGGAAAAGAAGGAGGCGTCGGAGAAGATGAAGAGGATCGAGGCGAAGGTGGAGGAATCGTACAACAAGTGTATGGAGCTCCTGGATGTTATCGACGGGGAAAACTACACCATCGACTTCCAATACGGGGTCGCTATCCATGGTGAAGAGTACATGAAGAAGCATTACGACATCCCCAAGAACTACAAGACTCCAGCCAACTCTGCCGGCATTATCCCACGTCTCAACCACATCCAAGAGACCCTCACCGATATGATCAACAAAGAGCCAAATTTCACAGCCCACTCCGAATGGTTCTACAATGATCTCTTGAAAAAAGCCATCGAAAAGGTCCGCAATGAGGAAGCCGACAATATGACTGGCATTGACTCCGAGTAACTGAATGACAAACACTGCCATCCGATTTGGCATTCTGAGAGGTTTTGACTGAAGATGTCTTAACACCTGCCGACGCTTCTTGACCGACGAATGGTCCGTTTATCTTTTTATTGCCTCCTTTTTTCTTTTCTCAAGAAGATACCACGATGTGGGGAGCTGGGTATGCCCTATCAACTATTACACTTTATTCTTTCCATCGAGCGCAAGGTCTGATTGACTTACTATTAGTCTGCTCGTGTTACAAACTGTCGAGAAACTCTCCGCTCTGCTTGACCCGTTATTTTATTCTCTCGAAATATTAGCCGCCTCGAAACTACCCTCTGACCTTACCCCTCTAACCATTTTCTTTGTCTTTCACCCAGACCTGGAAGCCTTGCTCCCTTATTATTACCCCTTAACCTTTTATGATGGATATGATGTACATTAGCTAGCCTCTCTACTGTTCTTTAATTGCGTTATTATTTATTTATTAGTAGTAGTCAAAGAATTGAGAAGCAAGTGGTTTAATATCATAACCCACTCTCCATATGTGTAAAAGTGACCATATTACAGCCATCTCCCTAGAAAGCCTTGAAGATTCACACAAGGAATCGATATCGGCAATATCTCACCAGCCTCTTAACCTATCTGGTTGTACAACTGGTCCCAGGTTCGTCTCGGAGAGGAAATAAGCTTGTGAAACCAAGGTCCCTTAGAAAAATACCCGAACAAGCTCCACTATAAAAAGGTAAATAAAAGTTTAACCACCAAGGCTTAAGCTCTCGGAGTTCAAAAACCATAAATTTAATATAGGTAAGCTTATAATACACTACATCTGTACACCCTGTTAACCGGTATTCCGGAACCCCTCTCCTTCCCCATGACCAAAAGGATCAGATCTTCAGCCTCGTGACATAAGTTAACTAACTCACCCGCATGCCTATCTATCCTAAATCTATCTTCAACTGGCCTACTATAAGAAAGTGAACTTAAGAGAACAGTATTAATACCAAAGGACGGGGGAAAAGGTTGTACGACCACACACCTTTGTTTTTCGTCTGATAGCCCAGCTAATTGTAAGCTAAACAGAATACCTATACGAACAATTGTACAAATATACTTTATAAATACCACAATTCTAAGTCGGGAGAAAGAAGGAGGGGCACCCGACTACTTAACCAGAGGTTGTACAGAGCACAAGCTCAGCATTCGCCCACGCGGCCTTTTTTGTGTAAACACCATGCACGGTACCCTGGTTCTCTAGGATTATCTCATTCATTACACACTAGCATTGTCATCTAACTGGGTGTATATTAATATACGCAGGTATGTACCTAGTTAGTGTTACGAAAACTTAAAAAGTTCAACAAAGTTTGGTCCTACATTATACTACGGGAGTGAAGGGATAGAGCTTCGGAGTATCTTCCATAGGTACGGAAGGACCTTTAAGCATGCACATTTATGTACAATGTATAGTTAGAATTTTAGAAATAGCCTTGAAAGCCCGCCGTCCCGCATATTGCATACTTACGAGTAACGGAAGAAGTTGACCTCGTAATTGCTTTTCGACCCCTAGAACTAGGGAGCCAACATACAGTTACATCTTCTCGAACATCTCATCACCGAAGTAATACATCAATATTAATGTCACCGAATTGCCTAAAGGTTATCATTCCGTGGTTCCCTTGATGTAGCACACATATCTGTATATTGCAAAAATTCTATAACTGATCGGAGACTAGGTATTTCTAATGAAAAGAAGAAAGAATAAACATAAAAACAAAAAGGGATTTCCAACCGTAAATAAAAATACTTTGCATGAAACCGAGAAAGTGGTCCAACAAACCTCCTGCTAGATTATGAAACTACGAAAGAAATGGGGGCAATTGCGTGCATATACAAAAATACAAAGATCTAGATTTGCGACTGAGATTATCCACAACATCCAGACCCGTAAAAGCGCAGGAGTTGATAATATCAGTATTAAGAAATAAGATTTAAGGGGGAGGGGAAAAAAATAAGATAGCAAAAGAAAAACGCCAGGAGCCATGTATTGGGAACGAGAAATCGACAGGCGCTTACGAGATAGCAGATCACGAAAAACAGGATAAAGGAGGAGAAAGGAAAGAGAAATATAAAAAAAAAACAAGAACGCCCATAGGCCCGGTAAGTAATAATAAAAATAAACACCGAAATCCTAACCCAGGAAACATTTCAATGACAGATGGGGTATGGGTGTTAATACAGCAAAAAAAGTATAATGTGCTAAATGTTTCCTTCGATCATTTTTGCAAATATGTGTGTAGGTAGTAGTGGTGTAAATAAGAAAATAACGTGAAATTACCAAAGCAAATACAACCAACAAATAAGATGAACAACCGCTTCGAAAACGCTATTTTGTACTTTTTTTGTGTAATGCATTTCTCAAGTGCTGGGGTAGTTGGTTCTGTCCGTGGTCGGTATTATAGAGATCGTTAAGAATGTAAACTGCGTGAAGATCGGATTGGAAAAAGTTTATAACGTCGAAATTTTAAAAGTTGGAGGGATTCCCGGTCATCGTTTGAACCACCCTCTCTTCGCACGTTGTGCATCTTGCATGTGGTTTCCGGGTTCTAGGAGAACGCTCCTTTCATATAGTTCCGAGAATCCTTCCATGAGTTGCTATACGCCGAAATTTGTTAGACATATTCCGTCCCAACGCGCCTATAGAATTGGTACTTACATCGTCATTTATAGTTCCCGTGGCGTCAAAGATCAGTTGGTTAGTCATAGGATTGGGTCTCAGATCTCTATGGGGCATCGATTGACTGTTTGTCACTGTAAGAAGGATATCCCCCATAATTTCGAATTTCCTCCAATTGATCCTAGCACCGTCGCCTAGAAAGCTTCTATTTCCCTCGTCGGCAGATACGAGGTCCTTTCGGTGAAGCGCAATGAAAGGAATATGTTCTGTCGTGGTGTTTTCCAACGCTAGCCGATAGGCAAAGTGGCTTTTGTGAGTCCCCATCAAAAGTTCGAGACGCATAAAGTTTTTATGAATAGCCTCGTTGACAAGGCTACGAGTTAGAGTGAGACGATGAATGGCTAGGCCGTTTACACCTGCAATTACGGCGCCTAGAGAGTTGTAATTGTTCATGTGGCGAAGGATCTATGTTGCATCTGTTAGCGAGCGCTCAACTATTCCGAAACGCTACTCGAGTCATACCCATGCAATGTTCATAAACTTTTCCAGTGCCCTTGCTCTGTGCTTTGCCTTCGGGCGCTCCAGGATAATACTTGCGACCCAATACGCAACACGATTGAAGTGGACAATTAATTTGTTCATGTATTTCAAGCTCGGCATCCTTTCTTTCTCTGCGGCCGGCACACTAACGTGTCGCACGAAGTCTCGAGGTTTGATACGACTGAACATAGTCCAATCTATTCGTGTGAGCTCATGTGCGATGTCTTCATCGGGAAGTTCCATGAATATTGAATATTGTTCACCGACTCCCCTTGGGCCTGTTTGGCCATAGGGTATAGAATCCAGCAGACTCGAGATATTCATCATCCCTGCTTGGGCATCTAGTGTAGGGCTGAGAGATGTATTTGAGATATAGCTGTCCTTCCTAGTTCTCTCGGCGACGGGGCTGTACGCTGTGAAGCTATTGTCATCACTCGCGCCAGATTTGAATGATAAGGTCGAAACTATTGACATATTGCGAGGCGGTGGGGCATTTGGCTGAAGATACGGTTGTGTAATATGCATAGGGAATGTCGGGCTGCTAGGTGGGTGGATTGCCATATATCCTGGCATGCTGAATCGGTGTGAGTCTGTGTCTTTCTTTCCCCAGATTTGATCTTCATCCTCAATACCATCCTTCAAAATCGCAATAATATCCTTTGCCATACCAGCAAAAGTCCGGTTGCCTTCGAGAGAACGGGCGAAATCCACCGTCCGTTGTCTTGTATCTGGATTCGCAAAATCCCCAGGGCACTCCCAAACCCACCAGTGCAACCTTGATAGTATCCTTATCTTTTCGTTCATTTGAAGGAGGATGATAGGTTCGTCCTTACTGACCCTTTCGAACTTCGCTAAAATAGAATCTAAAAGGTCGACTGGCGCCGCAAACTTTCTGAAAAAACAAAGCATAACGGTCGCAAAATCCTGGTCCGCCCTCGACATAGGGTACGCAAGTAATCTGTCGACTAGATCTTCCCATGCAACACCAGTATATTGGCCAGAACCAGAATTTATCCGCTGCAGAGCTTGATCCCGATCGAACATAACCTCACTGAGTGACGATGAGTGTTCAGGTTTTCCTTGTAAGACGTGAGGAGAAGCAGCAGATGTGCTTTTTGATCGTAAAAAGTTGGCTGCCACACTACTATATGCGGCATGGTCGGCATTTAAGTAAGAGAAATCATCTTCGTCTGCAGTTTCCCTCCCAAAGGATGGATTGAAATCCTGAGTGTATGCCCTAATATTCGACATAGGCGAACTTGGAGTTGAATGCGAGGTTCGGCTTGGCGACAGGAGCATACCACTCGAGGCAGATAGTGATCTCGTTGCCCTCCCATGATGTCCCTTCCCTCCCTCCGAAATATCTCGAGTTTTTGAAATAGATATCGATAACTCTGAGCTTGCGCGACCATGATTTGGCTTAGGGTCGGAAAATGGCGAAACAGATCGTGCACTGTATCCAGAGTTTGTTCGTCTCCGTTCATTCGCTTGTGTCGCTGCTTTCACTTCTGCAAAGCAGATATTGTACTCAGTAAAGTCTGTTATCAAGAACAACATTTTTTCGCCTCAAAAAAAAAAGGAAGCCAAGTTAAAAAAAAAAAAATTAAGCACAACATTCAGTGAAAATTCTCGCAAAAACGTAGAAGCATTTGTAATGGAGCGCTAGGCAGGTCTCCTTTGCAAGGGCTGGTCGTAAGACAAATATAAACGAAATCTTGGGAGGCTTTGTGCGACCTATGGTGATATTTGGGGTCGGGATTTGGGCCGGGTCAACCCTTTCGGGTCCCAGGATAGGCGAATTCTGCACCTTCCCTTTTCTGCATCTGGCCGCCACGCGAAATTATAGCTATGGCCACTAGCCCAAAGTTCCAAAGACTTTTGACCCCGCTCTTGAGATCATACGAGCAACACGAGTGGGTGGAGATGGGATGACTTAATGAAGAAGAAGGTTTTTTTTTTTTCGTTTCCGAGAAAGATGCACCTGGTTGAAGAATTGAAAAAAAGAATTCAAGGAACTTACCGGCTTTGCGCTGGATGATGTTGGAAAGCATCAAGGAGACACATCTCTTCTGGCTTTGTCCGCCGTCCGATGAGGATGTCTCCACGACCTCTACGCCCAAGCTATGCTTTAACTCTTCAACAGCTTCAGGCTGTAAATCGCGCATCTGAATGGGCGAGTCACATTTTGACGCCACAAGAATCGTAGGAATTTCGGCCTTGAAAAAGAAATCTACACTAGGCTTCAGCATCTATCTGCACATGCATGCACACAGAGGGAAAATCACGGTTTGTGCAGGGACTCTTTGATTCAACTTACCTGTAACATCCGGGACTTTATCCAAGCTTGTTCTATCATTTACATCAAAAATAACCAAGATTCCGTCGGCGGTCATGATCTCAGTGCCGTCGTGCAGCTGGAAGCGGGACGTAGTTAGTATTTCCATAAACTAAAAGAAGAAGCCGGGTGATGCATATCAGGCGGCAACCTACAGATGGCCAAGTGAAATTACTACTTCTGATATCAAGAGCGCTTAAATCCATCTCGACAAGTCTAACGACATATCTTAAATCGCCGTAACGGTAAACTTTTGAGACAGGAAATATATTAACACACTGCATCAGTATCTCAGAGAAGTTTCTTTGGGACCTACCTCTTTGGCTAACACCATTAATAGGTGTTCTCTTTGGCCCATTGTATTTTTGTATAAATGTGCTTTTTCCAGAGTTCTCCATTCCCAATACAACGATACAAATTTCCTGCGAGCTTTGATCCAAGGAATAGGTCATCTAAAATGGAAAACAAGAAGGTCAGCTTAGCCCCTGGTAGAATACTAAGTTATGTCTCATACCGCATCGGATATTCTATGAGTATCATCAGGACTCGTAGGAGAATCCGAAGTTTGAAAAACTAGGAGATCGCCAGAATTGCTGTTAAACGCCTGTAAGTCTAGCTGGGAGTTATGAACGCGGGACATGACCCCTGGTAGGGGACTAGCCATGCAAGGTGGGAATTGTCGGGGGGCAGCTGGTGAAGTCGGTGAGATTTCCCCGTCATCATCTGATATTTCCTCGGGCTCTAGTGATTCTGATATACTGCTGAATTGTCGTGCAGTAGCATCCGATGAAGTTGTATTATAGCTGTATAACGACCCTGGTGATTTGGGCCTGAGCAACCCATCCTCTTGAAGTAATGCATCATGATAAAGTGCCGCAGAAGACGCAGAAAACGAGGGATTACGAAACACGGGATGAGATATTGGCGGTGAGAGGGGGGCGGGAAAAAACGGGCGCGATTTTGATATCTCTGTAACCTCGGGTATTCTATCCGCCCGGGTTGGAGAGTTGATGGAAGGTGCGTAAGTAGAATTTGGACTTTGAGAATAATTAGATGCCGCGGACTGAGTTCGTTGAAGATTATAGTTTCCGAGGGTCGTTTGTGAAGCTTGCCCGGCCCCAAGAACCCGTGGATTACGCTGGTTCTGCGGTCGCAGGCGAGCCGGTGTCGCCAGGCAGAAGGAGGCCCCTGCGCCTGCTGCGGTGATCATTTTGGATTGGTGGTCTCCCTGGTTGAGAACCCGTGTCAGCATAAGAGACAGGAAGGGATGGTGACGTCGCTCAGAATTAGAGTAGATATCGATAATCTCAAGGATAGCCATTGCAGAAGCATAAAATATAATAGGTATTGTTACGGGACTACAATAGCACACATAGTAAAGTGTGTATTGTGCTAGAGAAATGAATATCTAAGCGGAAAGAATGAGACCAGCAATTTACCTTGATCAAAATGACTTGAATCCAAGAGCCTAGGAAAAACAGGACAACGAATTGGCTGGAAGTCGGGCTTTGGGGTCACTGCATATCGAGTCGCCTTTGTTCGACTGAATTAATGTTGGCTGAAACGCTGGTTCTGAGGCGGGTGACTTGTCACTGCACTGCAACCAACTGTCGGTTTCGTCGTAAGGTATTCCCAACTGCACACCAAAACTGAATCGATGCTGGCGGTGTCTGTGAGGATTCTGAAACCGATTCAATCCAAGGATACACAGTAATCACACTGACTGAAAGAAGAAAGGAAGTTGAAGGAAGGAAGGAAGGATAAGGACCAGTCGAGTCGAGTGTCACCGCAGTTTTAGTCCAGTGGAATGAGAATGATAGTAAGCAAGCAGGGCCGAAAGTTGGTCGAAAGTCACGAACCGAATCCTGCGAAGGGCTTGAACTCGGATACTGTTCCCGATATACATATACCCCTCTCGATCGGGCTGCTGCTACTGCTGCTGCTGCTGACTATACGTATGTATGTATGTACGTAAGTAGTATGGGTGAGGTATGGATGGATGGTGGAGTTAACGAGTTCGAGTCTGCGAGTTAAGCTCCCGTTCAAAAATGCGGCTGTTCGAGACTAAGTCCCAAATTAAAACTTGAAGCGAGAAATCTATATTTGAATCCCCCTATATAAACCACATTCCCGGGACATTTAATTCTCTCCACCAGAGATAACCTCCGGAGTCCGATATGTTGTGTGGAGGAGAATGGAAATTTGGACGCGGTGGATGTTGTTTTACAAAAAAGTCAACGTGAACCGGCGGGCCAGAATCGGGTTCAGATTCGATTCGGATCCAGATCCAGGTGGAATAAGTCGGTTGTCTGGCTTAGTCGTAAGTCAACGTTGCAGTTGGAATAATTAATCGCCAGTTGTAGAAATTCGAAAACGAAAACCTGGACAGGAACCAACAGATATGCAAAGCCCGCTGTATGTAAGAGAGGAAGAACAGACCAGACCTGGAATTGCAAGTTCAAAGTGGGTACAAGGGCAGCTAGACAGCCCAGCCCAGTCCAACCGACGACGCTAAACTCAAGGGACTGCCAAACCCCTTGACCTTTCCAAGGGGACCGCAGACGGGCAAACTTCGGCAAAGGGACGACCTGGTGGTTCTTAGTACTTGCAATTGCGGGTATGTATCAAGACTCGGACCAGTCCCTTGGTAAGCGACGAGAGGACGGAGGACAGCGAGTGAGTGAGATGTCAATTAATATTCTGGGTTTTATTATCGTGGGAATAACTGGGGTCTGGGGTTTCGTATACGAGGCCTGCGGAGGAACGGCCGGGGGTCAACCTGACAAGCGACAACTGGAGTTTCCCAACGGCCGGTCTGGAATAATCAGTCGAGTCGAACCGAGTCAACTGATGTTAGTATAGTATTATTAAAAAGGTATGTGTGAGCAAAATCTGATCTTAAGATCTTAAGACTACAAGACAAAGGTCACGAAAAGTGGCAGGAGTGCATGATATCACCACTCTCTTGACTAGTCAGGTTTCTTCTCGGTTTAGCTCACTTCAGTTCAGGTCGGAAACTACCCCTCAGGACAAGCTCCAACATGGAAAGGAAATTTTTTTAGATCCTTTTTTTTTGATTTTTCCCGCATTGCATTGGAAAACAAATTTTAATGCGAGCGGGAAAAAGGAATGAATGCGATCTCGGATGTGTGCCAGAGGAACGTTAACAAGCGAGATATCACCGACGTCAAGCCAAACCAGTTGCATACATAGTGTATGTAATTAAGTATGTACGGACTATGTAAGTCAGGACTAAGATGTATGCAAGATACTCGAGCTCGAGTGGAGCTTCTAGTTTCGGGCAGTCCCCTCGTGTGCCTTTCTTGTTTTTGCCTCTCAAGATCGAGACCAGACGGCTGGCGACGACAGCTCAAGACTCGGCTCCCGCGAGGGGCTTACCTGAGCCAACTATAACACGACCCTATCAGCATGCATTTCAAACAAGTATTTCCATTCAGTTCTCAAGTTAACTTGTCACCAGTTCGATCGGGCGATGGATGAAGGTACGTTTTCAAGCAGCGCCGCGCCCCGAGAACATTTAGAGAAAAAACAGCTCATGCATCAAGTCATGATATCAGCAGTGCATATAAAGAAGTAAGGAGTCGATACGCCTTTCCACTATTACGCATATCTATTACTCATCTCACTGGACCTGCTTGATTCTTGTGCCATTCAGACTGTGTACACCATTTGGGTGGCTCGACTTACGATCATTGAACATGGATTCTAAATTGACCATTGTTTGTCCTTGGGGAAATATTCAAAGCTGGGCGCGCCGGCGGCGTTTTTTTTTTATCGATTAGCCTGTTGAGCCCATGAAGCCAAGCCGATTTTTTTAACTCTTGACTCGTCAACCTCAGATCACCATAACTTCACATTCCATGGACGGACGTCTGAAAAAGTACCATCGGGCATTGTCCCGTGCCATTCACATTCCTCTCCCCAATGCAACCTTGTCGTCAGACCATTTGCATTTGTCCACTGGCCCCGGGGAGAAAAAATAGAAGGGAAAGGAAAAGGAAAGAACAAAAAAAAGAAAAAAGCAGTTGGAGGTGGGGTTTCGCTAGTTTTTCGCTCACGAATCAGGTTGAAAGCCGTCCACGTGGGAATTATAGGAACAAAACTTGGCATTTTGGCTGCCAGTAATTCTCGCCTATGCAGGCGCAGGATGTGCGAATCAGCTTTCGGAGCTCATGCTTATTCTTGCAGTGTCATCAGCCCCCCAACTACAGGATCGTCGAGGATTAGTCCGCGGACCAGGTGCCAGAATTCGGATTTAATATTTAAGGCTACTGAGGATTCGGGGATATTCCTGGAATATATTATAGTGAATTTCCGAACTCTGAAGGACGGTTTTGGTTACGCATTTGCATCCCGACATTTAAAACTTTCAACATCATGATATCACCACCGGACCCATTAACAATATATATTCCTATTTCAGTAGACGGTTTTTAAGTTTAGGAAAATGTCTCTCTCTTGCAGATGTTGAAACCAGATGTCCGGAAAGCTTGGGTGTCGAACCTAATAGCCATAAACGTTTCTCTCCACTGTCACGTCAGCTAGCCTATACATGGTCATTCAGCCAACATTAGCCGCTCCAGCCGAGTAACAACCTTCACAAACAAGTCAGAAAACTATAGGCCCAGGGAAATGGCTGCCGAATACACTTTACCTACATTAGCACTGGTCTGGGAAAATCAGTTAAACGTTTAAAAAAATAGAATTCGATAACGCCTGTGCTACGTCAGTTAACTTATAGATCGCCACATGCACATGGGCAACTGTCGAAACGAACGTGGCACATGTGCAACTGATCTCCATGTGCTACCTAATAGAATAAGAATTACGAAGCCGCATGGTATCTCAAAATTAAATATTAGAAATGGAAACTGGTTTTTGGAACTCGATTTGCCAAACCCTCCCGGGATTAGAGACGCCACGATACAAGCGGCTGATACATATTGGGGCGACGGCGAATAACGATTGCGAAAAGAGTCTACGCCTACGTATAACCAGCATCACCACCACCACTCCAAGGGCCATGCAAAAGTTACCCATTTCCAGGCAAAAAGTTCGGCCCCATTCCCGATTTCCGATACTTCCCACCTCCAGCCCCACCGCCAAGTCCATACCCCCATCCCAGACCCATGACCATTCAAGGATTTTACCGAAGTCGAACCGAAAAAAACGGTCAAACTCCCACCTTCAAAGTCCGATTCCCTCAGCTCGGACCAGCCCAGGCATACATTACATTACATTACATACATACATCGCAGAGAAGTTTCCTTGCATAGTAATTAACGGATAGGGAAACACGGTATACCCTGCTTACAGGATACATATGCACGAACCGCACTAATGACAATTCCCAAAATACGGATCCATCTATCCCCATGCCCTTTCTTAATTCTATTAACGAATCATGATGTATCAACCTATCAAAAAGATCCAAATAGTGGGTCCCGGGATCCTGGTTTTTGGTCTGTCACACCTTGGATCCCCGATCGTATTTCCCCAGGCAAGGCAAGGCTGTGACACTCGCGCCGTCGTCCGTTTACCTTTTATTCCTTTGCGGGGTAAGCGACGGATTCTCCATCAACTAGTCTGGGGACCCGTTCTTTTCTTTCCCCAGGTGAAAACAAGTGCGTGATTTTAAGATCTTCAGACGAAGACTGGGCACCCAAGATATCGCCATCTTTCTCCACTGAGCATATTCTGACTAAGTGCCCTATAATACGAGCCTTCCTTTCCGGATAACTAAAAGTATAAAATCCCGCCCCCTGAGGTAAAGGATAAGCTTTTAGTAGCATTTTGAATCTATCCTGGTGTCGACGTGTCGGCATGCCTATCCAAAACGGAATTTTGATATTGATCGACAGATGCCCAGACTATAAGGTACCGGGTACGGAGTCAAGAAAATACCAAAGGTATTTATCCTAGGCGCAAGGCGCACTTCCGTGCTGTTCATGGAAATTATTCCAAAGAGGTTTCAGGGGCAGCAGTGCTACATCCTCGTCAAGCCGTCCAGAATCGGCTTTTGCTGTGCAGCAATTTTGGACCTATCCAGCCTCTTATCGCAACACAAAATTTAGCGTAAAATGCAACAATCCTCTCAGGTTTATGACCAGGACCTTCGAGACGAACCTGGAACTAATAGTTCAAAGCGTCAGATCCGAGGAATCAATTAAGTACTACATAGCACTATAGTAACGAAAATACAAACTATGGACAACTACGTTTATCAAACATAAACAATTCCTTGAGAAGGCTCAAGGGAAGAGAAATTCATGTTCCCAGAGAACCAAAATTCAAAACCGCACTGCCCGTTTTATTGATTCGCCAAATGCAAAGCTTTAAATTAATTTATTTAAAATGTTGTATTAAAATTTATTATCTCATACTTCACTCCATAATAATTGTAAACCATTTCCTACCAAAGCTAGAACATGATATACGCATAGCGACCCTAAAGGTTCAAACCATATGAACAAGGACGATAATAGATAGTTATGAAGTATCTAACGCTCATAATAGTATAATATATCACATTCGATTCTCAGCAAGATATTGCATATATTGTACCTTTAAGTCTAGTAAATTCTCAACCCTAAGAAGTAATTCCCTCCAATGCAATGCTTGAAACTGGTCGATAGGTACAGCGATAACCCAATGCGCACTATGTCTTTCTTAGATTCCACTAGACTCTATATATTTTGCTGCATCAAATTGTAATTAGTTCACTATTCTTGGGTCTAGAGTACATCCTTGGACTACGGCGGCTCGCTACTATGACATCCGTTTTTTCGCTGGTCTATAACATGGGCAAAACGTCTCAGATGAGCCTTGGATATCTGACATACCGCTTCAGAACCCCCTGGCCTGGGTTTGAGCCTTTAAAATGATTATGTGACATTCTGACAGGGTTAATGAAATAGGTATATAGTATACTTGATAACTGAAAGAGACTGCTACGCCATGGAGATAGGAGGGAGTTAACAAGGGGAGAAAGTGAGAGGGCCGTGGCCTTAACATCTGAAATATTCCATAAAAACATTTCGATAATCTTGAGCTTCAGTATGATTATGTGATATTTTGGTGGACCTCACGTAGTATATTGTATATACCATCATACTAAGTACAGAAGTGGGGAAGATTCGTCTTATCGCCAAACTCCTTAACTGTGGGGGAAGATAGTGCGTGTCTATGCCAAAGAGGCTAAGATGCTGGAAGAGCGTGATGACATCAACCGAATTGCTATCAGAATTTTTATACCCAAATACTCTACGACGATTCTTAGTTTTGAGCTTCAAAATGATCATGTGATATTATCAATAGGGTTTCCGTGTAACGTAGATGTCTTTAGAGAAGAGGGATATGTTAGCATTGCACATACTCTAGGCATAGTCTCATATTGCTCCAGGGAGTTTGTCATAGAGCGACTGGATTGGCTTGGTTGATGTTGGAGATACTCTATGTAAATGCTACAAAGTTGGTATAGGTAAATAACTATAAGAGCTAATCTCCAATCGATTCACAAATATGGGCCGTGAAAATAACAAAGTCTGGGTGCGGAACATTGGTTTCAATATCATGCCTCGATCTCGAGATTGGTCTAGTTCCAAGTCTCGAGATTCGAACCCAAGAGTATAAGTGTACACCCAAATCCGCAACTAACATGCACCATCTTCATACTATCTCGTATGATTTCAAGGTCTAGTCTCCTCCACCCTCCTTTCTGTCTCTTTACTTCCTCGTCAACCTCCAGAGCTGTTGGCAAACATCTATACTCCGTCCCAAATCCCGTTTGTCCCATATCACTCGCCCCAGATACCCAGTCACCTTTACCACCTTCCTCGACCAGCACAACATAATCTTCCCCTACATAAACACCGTCGAACCCCACTGGCTCACCAGTATCAGGGTGAATTATATCAACCATAGTGACATCTTCGTCCTGCTTTAAGTCCCCGGGATCAGAGTCAAATGGAACGTTTATGTTCTCAGTTCCATCGCCACCCCATATATATACTGTCCCGTCGTCTGCTAAAGCGCCCTGTACATGTCCACCAGGATTTGCTCCGATACTTTTTATAACTATCCCCTCGAGAGCTGTAACTTGACCCCAGCCTTGTGCATTAGCCCTAGTAGCATCAGGTGGGCGACCTAGGGAGTTAAACCGATTATCACCGTATGTGTATATATTGCCATTTGAAGTCAGGGCGATAAACCCAGTAGACGTGGAGGCGATCGATGTGAATACCTCTTGCTGTAGAATACCATCATCAAAGCCTAGACCCAGATTAAAAGCTGATATTGGAGAGATAGTATTTGATGTCAGTGATTCTAACGAGGCATCGTAGAGATGCTCTACAATCGAAGGTATTGGGGGGTAGACTCTTATTATTGAGTTTCCTGGCCCACATTCCATGGAGGAAGATGAACACAGAAAACACATTTCACCAATTCTGTTTACCTGGATATCATATACCAGGTTCTCAGTTGCATCACAATGGAGCATATTGAACGACCAATCCGTTAGTGAAAATGAACAGATTCTCCCGTCAGATAGTACGAGGCCAAGGAATGCCCATCGGGTCCCGAATGCTTTCGTAACATTATGTGCCTGAACCCCTAGGGGAAGCGGGATAGCAAGCTCCCGGAGTTTTTCAGAGTGACCTGGTGCAAACGTCGGGAGGAGGCCACGGAGGTAGATATTCCCGTCCCGCTCGACTGTTGAGGCCAAGTCATAACGTTAGTATCCTATTGAAGGCCATTGAAATGGCACGTGCTAGGCGTAATTAATTTGCGATTGAGATTGACGGGACAGCGCCCGACGAGAAGACAAGCCGTACGTCATCCTTAGTCGATTCTAGGCACACCCAATATGACTTGAGACACACACATCTCTTAGCACATGGCCTCGTCTATGCAGGTACGGACTCTTTTCATCCTGGTGCCTATAATCGAGCTCGGACGACATATTGGCATTCAATTAAACGGGAAATAAAAATTAAAAACAAAATACACCTTTATTTAATTTATTCTAGAGGAATATAAGAGATATCGAGCAGAACTTACCACATATGCTGTTAGTCCCCACATACAAAACCCGCATGGACTTCCTAGCTGCCATCACAACCGTGGGGGTATCCACAGACGTGAATAAATTAGGCTCCCGCGTCGGCTCTGCAGGGATATCGTCTCTATCCGCGTTCTCGTTCTTCAACCAATCGGTATATACCTCCGTCGCTTTCCATTTCGTCTCGATCTTCCAGCCGGGTTCGTTGATCAATTGGCCATACATATTACACCCGAAAGCGAGCAGATGGAACCTTCCACTGTCGCAAGAGTCGATAGCCCCACTTGAACATTCCATAGGTTTGAGGATCTCTGTTGCAGAAACATGCACATTGCGACCCTGGCAGTCCGGGCTGGGAGCATCTGACGCCGGTGTGATAGGCTCCAGCGAATCCTTGTCGCATGTTGGTGATAATCTTCTTCTTTTGCGTGATGTTGAAACTACTCCCGATACGCCAATGGACTCTTCCTGTGGATCCATCCACGTGCTCCCCGGACTTATTTGTATGTAATTATTCTTTTTTTTTTTGTTCCTTTTCGATGAAAAACTCGAAAAGGGTCTGGAAAGGAGAAAGGCAGGATAAAGAAACAAGGATTGTGGATGGAAGCCTAAAACCCAAGCGCAAGCTAAATGCTAACAGACTTGGCCCAGCTGCTCGACGAGCCGTAACCTTTTAGGAGTTCGTGCTTCCAGGATCGATATGTGGCATTCCATTCCATTCGAAGTCTGGAAATACTTAGCGAGACACAAGCCCACCGGCTGACATGCTGGGCCAGCCTAGAACGTGGCGCCGTTAAGACTCAGATTTTTGCGTTGCAAAGAGGAGGTTGCGGACAGGTGGGATTGTGGGTCCAGATGCGATTTGAGGCCAGGTCCAGGCAGACTCGGCTCCAAATGTCCAGATGCAGAGCCTCCCAAGCCCCATGTTTCTGAGATCCTGATCCCAGTGACATCTTATCTGAAACATCCGACTTCGACCTTTTTTTTTTATACCAATAATTTTAGTAATTAGCTACGTTAGCTAGTATTAAAATCACAATGACTTCAAGAGAATGTATTGATTTGTTGAGGTAGGCCTACGTAAGTATATCGTCAGTAAAGAATGCTCGAGCTTCCAAACCTAGAAAAACAGTTATCATGATCGTCAACGAGCCCGGGTAAGGGAGGAGCTTGCGGTTGACCTTTCCTATCTTAATGGCCAACTATATATCGTAAAGATATACGGTACTTATGTACTTGCAAAGGAGAAGAGCAGATCTTAAGGAGGGTATAGCTATAGATAAATATTAAATTAAACCGTCTACTGTACGAATATCCAGAAGTACCGGGGTCCGCCGGTCTCGCATATATTCATCCGACACATCCATCTCGGCATGCCGATCTATGGAAGGATGCCAATTGAAATTTCGGATACGATAAGCACAGCATAGTCTAAGCCTAAAATACAACCGCCTGGTTCCTGTTAGGTATCAGAAAGCTCTGTCCGTTGTAAAAAGCCATGGATATCAGACTCCTAACGGACGGATGCGGCTTAAGGGTCCTGCTTCCTTAGGTAAGGATTACAGGTATCTTGGTAGAGTATCCACATGCGCATGTACAGGAACACCTGCCTATATTCTACAATCCTAGCAGCTCGCAGATCTACGGCCTAGGTAGTGTTATAGCGAGCTCGAGGCTTTCTACGAGCAACTTCGGAATCTATTAATCGATTTGCAAGCCAAATAAATTCCTCAAACGTCACGTCAACCGATCTGGTAGAAATCGCGGAAAACCGGCACCGACGACAGCTCCTCGGAGCCCGCCCTCAGCACGTAGGATTGATCTTCGGCCACCTATACGGAAAACTTTTTAGAACTTCTATATTGAACATCTCTAACTATGGGCTAGCTATAGGGGGGGCAAGACCCGCTTCTTTCCGCCAAATCGGGAAAACTTTAGATGACGAATCTTTTCTCATGTTCAGAATTAAGTTTTTCAGTTTAGACGGGGTGGAACGTAGGCTTCTACGACTCTAGGAAATGGTCTTTTTTCGCCTCTTGACGATGATCTGATATATTTCCGGATGGACTGAAGACTAATGCAACGACCGACTGAGACTCCTCCAAATTCGAGTAGACTTTGGTGCGACAGGGAAAAAAATTTAACGGATAAAAGTATATAAAATCTGAATTGAGTTTAATGTTCAAGAAGTACCGAAAATAAGCAATCCGCTAATGCTCCCTTGATCCCTTTCCCAACATTGAAAAAAAAAATGAAATGAACTATATACATTATCCCAAAATTAAGATTCCCGAAAACATATGGGACAGAAGCCTGAAGAACACAAAAAGTATATGTAATGTAAAATCTCTGGTACGCCGCGTGAAGAAAATGTCGCTGAAGAGTATTGCAAAAGGAGGTGAAAAGAACGAAAATGAAAACCATGCATAATGCGAATTCGATGGGTGTTATCGTCGCGAGGAAAAGGCAAGACAGAATAGCAAGGTAGAAAAAAAAACAAAATTTACAAAGAAGTAGATTTCCATGTCCCTACTCATATGCCAAACCTCAGCATTTCTACTTGCGCTGCTTGAATAGGCTATCTCCTAGCCACTTCCAATTGTATCTGGCATTGTCACCGCCAAGGCACTCCAAAGTTTGTACCAATTCCTCCCTGAAGCCGGCAACACAGTTGATGTTTGGCTGGTTTGCATGCTTAGGGGGGGTAACGTCGCTGCCGTAATTGCAGAGGAACTGTGCGACTTGGCTCGGTTTGGGGACGCATCTGTTTCCTGAAAGAATAGACTCCTTCCAAAACCGATTCCATGCCTCACGAACTTGAATGCGAGTATACATCTCGCATCCGTCTTTATGAGGACAAGACTGGGTATGGTCGTAATCAAAGTCGTCCCAGGGGCTGTTTTCGTGGAAAGACTTGATGCGACGGACATAGCGGCACCATTCTGCTGCGAATAACTGCTGCAATTGGGTGGGGACCGAGTTTAGGTAATCGTTCCAGCGTTGGGACGGCTCGCCACAATCGTAATCTGGGTAGTCGTCAAGGAGAGTACGAACGGCTTCGTGGAGAATAGGCCGTAATTGTGCGGCTACTATTGGCGGAACATTTGGCCGTTCACCCGCAAATGGTGCACTGGCTTTTATCGTTATGAGAGGATTGGTTGCAGCGGTATTGCGGAGATGGTTTATGCAAGAATGTAGAAGGACTTCGTTACTCGTAATGATCGCGGTGCTCAGGAGGGAGCATATGTTTGAATCATCTGGTTGTGTAGAAGGACTAAATAGCGAGGTGTTAGTTCGTTATTCTGCTTAAAAAATAACTCCAAAAGCATCAGACTATTCTCACGTACATGCAGTCATTCAATTGAGAAACTACTCTTTTCGGTGACATGGGGTCCCCCATAGCCACATCACAAAAGGATGTGGCTGCTGAAGTTTTGCTCCTCGTCAGGGAAGTGTCGCAAGAACACTTGGACCTATTATCTTCAGATGCTTGCCCTATTGCAGATCCCGATTTTCTGGATAGTCCGGAATTTGCTCTCGAGGGAACTGGTCGTGTGGGTTTCGAAACTTTCCATTTTTTATTCCTTGTATCAATCGATTGCGCCTTAGTTTTCCTCAAGCTAGTTTGAGTATTGCGAGACGGCTCTCGAGATTCCTCTTGCAATTCAGTAACAGTGACGATGGCAGACGTCTTTTTGATATCGTCAAACCGATTGTCGGTGAGGTTTGGTACAAGGGTGACCGTGGACATGTTACCGAGCGGCTGAAACGAGTGGGTCAGAGTAGATAACCGTCTAAGAGAAGCTTCGCATCGCTTCACCAGGGCATCGACCTCGTGTGGTCGTTCGAAAGAGATAGGCGATGGTAACTTATGGGATAAGAACGGGTCATGAAGTTTTGGAAGTAAAGTCAGAGCCGGTAGCTGAGGTAAGGACATTGGCTGGCTGATATCGTCGAGCATCTTTTCAAGTAAAAGAAAGAGAAAATAAGTAATTATGGAAAAAGGGTCCGAAGAATATTATACGATCTATGCGCCGTGGTTAACGCCCTTATATTCCTTCCGAGAGACTAAGAAAGCCTCCTCACTTCAACAAGTGGGCTGGCTTCTGATCAAATAAGGAAGTGGGCGTGGGTCGAGATATCGACTGCAGATTGCGAACGCTAGACTGGTATAACCGTAAAAACGAATGTGTGAGGCTAGGCCCAGACTGAGGAAAAGAAAAGGAACGAGTCCCGTGGAAGGGGATACAGGGTGCCGCTGGGACCGTAGGCTGGGGATTTTATGCACGTTAATGCACGTTCCGGCTGGCAGGAGCTATGAACTCTCTTTGGGTGCCCAAAAGAGACAAGACTCTACTTGCCCGGGTGTGGTAGGCGGTTCCGAGGGCCGTATAACTTTTTCTTTTTTATCCCCTCTATTTTCTAATTTTTGCTCCTAGACACCTTGTTAGATGTTGGAGAGAGCTTTCCGATCTGCTAGTATAATATAATGTCGTGGGGGGGAAGAGTCGAAGTTGAGAGCCTGGATATAAAATTTTGTAGGATAAATATTATAGCCTCAAGCCGTTAATTAAATATTCAAGATTCGAAATTCGAAGTTTTGGTGAGAGAGAATATTCTCGTGGGTATGCGTGCGGCTGTTGTAATTCAACGGCAATATCCTGTCCCACCGGGCTCACGTTTTTTTATAAGATTTTCCTGCTAAGAAGATGTGGCGAGAAAATTTTAGGCCGGCCAGGTGCGAGATATCCGCGCTGGGATATGGAAAACGGTGGATTATTTGAGCCGGGTGGGTGTTATTATCGCTGGAAGTATCGTTGGATATTAGGCATGTGGAGGTTATATTATCAAATATAGTAGCCCAAAAAAATAAAATAAAACTATCGAGTGGTCCCTAGCACGCACTGATAATATAGTTTGGTTTTTTTTTTTTTCTTTTCGGAGAAGCCGTGAAGTTTATAATAGAAAAGCAACAATTATTAGGAGGAAAGCATCAAATCGTGAGGTTGCTCGAATTTCGAGAGGGGTTTGAGCCTTTTCTATTAATCAGTTTTGCCTGTCTAATCCTGTCCAAAGATTGAGTCCCCAGCAGTTTTTTTTTTTCTCACGCCGATCACTATCGAGTTCAGGAATTCTTTACGCGGACTGTCAAGGAAGTCCATAGCAAGCTCACACAAACAAACATATCTTTGTCCGAACGGGGGAACGAGGGGTGGGCATCGTGGTTTTGGTCTGGTGCCATGTTACTTTTTGCTGTTTGGCTGAGCAGGCGCTGGGCAGTGGTATGATCAACCCACTTTTGTATCCACTGCGCCAGAGGCCCATTCCAGGCCATTCACTTCGTCTCTCTCTTTTTTTTTTTTCCTCCGTCGGTTTTCAGCAGGGTGCAGCGAGTCACTAACTAGTACGCACAAAAAAGAACCTAACACGCCACTCTACTGTCCGCTCGGGCAAAGTCAATGATAGAATCTGAGAATTCAGAGGTATGCACAGACTGGCCAACATCTGGGCGCTGACTAGTCAATTCCGTTTGAAGATCACGGAAGTTTCAGACATGGGCAGACTGTTGAAAACTCAAGTCAGTCGAGGGTTAGCCTGTATACTATACTCTACTATACAGAGTACCTGTTGTATTCAAATACCCATCACCCATTATGCATCCCAGAAGCCCATTTCCCGTTGGGTGGGGCAAAATCGATCCCAGCCAGCGGGCTCACCACCGGGGTCACTAGCCATACTTTGGCCATGTGTGAAAACTTTCGAAGGGTTCAGAAATAAGCAACTAGTTTGCTGTCGCTGCGGAGTAAAAGGCCGAAAACTGTCACCTGCAGGCCTGTAGTGAGGAAGAAAAAAAACCGATCTAGGTGGAGCCCTGGCTGAAGTCTAGACATCGGATTTACTGGCTTTATCGATTCCTGAATTCACTCTCGATCCTGGCAGTCGCAGAGAGGGTCTTAGGAATTCTATGCTTCTTACTTCTTATTTCTTCTAGGCCGGTCTTAACAGGATTTGAGTCCTGAACTTGCGTATACCCTTAGGCGTTCGAAAGTTCGATTCCCAGTGCAATGTAAACTCTGGTTATTACCAGAGACCTGAATCGGAGGGAATACAATCTTAGACAGTATGATTCGCCGGCCACGTTGACAAACACCCCTGGAGTAACTTGCAGCCGAGACTTTTCGATTTCTCTAGTACTTATTGCCTACATGTCGATGTAGCAGCGTAGTGGGCTTCCGGGTCCAAACTCATGGATTTTAGACCAACAATGTCATGCATGGGGGACCCGGCCAGATGGTGTTTCCGAGGCAAGTCTATTTTTTCCCCTTCCTTCGCTCAGGCCATTCAAGAGCTTTACTCGCCTCAGCTCCGCGCGCCACGGCAGCACGATTAACTGTCATGGCGTGTTTTAACCTCGATGTGAAGGGCTAGCCCGTATGTATGTACTTACATGTACACATTTAGACACCATGCTCCATGGTATGTCGATCTAGACTGTGTCCCACGTATCCGATGAGCTCTCTCTCTAATGCTTAGAGCTAGTCGATATTGCTGCATCCGACGGAACCAGCGATCGAACAGCCCCTCAGCGTCCAGCTTCCACACAAGCGATTAGCTTTTTGACGATACTTACCCCAAGCTGCTTGTACAATCGTGTATCTACAAGCTGCATAGTCCCAAATTAGCTGCACAAAATTGCTATCGTCAAATGGAACGTTGTCGATCAATATATTAACCTAAAAAATTTCTTATTTATATGTTTTCGATTTCGGTAATGCTGTCCTCTGTTTGGTCAGATGTTGCAATTGGTTCGGCGTGCGGCTGACAGTTTAAGACCTCCCCAACTTCGGTTTGCAATTGTTCCATATGCGAAGGTTTCTCGCTAAGCAGAAGCATTTCGTAAGCTCCCGTACGCCGCAGCCCGCCAATCTTGGTGTTCTTTCGGTGGAGGAAAACCTCGTGATCCCCTGTGAGTATATCTAATTTGAGCACACTCCGAGCGATCGACAGAGCGAGGAAATGAGCGTTTTTGATCATGGATATTCCGCATGCTTCTTTCACGTCGGGATTAACTTCGCCGATGTGGTATCCCACAACATTGCATATCACGGGTGAAACCGAGTCGACGACTACGATTACTTATTCTTTGGGGATATAGACTCGAGTCAAGCCTTAAGCTTTTCCTACTCCTAGTTGACAGCTGCATCTGTAGCAGCTTGCGGCCGTTATTTCTACCTTCTGGACCCTGAATAGACCATGTTTATGTATGCAATGCATTTTTCATACCATCCCAACCATGTGGCAGCTTCGACTTGTTCTGGAATTCTTTTCTTTACTTCGGGGAAATTTTTTATTCGTTCGAGTAAGCTTGTGATTTTTGGTGGAACTGGAAATGTTTTCTCCTCGCGGAAGTCCCCCCTGGTTCTAGAACAATCGGGGCCAGGTCTGTGACCATGCACAGGGTGAAAATCACTCCTTCAAAGGGGAAAGTCAACTGTGGCACTAGATGCATGGGATCCTAATATAAACTTGTCAACAATCTGGAGATACTTACCATTAACCCCCCTTCGCTTTGAGGAGCCAATGGCTGTGGTTTCTATCCGGGCTCATGCATGCCCACAATATAGCCGAGTAACATTTTTGCATGCATGCAATCTGCTAGCTGCTGCTCGCCTCGTAGTTAAGCGTCTACGCTCATTCCGTAGACCCTAAAGATATGCTAGCTAAGTAGCAATCCAATCTCGATTTTCTGCCGTATACAGCTTCCTGAGGTGGAAAGAAGTAATGTCGATCACTATTTCTCAATTAACATCTGAATTGAATTTACATTCTCGGCCGTATACTCGATTGTGGGTGGCTCGAAATACCCATTTACAAGGAACGTCTGTAATCGATTAATCTCAGGGCTACAAAAGCAAGGAAAGAGCTTGTTTCCCGAGTCTGGAGAATTTGCGAGCGCCACAAAATTAGGAGAATTTCCCAGCCCGTGGCGGAAGTGGCGGCAGAAGACGAAATATAACCCTCTCAACTTTGATCAAGAATGATTGGTTAAACTGGGCCTGCTGAGCCCCCCATGCTCCAATTTCAACTGACAGCGGGCAACCTGACCAGACTTTTGGGTCAGGAGAACCTTCAGGCGTTTCTTTTTGTTCAAAGAAATATCCAAGATGGACCCACATCGCAATCTGTACCACCAACGAAATCGGACCGGAATTTTGCCCAGCCAGCCGCTAAAGTACTCGGAGATTGCACAGAGCCCGTTTGCATCATTTTAGCTTTCGTATTGTTGAGAATGAAGAAAGACAATTGCAAGCTGTCTAATTAACCACGTGGATGGCTCCGACGGCAAAAAAGAGTGTGGTCAGACCCATATATAAGAACCGACGATCACTTCCTAACTGTTCCGTATACTCATTTTCTTGACCTGAACCGTTAATCACACATGTTCTTTGTCCTCCCCTTTTCCCTCGATTACAAGCTGTACCGGACTTCAGAGATGTGAGGAGATGCAGAGTTTAATCTCAGGCGCTAAAACTTTCCACCAGTTCGCATTTGGCAGGAACCCCGCGAATTCTCGTATAATTAGCTTCATTATCAAGCTCGGCTCGAGGCGATATCATGTCATATTTAACCTCCTATATGCTGCAGATGTTCGTTAACTAATCCACCACCACCACTAACTACCATCCCATCTCGATCAGATTGATTGAACGCTCAGGTAATTTTCTTTCATCGCCACGTTTTGATCTCATTTACTGCCCGCAGATCAATTGGACACGTTGACAGCATTGGCCCGGGTGCTTATCCGGCTGGTCCCACTCTGAGAAAATCATCTGTAATCGAAATTCAAATGCACACGACAGGTTTTTTTGATATTGGCCTCTAACTTTGACATGACATCAAGAACTCGTTTGTTCCTGTCGATCAATTGATAAAATGTCAATTAGCCAGATTCCCGGAATTAATATTAACATATCCAATTAAGACTACAATACGTAGTATATCCCTTATAAGCAGATTTGATGATATTAAAGTATATATTGCGATGTAACACCAGGAACATGTTATAAAAGATTGTTACTGTCCTGCCAAGCTCAGAGGATTGTGGTATTGGCAACTAGGTTGAGCATCGTTCTTCTTATCCCGGAAGATCCCATCTTGGATATTTTGTATACTTTCTCCTCGCCCACTCGCAATGGAGAAACGGGAAATTTTCGTCAATTTGTAATGGTCGTCTCCCTGGCCTCAACAACCGCCATAGGTTATGCAATGCAATGCAATTGAAGGTTTTGCCCCAAGAGAGCTCTCACAAAAGAATAATGTCCAAAAGCGATATGTGATCTTCGTCATAGCAGACTATGCTAGGTTTTATGATGTATGAGGCGTCACTTAGCGCTGGTCGATTAGCAGGTCTTCGGGTTGGCCGATATGGAATGCGGCATTTAATTGAGGTTGCAGAGGTGCCGCACAACCAGAAGGGTTTCCCACTTACGGGGTATCGAGGACTGAAACCAAAATATCAACTACATACTTAGTATAGTGATTCCGGGGGTCTGGTATTGATTTTTTTTGCTCGGGAAGTAATTAAAGGAACTCGCCTGTTCGGTAGAAATGCTGCGCGGATCTAGGGAACTGATGTCTACCTAAGCCTAGTGTGTGATATCTAAGACTTAGGTCGGCAGAAGCCATGTGGAGAATCTAAAACATGTTTGCAGGGCGCTCTGATGGTTCGATACGAGCCGGGTTCTAAGTTCCGGAGAGATTGGAAGCTGTTTCCATTGGGTAAGCGGTTGGAGAAGCCGGTTCGTAGCGGGTTCCTAATGAGGCTATTCGGATCGGGAGCAGTTCTAAAATCGCATTCGGAACCCAAAGTTTAGTTCCCAGGCTCGCGCGAGGCGGGCTTGTGTGTCTTACATTCATCAAGCGTATGAGGATAGCTTATGCTTTTCAAGCTTCTGATTACGGAGCTTGCATCATTTTGTGATACAATTTCTTTGAATGAGTTAATAGTGTTTTCGTATGATTATTACATGATGGTTCTTGATGTCTATCCTGGCTTGGGGATCTCAAGGATTGAGCTAGAAACCAGTATTAACATGAATAATCTACATATTAGCTTTGACTTCAGTGCTCCCGCCGAATGTGCTCCACTCGGACCCTCGAATCTGGTAGGTATAGAAAACAATATCAAGAATCGCAAAAGATAGTCCCTAGCATGACGTACTAGTAATTAAACATGCGGCACCGCCGCGTGTTTATTTACAAGTTCTCCTGGTTAAACCTGCACCATCCAGACCTGCCAACAAGATGTTCACGCTTAACTTTAACCCTTAGGGACGCTGGAACAGTCGGGGAATCAGGAAGACGGCCAACACAAGTGCCGCCATAGGTGTAATACTGAGCACCAAATCTGGTCTTAATCAAGTTAAGCTGGTTGTTGAAGCAGCCGGTAGTAGCACCTGGAGCGACTGCGGGTAGAAGACCAGTGTTGATGTTGTAGAGAACAGCAATGCTCATCTCGGCAAATTCTTCGTGGCGACCTGCAGTGTTACCGTAGTTGCTGATGCTGCAAGTGTCGGTGGCGAGAGCATTAACGAATGCTGGCTTTGCTGTTATTGAGACCTCTCAGTTAGCTCCATTTTCTATTTCCTCAAATATTTGGTGATATGGTTGCATTTAAATGTGAAATCCAGCATTCTACTAAAAGGGTAGGTTCCCGCTTACAGGAATAATCCTGGCCGAAGACATCGGCTCTGTTGTCAATCAAATGGCCACTATAAATATCATACATCGTTAGTCTAGCACACATAAAAGAGTCTTTTCATAAGAATATAAAATAAACGAGATTTAATTCACTTACACTTCATGGGCATAAGTTGGGATTGGGCAGTCTCCAGCAACCATAAGATCTCCATCATCGGGAGCAGCGCAACAGCAGGCGCCGTTCGGGTTGGGAACGATCATTGGGTGACGGACCATGCTTCTCATATGCACTGGCATACGGCCGAAGATATCAGCAGAACGTCCGATATGGACTGGAGCGGTTTCACATCTGCAGAAGACCCATGGGCGGTCACACTATACACATTCAGAGTTATGAAGGTCAGTATATGTGTATCCCCAAAAAACAACTACATTATATTAGCAGGAATTATTTTTTTACTTACATCTTGATAAGTCACATTGTAGACCTGGACTTGGCTGGGTTGACACCCACGAGACGCCATTTGGACGGCGCAAGAGCTTGGAAGAGACCCAGCTGGCCATTGGACAACGGTATGGGGGACCCAGACGGAGGCGTCTTGAATTGGTTGATTGAAATAAGTTCCAATATCTGGGTACGCAACCATAGAATGAAATGGTTGAGCCACCACAGTTGAGGCGAAGAAAAGAGCTGCTGCGAATTGCTTCATCGTGGAAAACCTTGTACAGTGAAGGTAGACACAAGATATTGATATTATATTAAAATTAAGGATGGAACTTAGATTTAATGATTTAGGACGATACTGTTCTGCTGCCTGCTTCCTTTGCTGTGATGGAGAGTCGTAATTAATTGGGATTCGAGGGCTCTTTTATAGCCAGAATATTTGAACTCATCATTCAGCATGTGTTCATTGTATCTATTTTGTATCACTAATCTTCTCTGATAAAATATCGATATGGTGTCGATGCCCGCTAGAAACTTGATACTGATGGCCAAACGCCAAGCTAAACGGGCTCTGATTATCTCGTAAACTGGTCTCCACAGTGCAGAGTCCGAAGTTGTGCATTGGACAATTCCACGAGGGTGCTTCGGCGATAGCCGCTGAGATATCCTGTACATGTATACATCGGATGCCCACATATGTGAATTGTCATTGAGAACCGAGGACTGCATATGGTGGTTGGTAGAGCTCGAGTAGTCCTTAGTAATTTTGAACTGCACGATCGTACGATATCGCGATTTAGTATACAGTAAAGCTATGACTGGCTGCCTCCACAAGGCTAGGTTAAGGTAGCTCCGGTCGCAATTCTCACCGGAAGCGCGAGAGGCGTCTTTCATTCATATTGCCCATGACGCTTGGTTTAGGTAATTATAACACAGTATTCCCAGTTGTTTGTCACAACCTGAAGGTTGGATTAGTCTAGTTGAGGTTGGATGATTGATTTGCAGTTTTCATTTCGAATTCTTCCGGGTGAGCTTCCAGGTCTGGGTACGAGACAACCGGGTGAGGTTTATATTGCATGATGCATGGATAGTGTTCCGATCGCGATACCGATCACACCCACATTGGATGGATGCGAGGTAACACGGCATTCAGTATCCCAGTATCCGCCGAACAATAGTATTCTTTCAACTTTTTGGATTCGAGTAGCTCGAATAATTGACATACGCCTGAGCTCTCACCGGACGTACGTGGCGCAGCCAAATTCACTAATTGGGCAAATATTCGAATTCAAATATTTAAATTTCTTCTGCACGATTATATCCCTCCTGTCACCGAGAATACGAGAGCGCACATGAGCCAAAGACTTGGCATCGCCTTTTTCATAACCACGTAACGCCTATCATGTGATGTTGGAGGTTTCTTTATTTTACTAGAGCGATTCAATTGATCAAGATTCGATATATCCGAGTTCCGGGTGCCGGATGGCAAGACCCCCACAGCAGTGGTCCGTGTTGCCTGTTGGATTTTCCTGCAGAATGTTCGTATATAGCCCTGTCCCTGCTCGCTAGGATGCAAGCCACTAGGCATGATCGTGAGTCGACAGATTGATTGGTACTAATTCGTTTTGATGTTACATACATACAACGGCTGAACGAAAATTTCCAGGCGTATGTCCTAGCTAGGCCTGAAGGAGTTGATCCTGAAGTTCTGCTGAAGGAGTGCAAAAAAATTGTGCCCCAATGCATTGCGCATACTGGGCCCGAAATTTTGCGCGTCAGATAAATTCATTGGCTCTATAGGATTTTTGGGATGTAGACGAGTAAGCTTCTATAGGCTATTCCTGTATACCACAATTGCTATACTTTGGTGAATTATGAATTATATATATTCGTAACGGACCTTAACGTATGAAGTCTTAAGATCTCACGCTTAGATATAGGTAGGTATATAATATAGGTTATTGCGGCGGCTTATCTAAGCTTACAAAAAATAATATCCTCTAGTATATATCTTCAGCCAATGGGTAACGGCCTCTTGATCAGTTGATTAATCCATAACCCCCAAATTTAAGGCTGTATATAACTTCTCTTCCGTGCCGACAGTCCACTATTGTTATCGCATTTTACCTTGTTTCCCTCGCTTAAACGGGCACTAAAGGAAAAACCTCATCTTAAATACGAGCTTCCGCTCCCGTAATTCACTAAGATACCGGACCGTCTTTTTAAATTCTATTAATCATCGACGGAATCCTCAGTGGGGCTCTTTTTAAATTCTAGTTCCCCGAGACAATTCACAAAACGAACACGAGGTTGGGCTTTTACCCGGATAAATTTCTTGTCAAATAGGATGTTGTAGCGTTTACACAGGTTATCGTTTTTGTAGTCGCTTGGACCCGCAGAGTTTCATGTTCTTATGATACTTGAGGTTATAAAAGCTAACCGATTGAGGCTTTCCGGTGGGTTTAAGCTCGAGCCATATGATTGTCGCATCATGGAGGTTTATTATTAGGTACGGCGAAAACCTAGTATGGTACGTATGTACCCCCAACAACAATGAGGACGATTACTCATCAGCTCTATTGATAAGAGGAGGGGGTATGTAATACTATAGGGTTACTATGGAGCCAAATTCTGGCAAGAGTGTAGGGCAATATGTTGAGTAACGGTCCCACGTGGTTTTCTCCTTGTCTTTGAATTGTTGCATTTGAAGGTCTTGGTGCTTTCATGTTCGTATAGACTGGCCCAACAAATCCTTTTGGTGATAAAATTAAATATCTAGGGGGACGATATCTGTGGAAATGCGTCGATGGGGGGTATTTGAACTCCCCCCTCTGAAGTTCGAGTATCAGATATACTTGTCATAGCTTGCAATCGTTGCCAATGTAAATGTATCCAGATGCATTGCGAAGTCTGGTTTGAGACAACCAGATATATCATGGGTATGATCCCCTTCAAAGTTAAACTGAAAAATCTTGCAATTCTTGCAAATATTCTTCAACTTCCTCCTCCTCCTCCAATTCAGGCTCAATAGGCCATACTTCACGCTGCCCAGAGTCGGAGGGCGATCTTCTTCGTATTATTTTCCCTTTCGCATTGCTATTCTTTGTTCCTCTATTCTTCGCTTGCCTCTCCTTTGTGTCTCTTGACCGCTTTGACTGGTTTTTGTATCTTAAAATCTTCTCTGGCGCCACGTTACCCTCATCAACATCGCCAGCTGATCGATTCCCCCGCCTTCTTTATAGTAGTTATAGTGTTCTGTGTCGTAACTACGGTATTTAAACTCAACTCGTTTGTCCCACATATCGCTACTACTCCACTCGGAAAATGTATATCCATACATTTTCAACCTCCAGTGATCCCACAGACAAGCCGTTCCGTTGATCTCACCGGTTTTCGGACTCTTGAGCCACATCTTCTTCCCATCTCTCGTATATCGGTCCGGATTTTCATTGTACCACGGATCGAATTGGGTGAAGAATGCAAAGATAGTATCCCATGAATCAGGACCGAGCGGACTTTGTCCAGTCGTTTTTAAAATCCGTTGGACCCGCGATAAGTGGTTTTTGTCGTATTTTCCGTCAATCCATGAAATAATATTATCGGGAAAGTCAAAATTTAGGACCAGGTTCGCTGTTATAAGTTTAAGCCTCTTTGATTAGTAAAAAGGCTTCTTTAATCCTGGAGAACGGCAATTCTATCCGGGGATGTTGTCAGAGGTGCCACTTACGAATAGACAAGCGATCCTCTGGCACTCCATCATCATAATACCCCAAATCATCATCCCATATCTCCATCTCTTCATTGTGCCCCCCAGCCTTTTCAATCCGAGCAAGTAAAAACTCACGTATAGCTCTAACCGCCATCACACTCCAAGAGCCCCACAGCCCAGATATGGAGGACATGACAGCCTCGTAAGGTACATTCTGTGAGATCTCAAGCCCCACGAAGAATCTATAGATACCCTCAATTATCCTTTCCTCCTCCGTTTCACTTACTAAAAAGTAACCATCCGATTCATTCCTGATTTTATATTTTTCCAATGAACCCGGTGGATCTGGTGCTATCCTTGTCAATTCGTATTTCACGAATCTTTGAAAGATACCGACGATTGTTCTGTGGTATTTTATAATGGCCTTTTCATCCTCCTTCCGAATTTTGATATTATCACACACTTTGGGCGTGTTGAAGTCATGGGAGAGTACCTTTGCGAAGTCCGTAAACTGTGAAGGGGTGGAACTATACACGGGCCAACCAGCATATTCTGGACTTTTGAAGTTCTCAAGGAGAGAGCGAGACTCGGGGTATGTGATATATTCCAGTATAGCCTTCAAAGGCAGCGCTAATTTGTCCTCATGTGTATGCAATTGCTGGTAGTACTGGGTAAGCCACAGGGCTTCCCGAGAGTACCGTGTAAGAGCCTCGGTAAGATATACAGAGGATTCAACCAGCGATTGGTGTTTTACGAATACGGTTTCATAATTTGAGGATGCTCGGCATAGTGATTTTAAACTTCGAACGGTTGGGAGGGAAGTTAGGATTATGAATTTTATGTCGACAGGAAGGGATTCTAGTGTTGTCATCTTGTTGGAATTTTTAGCCCGGTCTAGCTTCGTCGGTAGTACTAGTATAGTACATAGTATAACAGATCTCTGACAGCTTCTGATCCCTCGAGGTAAGAAGAATAAAGTCAAAACGTTTGGTTGCAGGATGTTAGCGAGTATCGATCACAATTGAATACTTACTTATATGGCCAAATAGCCCGGCTTGGCCAGCTGTCATATTCTTGACTAAGTTAATATACTGCCTGAAGTTAAGGCTAGGGTACCTAGGGTGAGCAATCTGTTCAGCTAATTAAGCGACGCCTAGGCCTCACAAGCTTTATAATTAGGTGATCAGGTTTCCTAAATCCGATTACCAGGCTGTATTGTAAAATGCATAGACAATTTGCGTGAAATAGTTCCATTCGAATTTGATCTACGCAAATTCTCTATCTACATCTAATATCCCTAGACGCCATTCTGAAGAACAACCGTAAAACAAAAGAAGGAAAGAAACAGGATTGAACGAAGAAAACGTCTATTCTTCTATCGTCTAATCAGTAGAAAACCGCAAAGAATTCTAGAATTTTAGAAACTAGAAAAAAAGTACTCCCAAGGAGATAACTAGTAATACCCGATTGACCCCGTTATCCCAAATGCATGATCTTATAGTAAACCCAAAAGAGAGATGAGCGTGTATGTTTGTGTGAATGAGAAGAAGAAGGCGTGGAACCGAAAAGGGTTTACGCGGTAGCATCGTCGAAAACAATAGCGGCTTTGATTGCGCTCTTGTTCTTCATAGACTCGAGACATTCTTCCCATTGTTCGAGCTTGAAGACCTTATTGACAATACCCTTAACTTTGACCTTGCCGGAGTCCTAGAATTATAATATTAGTATTTAAAAACATATAAGCATTAGCTTCTGTGAGTGTGAGTACATACCAAATAGCTGATAGCCGCTGGAAACATGTAAGTCTCCGAAAAGCTTCCAATGATAGTTAATTCGTCACCAAAAATCCTGGATGGCGACCATGTAACTCTTGCGGCGCTCGAGTAAACACCATAAACCACTAATTTACCTCCACGACGAACGTAATTAATTGATTCCTCCAGGATAGCAGGAGAACCGGTCGCCTCAACAACGATGTCAAATCCATATGGGTTGTCGGCCTTCAATTGCTCCAATTGCTTCGCACTCTCAGCTTTATCTCTTGAGAGATCGATGTACTCATCTGCAGCCTCTACTTCACGGGCGAGGTCCATCTTGAGACCCTTGGGTGCAGCCATAACAACGTGGCAGCCGCCGTTCTGTCGAAGCATCTGTGAAAGTACGAGGCCTGTTGGGCCGGCACCGAACATCAAAACTGAAGAGCCGAGCTTTGGAGCAATCTTCTCGAGGCCATGGGCGGCGCAAGAAGCGGGTTCGAGGAGAGTAGCGTCAACGTCGCTGAGATTTTTGATCTTGAAGACCTTGCCAGCTGGGTAGGCACAGTATTCCGCGAAACCACCGTCCACTATATCACAGAAAAAAGAGAAATTAGGAACAATTGATACTAGTATTGTGACAAAGGATCATGAGAGTCCATACTTGTAACACCGTGAGCATTGAAGTTCTCACACAGCAATAGCTGTCCTCGACGGCAGTAGAAGCACTCATTGCAGAGTTCTGAGTTATCAGCAACAACTCGCTCGCCGACTGTGAATCCTTTAACATCCTTGCCAACAGCTGCGACGATACCGACTGTTTCATGACCGGGGATAAGAGGGAACTTGGCGATGAATTCGCCTTCGTGGATGTGCAAGTCTGTACCGCATACACCGCAGGCTCTGACTTTAATCTATAAACATCGTTACACCTGTGAGTAACTGCACACTGTTAAATCTGATTGAGAAGGATATAATTACCAGGATATCACCATCTCTAACTGTAGGCAGTGGAACTTCGACGATTCCGAATTTTTCTGGCTGCTCGTATCTGATAATTCCAGGTTAGCACTGATGTTAAAGAATTATAATGCATTTGCTGTCCATCATCACCCCCATATCGGAAACATTATCTTCCTCATCCTCCTCTGCGCGCTGCAACAACAACCCCCTCCGAAAGGGGGGAAAGAAAGAGTCCACAGTATAATGCCAGAAACAATAATTCAAGGGAAAAGGTAGAGAAATGCATACCTAAGAGCCTTCATGGTAGCTGGGAGTGTGATCATTTTGGCGGTTTTAAAGTTTATGTGATGATGGTATGTATAGTAACAATATAGATCTTTTATGGCTTTATTGACGAAATATTCACCCTAAGTTTAGAAAGCGCTCCAAAAGAACCGTATATCTAAAAGTTCAAGCTGATAGTATATGGAGAAGTTGAAATTGTGGAGAAGAAAGAGAAGATGGAGAAGATACAATTACGGATTGAGCAGAAGAAGCTGGGGGCCTCTCTGGTCTTTATAGATCAAATGGATGCAGCTAAGCTCTCCGAGATCAACCTTCTTTTCGAATTTTCATCCGGCCGAACTCTTGACTTTTCTTTTTTGCCTTACCGACAAAGTTTACTCTGCTTCATCCAAAGCACATCAAGCACCGTGTCTAGGATTCAATGCTACCAATGAAGGGGTAGCTGCCCGGAGAGCTGTTTATGCCATGCTACGAAGCTACGGAACACGGACGCAGGCTGGTTGGCCACTAGTCAAATGCAAGGGTCGTGACACCTCAAACAGCTCCAACATTGTGCACTAAATCTGCGACAGCGTCGAGAAATCTTCCAGGACGTCGGGTTCAAGTTGCTGAATCCGGAAATGATGAGTAGATATCACAAGCTTGCTTTCTGCTCAGGTTCATCGTCAACCTTCTCGTTAGTTATCGTGAACATGCCACTGAAATGCGATTTTGGCAAGATTATCAAGCTGCGTCTCCCTCTTCTATTTCGATCAATCACGACTAAATTATGGATACGGAAACTCGAGCGACAGCTAATCGGTTGAAGTAGCCATCGACCCGGTATTAAGAACACAAACAACCTCTGTTTGCCTTCGATTAATCACAACGACGGATATTCTTTTACAAAGTTTCTTTTATCCGTGATATCATGGAAGTACTACGATAAGATTCAAATATTCTTTCTTTTGGCTTCTATGTCTACCTCGGGAAATCCCCCGGTTTTGGTACATCAAATGCGTATCAGTGGTTGCGTACGCCAAGCCGTCTAATGTCCAGCTCGGAATCAGATGAGGCATATGGAGGAGAAAAATTCTGTGGTTGTCTGAGGTTGGAGCGGGTTCTGATACAAGGACATGCCGTTGACAGACTAGTTTTGGGGCGGGTGTGGCCTCTATCTTGGTCTTGATCTTGGACCGGATCTCGGTCGAGCGCGAGTTCGAGATATGCTATGCACCCGAAGATGTCGATATTTGATGTTCGAAGAGCCAATATCGATACCGCCTGTATATACATCGTCGAGCAAGCCCATTCGCAATTTCCTTAGTGTATCCGTGAAGCCCTTACTGTCGTCCAATCTATCCATATCCAACTTGAACTGTCCATCAGTTCCTGTAACTCATATCGACCGTTTCACAATGCACTAGACCCTGGTCCTGGGTTTGTTGGACTATGCGAACGCACAATGATGTCAATGGCGGGGGTGGAACCCTGGCATGCTCTTCCGAACTCCGTTCCTGTGCATGCTTGAGCTTACCTCGGACTCGAACTCGGGGATCAACAACCTTTCGACTCCTTTCAACTCCTTTAGTAATTGAAGCAGTCTTGGCCTTCACAGGGTCTTCCTTTTTTTTCTCAGTGGGCTCCTGAATATCATCAAGGTCAGGGTTTTTTTTTTGTGATGTATCATCTATGCTCGCGGATCATTTGGAATATGCATTGAGTATATACTCTCGCCCAAGACCATCTGCGAAACTTGCGCAGTGATTAGGACGGCCATCCCCGTCGTCGAGAAGAGTAACGCAAAAATTAACAAGATGGAGGAGTTGCTTGACGGCGAAGATGACGAAGATTCCGACTGGAGAGGATTACCTCCCGTTCCGCTAAGCTTGTAAACCTTCCTTCTGTCCCATTTCTTGTAAGCTGCCTTTTGCATTAAAAGCCTAAGGCTTTGTCATACTTTGCGAATTCAAGCCAGTTAAGCAGCGATTCCAGGTGCAAGTTCGCGCATGCATTGCAAGCCAACACAATATCATTAGGTAGAATGCGGCTCTGTGCGCGAGCCTAATACGGTAGTGTAGACTCCAAGCTTCGACAACCACACATTTTATACCGAAATGTTAAATATTATTCACAGATGGATGCAAATGTTTACAGACGAAATTCTAGTATGAGCAAAAGAGGAGGAGGGAATAATGGGCAATATCGGTATAACTCAGTACTGGACTTTAATAACTCATACCTCGTGTACGCGTATTCAGTGGCGCCATGGCGTTCAGTATTCGTCACCTATATGTTGAATTCTCAGCCGCACATTGGATCCTCCACCGCGCATTGGATCTCCAGCTGTAACTATGTGGAGAGAAGGCCTGCTGGTGCCAGGGCGAGCGTTACCTATATAATCAGAGGTCTTGGCTTCTTGGAAATTATGGTCTAGGCGTACTAATTAGTATACTGTTTCGACTTGATTCCCATTATGGCCGCCGCCCTTCTTATACCATTTTTTATCGCGCTTGTATCCGCCGTCCTTGAGACGACACATGCCAACGGCACCTGTCGAACTCTTTCTGCCTACGGCCAAGAACAAACTTGCCTCTATACAAACACTTTCAGGCCAGCTGAGAAAGCAATCCTTTTCGGGGCATTATGCGGCCTAGCACCTTACTTCAACAACTCTGACACTGGCCTGAGCTCAATTTGCCACGCCAATGAGGCTCATGTATATGTGCCAATCGTCGGCAACAAGTTCGCTAGCTCGGGAGAGAAATGCGACAGCGCTCCAGGACAGTACTGGCAGTACTACAATTATACGTGGGGGTGCTGTCTCTGTCCACCAGGTTGGATATCAGGGAATACGAACCCGCTATACTGCGGTCTCTATGAGGGGTGTATGAGATGCTCTGAGAAAGACGAACAGTTGGTTGTCAAGCGTCTCGACACTTTTACGACGATAGAATGTATAACGACCTCGACGACCTCGACGACCACGACGACCACGACGACCTCTACGACCTCTACCAGCTCTTGTGCAACGAGCGTAACATCCTTACGTAGCGCTCATCCACCACAAGCTTCCAATGCTATTTGTAAATCCAGCGAGTTTGCCAACTGTCCAAAAGCTCATAAAGTTCAGAAGAAGAACAGCAAAGGTAAGACCATCACGCAATTTGTGTGCAACAAGGATCCTACGGGTAAGACACTGGCTGGCTGTCCGAGCAAATGCTTTTTAAAAACGCCTCCGGCGTGCCCTCAAAAGTTCCCAAAGCGCTGCTGCTGGCCGGACCAGGACGGCATTAATTTTATAAGAGGCGCCGAGGGATTTTGCACCACATTCTACAACCAAGGTGACAACCGTAAAACGATAGGTAAGCGACCTCGGATTCTCCGCAGACGACACGTATAGTGATCCAAACGTTCTCTCTTAGGCTGGGGCCACAACTGCAACATCACGCAGTCCCTGTGCAATTCCCTGACCCTCCCTATCGATACATGCATTGGCGAAAACCTCTTCGCTGCCGATATTCAACGGCTTCTGCATGAAGCTTTCCGACCCCTTCCCAACGCAAAACTTTTGACCCAAGGGCAGCTAAATGCACTGCTAGACCTGGTGTACCAGTGTGGTAACAGTGCGATCGCAAAGGGGACACCTATTTGGAAAGACCTAGAAGCAAAGCGTGCAGATCTGGTTTGTGGACATATCACGGCTAAGGGCACTGGTAGCGCAAATTGTCAATCGTATAAGTCGAGGCGGTTAGCAGAGCAGGAGAAGTGCAAAGGAGGGAGTAAAGTTGCATTGGGATGTAGTTTTGCGCACGCTTAGGGTGTTATAGATATTTTAAAGGTAAAGAGCTACGAACTATAGAGTTAGCTTAGGGCTTTCAAAACAGAAAATTTTCTATTCTCTCTTTGATAAATTTATACCCTTGACAATTTTATAACTGCGTATATCCCTGCTTCGTATAATGGTACATATCGAGCCTTGAGATGTATATTGCAGGATTTCCACTTGCGATTTAAATTAGGCTATGGAAGTTTGTATTCGTCATTATTGTTAGGAATTTGATTGAGGTGGCTGTCGGGTGAAATGCAGGATGGGGGACTTTGTTGCATTTTGTGTGTGATATCCCAGATACAGCTTTTGCCAACACAGACGGCAAATCCCAGGTCTCACTCACTTTCATTGTATCAGTCAATGTTGCGACGACGTTCTTTCGGTTCTTGGGCTGCTCTTTGTTTATTTCCGTTTTCTCTGATCCGGTTTACTATCTTGCGGTCCTTTGGCAGTAGGCGGGTGCGGTTTAGTTGCATTATACGCCGTATATACACAAACATGGGATCGTTGCATCACGGAAGACCTCGCTTGACGTAGTAAACCCTTATGAACTAGCGGCCATATACCCCCGAAGACTCTGCAGTTGGTTGGTTTTATTTTAGAGAAGCTAGGGAGTTTGGTGCATTTAGATAAAAAGGATTAGCTGACCCTCTAAAAAGTCATAGTGGCAAGGATATCTTTTAGAGTATTTCTGACAATGGAAAGGTCATAGGTCTCGCAGGCACCCCTGGATCGGTCCGACGAGCATCTGGGCTAACTGGAGGATCACCAGGCTTTGATTTTCAATATGATACCACCATCAACGCTCCATACAACTCTAGTAACAAAACTTCCCTGGTTGTTTAAGTAGAAAATTATATAAAATATCAGTTACTTTTTTGTGCTGTTCCAAACTGTGGAATGAATGTTTGTAGTATATATTAACAAAAACCAGCTACTCAAAATAAACTAGTTTTACACAATATATCAATATATTAATAATATTTTTAAAGTTTGAATCTGTAAGAGATATAATCGTATGCGGTTCTTATCGAGTACCTGTTCTTATAGATATGGTATGCATGTAGCTATAGGTCATGTAAATGATTTTGAGTTCTACCAAGGGGTTTACTATATATAGTAAGCGCACTAACTAATAGGATGCGTGTTCTGTACTACATGCATGTATGATCTGGCAGAACGCCTTGCGCAGATACACTAACAAGTACGTTCTATTCGAAACGTGAACAGACGTAAGCTCTTGCAGCAGATTTTTTTGTTCGTCAGGTGTCGAGTCAACATGCAACATTGCGCCAATGCTCTAAACACCCAATCTAATGAAAATATTAATCTCTTTGAGAAATCTTGTTCATCTCAACTTTGCTTTCCCCATATTAGATAAATGATAAAACAAAACTTGAAATTTTAGAAAGTAGAAAGTTTTGCGAAATTTTACTATAAAGTCGACTAATCAAAAGAAACTTTAGCTCAAATGGTTCTCTATGTTATATAGTGTTTAATGGAAAAGTTGAAACCTCCCGTGACCTTCGCATTTGTTGATAGCATGCATCTCAAAGACAGACAATTTTGCTGGCATTCTTATCTTTTGCAGCCTTAAGAAGAGTTTCCTAAAGCTCACTAAATGGGTCAGTGAAGCCTTCTCCAGTGCTCTTGAACTCGTCCACAATTACCTTGGAGAGTAAAATAGGCCGTTTTATAAAAATCTGATGTAGGATGTATATGCAACATAGGGCGCTAACAACGCTCTTCTGATCATGCAAGTCGTCCTTAAAGAAAAAGTAACAGGTTGTTTTTGGATTCAGTGTCTAAAAGAATGTGGTCAATCAAGTACTTTGCAAGAACCGACTTTCCACAGCCAGGACCTGCAGATATCCAAAGCATGCTTGGGGACCCACCTCTTTTGTCAGGCTTGGAAAAAGTTCATGACTGATAGCCCACTCACATGTTCCGGGAATTGAGGTATAATAAATATTATGCATATATGCCCGTGTACGAGCTCGCGTGCCCCGATTTTCCGTATTCACAAGCAATGGAGATCGGTAGCCTGAAAGGTATAATTTCTACACTATTTAGATTTTGGTGTGGAGTTATCTGTATAATAGTGATCTCTGGTTTACGAGATAAAGTGATCTCGAAATGAACTTCTTTTCGAGATTTCATCGTTTGTTAATATGAAATTTAAAAGCGACACAGCGTTTTCAGCGTAATTCATTCTAGCTAACATCCTGTGCGTTCGCGTTCGCGTTGACTTAATTACTGTCAGCCGTGCGTCCTCTGCACGAGGCTTCGAAACTTCAGTACAAAAATTTCTCAATTGCATGCCATGGAGCAATCAGCCACGCTGCTGGCCTTGCAGAAAAGGAGCCAATGATTTTAACCCATCCTGCAGATTGACTCTAGCTTCAACGATTTGACAGTGGGCAAACAAGGCTTGGAAAATATGTATATGTATATATAGCTATATAGAGAGAGAAGAGTATACTATAGGATTTGGCTGTTCAGATGCTCTTGCGACCTCGTCACATCACAGCATTCGTCCTGATATCCTCTAAAGTTTTTTTTCTATCCTCCGATTTTTCAGCCCTTCTACGTATTAGAATTAAGCTACGCAGCGCTCGTTGGAGCTATTGAGCCCACGAGATATATCGATATACCCCGCGTCAAAACCCAGCCCCGCATTTACGCGCAGGCGCCACGATACCAAAAAGTTTAAACTTCCAGTTATAATACGGCGGCCTGCCTTCCGTAACACTTACTCGGATGGAATCCCAGATTAAACTATCTCATGAAGACTACCATATTGGGTGGATATGCGCTCTGCCTAAGGAGAGGACGGCGGCGAGTGTGATGTTAGATCAGACCCATCAAAAGCTTCGCGTTCCGGCAAACGACCAGAACACATACACCCTGGGAACCATTGGCAAACATAGCGTCGTTATAGCATGCCTACCAAAAGGGGCAATCGGTACAAATGAAGCAGCGACCGTCGTGGCACAAATGTTTAGCACTTTCCCGTCGATTAAAATTGTACTTATGGTTGGGATCGGTGGCGGCATCCCGCCTAAGGTTAGACTGGGCGACGTCGTTGTTGGTACTGAAGTGATCCAGTGGGATTTCGGCAAGGCGGAAGATAATGGTGTATTCAAACTTACCAGCAAACCAAAACAACCTCCGCGCGCGCTGCTGACCGTCATATCGGAACTGGAAAGCGAACATGATCTGGGTGAATCGAAGATACCTCAGTATCTAAACGATGTAAAAGCAAAATTCCCACCAAAGGTGATAGCAAAGTACGGATGGTCCGAGTCTCTTAAAGACCCTTTGTCGGCGCCAGACCCTTTGTCGGCGCTGCAAACGGTTTTCAACTTAGGGAATCAGTCAGCGGGGAGCGATCAAATTTCCGAACCTCAGAAAAAACCTAGAGACGTCAACATCCATTATGGTTTGATTGCCTCTGGCAATCAAGTCATCAAGGATGCCAAGCGCCGTGACGGTATCAACAAGGAGCTCGATGGAAATGTCTTGTGCGTTGAAATGGAGGCAGCAGGATTGTCGAGTTTCCCGTGTATCGTAATTCGGGGCATCTGCGACTATGCTGATGCGGGGAAAAATAAGGATTGGCAGGAATATGCTGCACTTGTAGCAGCGGCATACGCAAAAGAGCTTTTGGAACATATACAACCAAGTATCGTTGATCAAGAACGCCCAGTAAGAGAAGTCCTCAGTCAGGGTTAGTTTTTATTTTCTTTTACGTTCTGTACATCCTAAATTATAAAAATAGTTAAAGCAAATTGCAAACCGCTGACTTTCTTGGTGTACTAGTGTGTGGTGATGTTGCGGCCATAAGATCCCGACTCGATGGAAAAGAAGACCTTGAGATCTTGAACTGGATTACGCCAATTGATTATGGCCCCCAACATAGCGACTATTTGAGAAGGCGACAACCGGGAACTGGAGAATGGCTTCTAACCTCCGATGAATATAACACCTGGCTCGAATCTAAGTATGTGTTGTTTTGCCCCGGCATCCCCGGAGCAGGGAAGACTATTCTTACATCAATCATCATCGATAACTTGATGACCCGATTCAACAGCGATTCAACAGTTGGCATCGCATACGTCTATTGTAATTTCAATCGGAGTCATGAACAAAAACTCGACAACTTGCTGGCGAGTTTACTAAAACAGCTAGCAGCACAGAGCCAATCTGCTCTACCAGATAGTGTCAAGAAACTGCATAAAAGCCACCTCGCTCAAAAAACTCGGCCATCGGACCAGGACATAATTAATACTCTGAGGTCCATGATTAAGACATATTCAAGAGTCTTCGTCATTGTCGACGCACTCGATGAATATCCAGCATCCAATGGCCGGGCGAAATTCCTCACCGAACTTTTTCACTTACACGACGAGTACGGCGTGAATATCTTTGCTACTTCTAGGTTCATTCCTGAGATCGCGGAGATATTTGAGCGCGGAACCATGCCCGAGAGTAGGGCAACGGTCGAGATCCGCGCCCATGATGAGGACGTGCGAAACTATTTGGACGGTGAGATCTCTCAACTGGGAGATAACTTGTTGGAGGAGTATCGGGAGCATATCAAAACTGAAATTGCAAACGCGGCTCGTGGGATGTAAGTTGTTATCTTGTGATCTTAAAATCTTTCTGGTGGGACTATGCGAAGTGGCTGTTTTCGCGTATGTACAAGAGGCTCATCAAATACCGTTTGGCAGGTTTCTTCTCGCGCAGTTTCACTTTCAACGAGTCAAAGATAGCACCACAGCTAAAAAGTTAAAAGCGGCTTTGAAAACGCTGCCAAGTGGAAATGAGGGATATGATCATGCTTATGAAAACGCTATGAAGAGAATCCAAACATACAACTCAGACTCCAGAAATTTAGCAACCGACGTCTTGTCCTGGATTACCTGTGCAAGGAGGGCGCTCACTACGTTGGAACTCCAGCATGCGATGGCAACAGAAGTTAATGAGCGTGAATTTGACGAAGAAAACATCCCCGAAGTTAACAAAATGGTTTCCTTATGTGCTGGATTAATTACGATTGATGAAGAGAGCAATATCATTCGATTAGTTCATTACACGACACAAGAATACTTTGAACGGACTTGGGTGGAATGGTTCCCCAAGGCCCAAATCGATATTACAGAGAGATGCGTTACTTATCTATTATACGATAATATCCTTGACGAAAACCTCGATTCGTTCTATTCTAATGATGGGAAGATACTAAAATCGAAGGCTCTGTGTATATATGCGGCGCAGAATTGGGGACATCATGCTCGCATATCTGCGACTGGGGATACGCCGCTAATATCCGGTTTACTTGAGGATAAAGTCGCGCTATTGGTCTGCAATGATCTTATGAATCGGGGGGCCCGTGGGGGTCGTGGCTGGAGAACTTTTGGGGATATGAAAGGAGTGCACTTTGCAGCATATTTTGGATTGTGGAAATCGCTGTCAGCTATGATCGGCAAGGGTGCTAAACTGGAGGCTAAGGATTACATGGGGAGAACCCCGCTGCATTGGGCAGCATCAGAAGGACACGAGGTAGTAACGGGAGTGCTGGTGGACAATGGCGTTGATTTGGAGGCTAAGAGCGACGGGAGGACTTCGCTGGAATGGGCAGTATTAAGAGGGCACGAGACAATTGTAAGACTGCTGGTGGATAAGGGCGCTGACTTGGAGGC